CTTGGTATGCTACTGCAAGCTCGTGTTGTGACGCCAGTCGATTAGGGTGCTCTTCCACCAATATTCTCGCCTCTACCGCCACCACATACTCCAGTATCTCGACTGCCTTCTCGACCTGGCCGTTAGCTCGGTATGCTACTGCAAGCTCGTGTTGTGACGCCAGTCGATCAGGGTGCTCTTCCACCAATATTCTCGCCTTTACCGCCACTATATACTCCAGCAGATTAACTGCCTTCTCAACCTGGCCGTTAGCTTGGTATGCTACTGCAAGCTCGTGTTGTGACGCCAGTCGATTAGGGTGCTCTTCCACCAATATTCTCGCCTCTACCGCCACCACATACTCCAGTATCTCGACTGCCTTCCCGACCTGGCCGTTGGCTCGGTATGCTCCTGCGAGCTCGTGTTGTGACGCCAGTCGTAAAGGGTGCTCTTCCGCCAACGTCCTCGCCTCTACCGCCACCACATACTCCAGTATCTCGACTGCCTTCTCGACCTGGCCGTTAGCTCGGTATGCTCCTGCAAGCTCGTGTTGTGATGCCAGTCGTGAAGGGTGCTCTTCCGCTAACGTCCTCGTCTTTACTGCTACTACATGCTCTAGCAGATCGACTGCCTTCTCGACCTGGCCGTTGGCTTCATATGCTCCTGCGAGCGCGTGTTGTGATGCCAGTCGATCAGGGTGCTCTTCCGCCAACGTCCTCCCCCTTACCGCCACCACATACTCCAGAAACTCAACTGCCTCCCGGATGCGCCCATCGACCTTTAAACATCGCCCTACCCAGTAACCTAAGTCACACACTTCTTTACCGTCGTTCGCCCTGCCGACCCTCAATACTCTGATTGCATGTGGCAAATACTGCCTCCACACCTCTCGATTCTCCCAATCATCCGATGGAAAGACCCCTGCAAGATGCACTGCCACTTCATCCAGTGTACTCTCCGCCGTCCCTTCTCTCTCCAGCCATATCCTCGTCGCTAACTGCACTAGACTGTGCATGTCGAGCGTCTCGCCGTCCTCTCTCCGGCTCAGGAAGGCATATGTGCATAACGTGCCAATCGCAGTGATCAGCTCCTCTTCCGTGCCTGTCTTCGGCAAGATCGACTGCGGAATCGCTTTCGGCTCGATTTGCGACACAAACGACAGTATATCTGCCGCCGCGCTATCTGTTTTGCGAATTTGCTCGAATGATACGAGCCAGGTGCTGGCTATTGCGTTTTGCGATCCTGCATACCGCGTTTTGTCCGGGAACTGTCGGCTCAGCAAGCCGACCATGTCCTGCTCCGTGCTTCGGAGCAGTTGGAGATATTTCGTAATCGAGACCCCGTTCCTCTTCAGGTATGCTGCCGCCTGTGTGATTGCCAGAGGCAGATACGTCAGTTCGCGCAGGAGCTCGTTGACTCTGGCATCATCTCGGAGCAGATCTTTCCTGGCAAGTATCTTGCCCAAACAGTCCTTGGCCTCGTCCCCGCTCATCTCTTTCAGCTCGACTACCTCGTCGTCTGCCACCAAATCCGCCACATCTTTTGATCGTGTCGTAAACAGGATGCGGCCGTTCTCGCCTTCCGGAAGATACTCGTACATGCCGCCCCTAGCATCCGAAGGCCCGAAGAGAACCTCCCTGTCGTCGGCATTGTCCACCACAAGAAGCCATGGACCGGCCTCCTCGGAGTTCAGGTACTGCTGGACCATCTGCATCGGGCTTTCGTCTTGGGCGCCTTGGAGACCCAGCTTCCTTGCGATGTCCATGCACGCCTGCTCGAAGCTGGCTTCGCTCAGCGCGGGCACCCAGAAGACTGAGCAGTCCGGCTGGTTCTCCTTTGCCCAGTACGCCACCTGCAGTGCGACCTGTGTCTTACCTATGCCGCCAAGCCCGACGAGCGCGACACATAGGCAGGCTTCATCTGTAAATAGCTTTTCGATAAGTGTTTCGAGGATCGTCGTTCGCCCGACGAAGTGCTTATTCTTCGGAAAAGGCACCGAGAAACATGGTCCGCCTACGCACGATTCGTTACTATTGCGGAACATGGTAAATCTCACCATACACTAACCGTGGCGGAGTTCCCTGTCGTCGCCTGGCTCGATGCCTCTTGCAATCACTGAAGCCGGTGCGTCGGTCTTGGTGTACTGCTCCAACAGCGCCTTGGCCGTCGATGCTGCTGTGGCCGCTGCAAAGTCTTGCCACCGCTTGTTCTTGTGGCTATCCGCGTAGTCGCACACTCCCTTAACAACGATACACGGCACCTCGTCCCAGACGCCGGCGCCCTCCATCTCGAACCCCACGATCTTGTGCCGCGCAGCGAGCCTGTCACGGTTCTCGCCAGACTTGACCACCATGTCGCCCGAGCCGATACGTCCCACGAAGATCCATGGCGCTTGTGCTTGTTGCCGATCCTTGCTTTGAAGATTACGTTTCTCCTCAACACGGTCGCGTCTGACGAGATATGCATCGTTGCATCCTAGGTCCTCGCATAGAAGACTACGAGACGCCTCGCAGACCGAATCAGCACCTCCTTGGTGATGCGCGCACTCACATGTAGTCGAAGTATGGTGCTTGTGTTGATAGCTTGCCTGGAACAGTCGGTCGTGGTCGGCCCCGGGGTACGCGTAGTTCGGTCCACGCCGCCGACCCTGCGGCTTCTTCTGGATCGTCTGGAGAAATGTATTCGCTCGCTCCTCAAGTCGACGGCGTCCCAGGATTGTTTCCAGGTAGGTGACCATGTTCCGAATATTCCTCGTCGGTCTGCCAAGGCCGTCTTCGACTGTGTCCTTGGTCGCGAAGCCGTCAGCGTACTGCCTGCCGAGGTCGTGCTGTATCACAACCTTGCTGATGATCACGTCGCCTAAAAGGACCTCCTCGTCCTTCGCCGTCTTTGGCACCCCGCCACATATCCCTGTTAATAGAGCAAGCCGCACCCCGGGGTAGCTCGCCCGAAGGCTCGCTGCCGCGCCCGCAGCGCTGGCCTTTCCCATGTTCGACAGCAACACCACCACAACGTCCATGTTCCCCATGCGCCCCGTTGTGTATCTGTTGTCATCTCCAACAGCCCGGCCGTATCGATCGCCACTTTCGTCCCAGAACTTATCGATCAGGAGCGATACTGCGTCGTACTCGAGAGGTAGCGCGCAGACGATGGCGACTTCGAAGTCGCTGCGGCTAATGGGAGTGATGGTCATGGCGTCAGACGTAGGGTGGTAGATACGAGTGCTATTGTGGCTGGTAGGTAGAGCTATTCGGGGCGTTGTATGACGGATGGCATGAGGGTTGCTCGTTCGTTTAGGTCGGTTCGTTGGGTCGAGTTGTCCCTGCAGGTTGGTGAGGCTGTCGGCCTGGCTGGCCCCCAAAAAAGGGCCACGTGATATGCAGGCTCCATCCTCCCATCGTTTTGCTACTTGTTGAAGCTCTCGGTGGTCAATAAAGCATCTCGTAGTTGGCGTAGAGTATTATCCTACTACTTGCCACCATAGGTTTTGCGGGTTTCGAGCACCTTCACTTACCTTACCTGGTTAACTTGGTCACGTGAACCAAGAGAACTTGGTACCTCGTGCCGAAAGCCTGATGCTCATTCTCTCGCTCTGCATGCAGAGCAAACAGCCTCGCGTACGATGAGTGGCAGTACTAAGCATCGAGATGCCGCCTTCCACCTCAGCTCAAACCTATCGAACCTATCGCATCCATCACATTTATCGATTACACCGCTATAGAGGCTGTTAGTCTTACCGTCGGGGTTGTTGGGCTCGCCGGCCTCTTCAGCTCCTGTCTAGAGGCTTGAGATAAGGTGCAGACCTACCGATCATTCGGGTCCGACTTGTATATGCTAGATACCAGATTTAAGGCTATAAAGATCTGCTTTAAGAAATAGGGTCGGCGCGTCGGGTTTGAAGAAATAATACGGTTGGAAGACTATTATCCTGCTCTTAATAACTGCAATACCAAATCTACCAGCCACTTCGCATATCCTCATCTAGGATATCATTCTCAGTAAGTTAAGAAACAAGAAGGAAATTAAAGACAAAGACATTGCCAAACTTGGCAGCTGCTCGACACCAACCGTCCGCGACGCACGATCGAACATACTACATTTCGGGACCATCGACTCACCGCTCAATACCGTCGGCCGACCCAAGGAGGTTGTTGGCATCCCAACTGTTATCCCGCCCCAGACCAGCCGGACGCACGCGAGTCCCCAGCTGAAACAAGAAGCACGACTGCGTACGTCCAGGCTAGTCCGTATCGCGCCATTGCATCATTAATGACCGCGTCTAGCGTTATCTTTGCCCACGGTCTCGGGGCCGATCCTACCAAGACTTGGTGTCACGATGATACGTGCTGGATTACCGACTTATTTCCACGTCCAATCCTATCCACAACGTGAGGTTATTCCGCCGGTTGGCCAATATGCCGAAGTCGCATATTTTTATAAGCTACGGTGGCGATCTAGTTGTGAATAAAAATATAAAAGAATACCAGGACGATAAGCCCGGCGCAGATGAGGGGGCCTAGAATGGAGAAGATGGTGAACCCGTACGACGCAGACTGGAAAGCGTCGTTGCCTCCAAGACTCTCGGTGGCTAGCCCGACTTGCATCGCGGTCAGGACGACGACGAGGTAGACCGTCGTTCCGGCTAGCCAGGCGAAGTGATCCCGGAAGAACGCGCCGTTCCGGTTCCAGTGAGACATGTAGCCACGCGGCGGGGTCTGCCACAGACGGTATGTCTTGTTGAGCCGGCTCAGACGGAGCTCTCCGTGGTAGAACCGCGGGTCTATGTCCGGGTAGATGTGCTCCGTAGAGGTCATTATATTTTACTTTAAAATACTTGTATTAGTGTGCAAGTGCTCTGTCGGAGGTAGACAGTCGAGTGCCAGACACCAAATGGCTCTAGTTCTTCGACCAAGCCTGAGTGATCAATTCCTCGACGCTCATCGGCTGGATATCCGGGAACGCCAGCCGACCATCTTTCGGCAACATCGCCTTTCCCTCGGCCAGAGACGTCCCAACTATGGCAGCGATCATCACGGGATCTATTCCATTGTAAGACCCATCACTTTTGGAAACCACGGTAGCTTTGCCTGCTTTAAGCTCTTCCAAACTGTCGTAGGTAACGTTGAACTTGTCACCGGTGACCCTCTCTGCAATCGCCACCATTTCGTTGAGCGTGGTGTCAGAGCCGCTGACAATGCTGACCTCTGGCCATTCGTCTTCGTCGACAAGACGATCAACAAACCGAGCAACGTCTTTCGAGTACGTCATACTCAAAACCTCGTTACCTGTTCCTGGGATGGCTGCGCGGCGCGATTCAATGTCAAGCGCCCACTTAAAAGGGCGGAGGTGACTAGGGATATAAGGCTGCCCGAAATAGTCCATGAAGACCCCGATCGCAAAGCGAGTATACTTGAGGCCAGACTTTTCCAGCGCCTTTGCCGTTTGAAGCGTGTTGGCGGTCATCTCATCCCCCTCTTCAGCATTGCTACAGTCGTATCGTTAATGCTACACAATGGATGGATCATGGGACCGATTCCGACTCACCTCGTGGGCACATAACCCGCATACTCGCTGGGAATGAATCTCTTTACTGTAGAAGACTTCTCAGCCGCTGCAATCAGATTGAGCTGCGCCTGGTGGCCCGGGCCGTCGGCGTTCACAGCTGAGATGATGGTATCAACACTGTAGCTCTGCAGGGCCTTGGCTGTTTCTTCGATCTCGTCGTAGTTGACTGCCAAACACTCGGGACCGTCAGGGTTAGGAGCGGCTGAGACCTAGATGGCGGGGTTAATATTTTCTGTCGTGGAATTTCTCGAGTCTCGGAGATCATGATAATGCTCCCACCTTTCTGCAAAGTACCACGACCTTGTGCTTGCCCGAGATAATCAATTGATCCACGATAGTCCTCCCAACATCACCAGTTCCACCAGCGACTGCGAGTACACCCATGTTGAGAGTGTCGTATGAGATGAAAGGCTGAGCAAAGCAGCAAAAGGTGGTATGGAAACTGAGTAATAGTGGAAAGGCAGTACTGGATACAATAGTCTCGTAAGGGTTTTATACGTGTTCGAATGCTTCTATGATCCCACAGATTAGGTTTCAGCGGACTTTCCAAGTGTGCGGACTTCACTTTCACATGAACTAACTCAAGACCCCGGTATAAAAATGCGGACTAAAATGCGGAGTTGACTACATGCGGGACGCGCGGGAAGCGAGTCGGACGCGAGGCAGCCGATGGGAGGCTAGGCACCAATCCAGAGACAAACAACAGTGCCATATCAGAGAGCTCGATGGACAATGATTACATCATCTTGATTTGCAATGAAACGTAGCTGGCCTTAGTGAACCGCTGCCATTGACACGGCTGGGGGTCAAGATGCGACTCTAGAAGGATGATGCGTTTGACACGTAGGCCGCTTATGGATTTCTCATTGGATGGAGGCTCAAATCTGGTTTCTTGAATTATCCTTCTGTGCCTTTATTTGGACGTCCGTATGGCCAAGGGTTTCAGGACTATGAGAGAACATTTGGGTTCGGTAAGAGACCTTACAACGGTCTTGAACCGGAGTTTCGTTGTCACCAAGTACGGTATCTAGTTTACCACATATCTCGACCTGGGTCTCGTACTGGATTGAGAGAGAGAGAGGGACTGAGATCAAGACCAATTCATCTCTGTTGTCCATCATGTCCTATTCTCATCAGATTGACACCCCCAGAGGAGACAGTTTCCAGGGTCTTATTTTGCGAGTTTGATCTGCCAACATGCTGCTCCGCTCTATAATTCTTTAAAAGACTGATCTCACCACATCGCACCCATCATTCGCCCTTTACCTTCGCAATGCTGGATTTGCTCACGGCGGGCATCTTCCGAATCCACTCCGGCGCGCCGCTCTCCGCGCAGTCCACAAGCCACCTTGCCAACGCGGCTCTCTGCAGGGACAACTTGTAGCCCGGCTTGCCTACATAGCCTGCATACGTTGGCTCATCTTCGCGATCCTTTCTCCAGCTCTCCTTGTCATGACCTCCCGGAAGCCCATTCAGGCGGAAGAGGGTCCAGTCCAGGTCATCCGCCTCGTGAAACACTCGTGTGAGGCCTTGCATGGTCTGATACGCAGCAGGGGCGAAGATGCGAATAAAAAGGGTAAGCAGAAAGACAACTAGGGAAAATGAGTCTAGAGGATCCTTTGCCGACGCGGAGTTCATGGCTAGAATGCGCCTGACACCATGCTGACGCATCAACAGGAATAGACTCGAGTAATAATTTGGATATAGGGACGGCGGAAGACTGCGGCCTTGGCTGGAATCAGGCCCCAAAAGGGACAGGACCAAGTTGCACTTGGCAACTGCGAAGCCCAGCTTGTCGGTGTCGTCCATCTGACCTTCGACCACCTAGAAGCGGATATTAGCCGATGATAGGACTCCAAAAGCAAGAGCTGGAGATATAGTAAATGCTCCAGTACCTCAAGAAGTGGGTCAGCAGTGAGATCCTCCGGTAATTTTGATGGATTTCTCGCATAAGCAATGGTAGCGTGTTTGCGATGGAGTAGTTCTCGCAGCAAGCAGATACCGGCAGGACCTGTAGCCCCGAGGACCAGTATCTTGGGGCTCGCCATAATTCCAAGTAGATGTGAAAGTTGGGATGATGAGGAAGAAGGCCAGACATTTAGATGGTTTATGCAGGAGCGAGATTCTTAATACCCCTCCCCTTAGCTTTTACTAACAGTGCTCATTGCGAGATAACATAGCAGACGGAATCCGCGGGAGCCGACAAACCAGCCGGAATACAGCTCTGTGATACAAATCGTACCCACAAATCGTATCTACCACGGCTTAGTGTGTCGTGTACGAAGTATATTTACGCAGTCGTGCCATTCCCCGAGATCCAGTTGTGCCTTACCAGAATGGGTCTAAAGCGTAATCCAGCTGCATTAGCTCGTGTTGAGAGGGCCGCTAAGTGGCCGCCCACTCTATGTTACATGAGAAAAGGAACGTCATCTTAACCGACTTCGCCCTATTGTTTCCCATCCAATATTATTGTTGGATAGCTGATGTGACCAAAATGATGACCTTGAATGTCACGGCCCGGGTTGAGACCAGGCGGTCACAACTGGCAGAATCCCCGTAGACCCACTTTTCGTCACAGAGCACAGTCTTACGACCGTACCCACTTTTCCTTATACGCCCATTGGCGTAGCCCATCATGCAGACAAGTCAAGTCTCAGTACGGAGGAGCATATCAAAAGTCGTCGCTCACACTAAGGACGCCACATCCTTTAATCCCTGTCAGGTACTTTACAGTACATAAGACGAGATAAAGCCACAGGTAATCGCCCGCTGAAGATAACTAATTCTTTAGTGGCTTCAGGGGTGAGGCAGGTACCGCTTAGCGGGCTTGGTCGCTAGAATATAGAGCTTCTTAGCGCACTGGCCTTTGCTCAATGTACTTAATGTATATTGCACAGGAAAAAGCAATTTGTGGCTCGGGCGCGAGCGACGACTTTTGATATGCGCCTCCGTACCCCACTGACAACTCTTATTAATAAGACCGTCGGTCTTATTACTGAGTGCCACGACCGGACTACTAATACCACTAAGTACTATCTAGTATATATATATTTACTTAGCACTTTTATAGATAGATAGTCTTACTAGCTATTAATATATTTAGTTATATTAAATCTACTATTCTACTATTACTAGATTATAATTTATATTATTTATTATTGTTAAAGGTTATGCAGCAGTAGAAGAATAGAATAAATTATAGATAAAAGGATATCCTTATAAAGGATATATAGATAAGGGATAAGATAAGAGATAAGGGATAATAGTGTAAAATAGTGTATAATAGTGTATAATAGTATATATTGTACTGATGATAATAATATATAAAAGTTCAGAATTTACCAGAGGGTCTCTAGCTTTTTATAGACAATTTCTCAAAATCTAGCTATTGTAGCTAGACAATAAGTATACTATTAAAAAGCCCAAAAAAGTAGCTTTTTAGTGGTACTACTATTGTCATCTAATGTTCAGAGGATTCTGAGTAATTCTGCTTTGAAATCAAGTCTCTGCTTTGAAATCAAAGGTAGTTTGATTTGAAATTATCAAAGATATAGAGATATATTGTATACCATAAAAAAGCCTAAAAAAGCAGCCTTTTTCTAGTATAATCTTTGTACCTAAAATGCTTATACTTTCCGAAGCATCTAGATTGTAAGTTAAAATGATTTGGAATTAAAAATGATTCCAAATATAAGTGGGGCTATTATCTTTTCTATACAGTATAAATAGTATAATTAATACTGTATTTATACTGTATTTTAGTGCTATTTATATAGTATAAATAGTGCTATTAATACTGTATTATATTTATTTATAGAATTAATTAAAATTTAATTTTTAAGGTTAAAGATATATATTTATATATTTATTTAGTCTTTAACAATTATAATATTCTAATTTATTTAATTATATATCTTATATTTAGATTTATTTTATACTTTTAAATTAAATTTAATTATTATAGATTATATATATTCTTAGTATTTTCTACTTATTTTTTTATTTAATATTATAATTAAAAAAGGAAAATAAAGTTTTAAAGTAATAATTAGTTTAATTAAAAAAAAAAACTTAAATAAGTTTTTTATTTTTATTTAAAATATTAGAATAATAAGAAAATAAATAGAATTTTCTAAATTAGAATATTTAAAATAAGTAGCTTTTTTAAAATTTTTATTAATTAATTTTTAAATATTTAAAATTTCTAGTTATTTTTTTATTTAAAAAATCTTTAAATTAACTAATTAATATACTTAGTTATTATTTTATTTATATTTAAAGTTAATAGGTAGTTTTATTAATTATATAAGTAAGGCAGTTAATTAATAAATTAGTTAGTTAATAGAGTAGTTAACTTACTATACTATACTAATAAAAAAGCCAGCTCCAGCACCAGTAATATTCTTTATATACTAAATAATAAGGTTTTCTAACTTATTTTAGTAACTATATAGACAGCCTAGCTAGGATACTAATTCAGTATGGATAATAATATTCTCTTAATCTGAGTACTTTTACACTGGTATATCTTAGAGAATTATAAAGCTCTTGCTATAATAGATATTATTTGTAATAATATTATAGATAAATAAACTAAGAGTAAGCAGAAGAAATATTTTAAAGCTTATAAAGTCTATTAGAATATAGAGATTTATTATAAATATTTAATAGATAGAGATATTTAAGTTCTAGCTTTATTATATTATTTTAAAAAGCTTATAAAATAGAATTAATTTTAGCTAAGTATATTATAATTAGTAGAATAATTTATTTATTAGCTTAAAAGCTATTTTTATATTATATTACAGTAAATTTAATTTTTATAAAAAAGCTATTAAATAGAAATTACTTATTAAGAGTTTTAGCTATAAGAGTTTTAATTTATATTAAAAATAGTATATAATTAAAGTTATAGCTAATTAATAAAATAATATAAGATATTTTATTATATTATATAAAAAGTTTAAGTAGAAATAGAAATAGAAATATAATATTATAGAATATATTATAAAATTAGAAAAAAATAATTTAAGATATTAAAAAGTTTTTTAAAATTTAAATAAAATAATAATCTCTTTTTTATATATATATAATTACTTTTAAATAAAAATAAAAAGAAATATTATTAGATTAATAATATTAAAAAGTAGAAAGTAGCTATTTTATATATTTTAGCAGCAGAAAGAGACGGAAAACAACACCCAACTCATTAACTTACCCTAGGGGAAATACACAGAGTCATTACACAGGCATCTTAGCTGGTCAGCCCGAAGCTGCACCAGATTACGCATATGGAGTCGGATCAATCTGAGGCTTATGTCTCCTAATAGGGAAGCATCTCATGAGATAGAATATCGGGTCGGTCGCAGGAAAGTTCGCTGGCAAGGCATCAATAGGGCCTGCGGCAGACCGATATCTGAGGGAGGTTGAAGATGGAGGTTGGACAGGGGACGTAGTAACGGCAAGAAGGCTCAAATAAATCTCTCAAAAATGAAGGCAATCAATTAATAGACTCCCTAGCAGCCTCGAGCCCTTCCGGCCTCTCTGACTTCTAGGAAGAATCTCTGATGAAAGAAAAGACGATGATTTTCCCCAGTGACGGCACTGACCTCCCCTTTTAACCTCATCTAGGCCACCCTAGAGACATCCCCGCTAGTGACTAGCTAGCCCAAGCGTCCCTAACTGCCTGTCATACTATTAATTCTCTCTATAGCTTGTTTGTATATATAAGCTAGGACTTAAATCTTCCAATCTTTATCTGATTTCTAATCTTACTTCTAGAAGGTCTTTATTATACTTTAGATATTATTTAGTATTAGCTTATTATTAAGTAAACTAAAATAGAGTTATACTAAGAGAAATCTGTAAATTATTAGTAGCTATACTACTCTTTTTATTATAAGAATATATATTCTATTAATAGCTTTTAAGATACCTATTATAATCTCTTCTTATAGCTATTAATTCTACTAAATAAAAGATAGTAGCTATACTATATAACCTTCTAGATATCTTACTATATTATCAGAGCTTATATAAATCTCTATTAATAAGCTGATTTTAAAGTAATATATAATCTCTAAAATAAATCTTGATATTATAAAAATATTTATTCTATATCTTATTTAAAAGTTAAAAAGCTCTAAGAGAAACCTTATTTAGAATCTATTAGATACTAGGTATTTATTAAGTATATTAATAATAATAAAAACTTTTAAGTATTTAGCAGCTATAAAATAGAGAGTACTTAAGATTTCTTTAAGTAATAGTTATATTTATTTAGCCTTATACTAATTATAGAGACTTTTTACACTCTTAAAGCTAGCTCTTAGCTAGCTATTTTAGTAGACTTACTAGTAAGTTATTAGTCTTTTATTTATATTACTAGTAGAAGTTATAATAGATATATATAATACTAGTCTTTAAATCTTTATAAAATCTTAAAGTAAGATAATTAACTATAATTAATATTAGGATTATCTTTCCTACTCTAGGGATATCTAAATAGAATAATATCTACTTACTTATAGCTAGCTAATTTTAAAACTCTCTTAACTTAAGAAGCTATTAGCCAGTTTCTACTTATTATATCTTAAAGTAGTTACTTTATTATAGACTGTAGTTAATTATTATTAGCTAATTAAGAATCTTAATATCTTTCTTTCTATCCAGCTTAGACCTAATATATATAATATTTTCTTAAGTTATAGATATATTATTAAGAACTGTATTTATTATTAGCTATATACTATTAGCTTAATTAGAAAATAACTAACTTTAGCTAAGTATTTTCTTTACTAGATACTCTCTATTAATATTATCTAGCTAAATATATTCTAGAAGTTCCTTTATAAATATTATAGCTATAACTATAATATACTCCTGCCAGTTTTTATTCTTATATAAGTCTATATAGTTATAGATACCTTAAATAATAATATATAGAAAGTTATTTATTAATCCTATTACTTTAGCAGCAGAAAGGGACAGGAACAACACCCAACTCATTAACTTACCCTAGGGGAGATGCACAGAAGATCGTCGCACAGGCGTCTTGGATGGTCAGCCCGAAGCTGCACCAGACTACGCGTATGTGGTCGGATTGATCTGAGGCTTATGTCTCCTGATAGGGAAGCATCTCATGAGATAGAATATCGAGTCGGCCGCGGAAAGGTCTGCTGGCAAGGCTTCAGTAAGGCCCGCGGCAGCCCGATATCTGAGGGTGGTGGAAGACAGAGGTTCGACAAGGATCGTAGTAACGGTCGAAAAAGATACAAATAAATCTCTCAAAAATAAAGGCAACAAATTAATAGACTCCCTAGCTGTCTCGAGTCCTTCCGGCCTCTCTGATTTCTAGGAAGAATCTCTGATGAAGTGAAAAATCGATGGATGGATCCTGCCCTTCCTTCCTGTGCCGGTCCTGACCTACCCTTTTAACCACATCCGGACCACCCTAGAGACATCCCTGCTAGCAACCAACTAGCCCAAGAGTCCCTGACCGCCTGCTACATTACTTCTATTTCTATATAGAATATATAGCTACTAAGATTCTTTTTAAATTTATCTCAGAAGGTAGTATCCTTAATAACCCAGTTCCCAGATATAATAAGACTGTAATATATATATATATCCCTAAGCTTCCGCTTTATAATCTTAGCTCTATTATAGAATTTGCAGCTTTCTTCTTCCTCTTTTCTATCATTACTATCCGGGGTAACGTCACAATCTGTAGTATTCTTGCTGATATAGCTCTAATCTGCTTTAAATAATATATCCTCGAGCAACTCGGATTTCAGATACTTTAGCGCCAGTTATAGCCATTTCTATTTCAGCTTATCTAAATACTTAGGTATCTTAGGCCCGTTTAATTCATTCTCCGTCTTCAGTTTCATCAAAGCCGTGTGGAGGGAGGTAGGCGGGTTATTCAGCAATCCGGTCTACTTGAAGTTGCTGCCTTCCTCTGCCTTGCCGAAGTCCTATTAAACTACCCCAGGATACTGGCCCGCAGGTATGCTGACTACGATATCGCCAAGTCGAACCTTGGGTGGGATACCTCCGCCGATACCAACTATTAAGCTAAGCTTAATAAGTGGAAAAGTGGAAATCATCCAAGTTGCGATGGTCGCTGCTGTATAGGTGCCGATCTCGCCTTCGGGCAAGCAGGCTATAATAATATTATACTTACCGATAGACCCCAGGGTGTATGTGTTGGGGTCATTTAGCGGTTTCGGGAGATCGGCATATCTTTGATCGAGCATGGCCGTCGCCGCGGTCTGCTCTTTGGACAGAGCGCAGACCCATCCTACAGTGTATTCATCATGATTTCTGGTCTCGGTAGTTATCTGTGCAGCTATTGCGAGGGGATCGGCTGGGTCTTCGAGAGGATGAATGCGGACTTGGGAGTCGATCGGCTGCGGTCGGTTCTGTTCGATGCGGGTTCAGCGTTGTGCATTACAGCCTGCTAACTGCCCCACCTTTTGGCATGCTGCGCTTTTAACACGATTCGCTTTGCCTCACAAGTCTTCGACCCCACCACCTCCCACGCCCCAGTGTCAAAAACGGAGGTTCTCGTTCATATAGAACAAAATTATCGCGCCACTCACGGAACGAGATTTCTTATTCACATAGAACATGCATGCACATCTCCTCTCACGTTACAGCAGTTCTTTGTCCGCATAAAACACTGGGCACAGGGCGCCGCGCGGGGGCGTGAGCTGCTGTTCAATGTTCATTGAAGCATCGAACAACGAAGTGGGACGTGCCACGTGATTGGAAGACCTAGGTATTCTGGCTCGACAGCGGCAGCAAACCCTACGTAATCGCATGGTTGAAGTCGAGCGTTCTGGTCCTGTAGAGCCACAAAACCATACCCCTGATTGAGCTCATCTTCCAATAAATCCCACTAACAGCTCCACACTATGCCATTGGATGCGGCCCTCGGCCTTATGCAGGAACAAGATGCTCCTACCGAACGATTCCGTACGGGAGACCCACTCATGATTCTGTAAGCCCAGCCATGCTTGCCCCCGAAAATCCACCTCTGAACCTCACGAAACACCAAACATTACAGCCACAGTACTTGAAAGGGAGTTGTGCCCTTCAGGTACGCCTACGATAGAAAACGGACGTGGGTACTCCATTTTCTTGCCCGACAACAGTTTACGGTATCGGAGATTGAGGAAAACGCGATAGAGAGGCGGAATAGATGGGAAGGATATGGTCAGGACAACAACAACACCACCGACAGCTGAGAACATATCTTCAAGAACACACCACATCGAACAATACAGTCAGCTTGCAGGCTAGCAATCCCCAAGGAGGGAATGGGGTTGGGGAAACTTCGGATAAACCTGGCTCCCAGTACCAGGGCCACCAGGGACATTTCCGCGAGAAGGGGAGAGTGTGAACTTGGCAGCGAGCGGGATGAACAAAGTAATCAACGACGTTACGGCATTAATTGTTACATAGCTTTAGAACAACTAGACAAAAAGAGATCGTAGACAACCACACTATGTTTTGATTGCCGCCAGGCCCTGTGCTTCCTCGACCTCTCCCCAACTCCCTGCAATTCGTATTCCCAAATTTGGTTACGATCGTGATCAGTCGACCATAGGCGCCTGCGGTGCTGCGCGAGGTCTACATTCAGCCCAAACCACCGCCCCCACCTGTTTCGCACTGTACCCCTCCATGGACGCTGAGAACAGATGCAACGAGGCACCCAAGCCATTAACTGGCTGGCTTACTAGCCTTCCATGGTGCGACGGGCTAGGAGCTAGCGATGAACGTATTGGTTGGCTCAGGAAGCGCGTTGCTGGCGCCAATTTGATGCTATTAAAATCGTCGAATGGGATTTTTCAACCGCTTAGACAGGGAGATGACTCAATGATCGGGGCTCGAGCGGTTCGAGCGAGGGCGAGTGACTGTGACTGAGGTGCAGAATCATGCTTGAGCATGTGGCGATGTAGTCAGACCCTGAATGTCGTTCGCCCTCGACAAAGGACATCAGTCGACCATCACAGCCATGGCATCTTGCCTTCCTCATGAGGTTTGGTCAGCATCGGGCCCCCGGAGCCTGGTTCCGCCAGCTCTGCGACTCCCAGCGACCAAAGACCCAGGGAAGAGAAGAGTGCGCCGTACCGCGACCCACGGTAGAAGACGCTGCTCGAGATGAAGGGCAGCTTCATGGACAAGTCGGGACTGGGCATCACTGATAAAAGCAAGTCCCTTTGCCGAATACTGCTCGAGAATGAGCAATAAATATCCAAAGACTCGCTATTTCGCAACGATATATTCAAAGTCACCTACCAGAAAATTAAAGATAGGAACGAGGCAAGAGTCATAAGGGATATCACCCCGTTAATTATTCCCTCTACAGAGATTCTTGCTACCTACGGGGCTAAGGAGCTTAATTATTTGATTGAAAGTATTAATAAAGGATGGAGTAATTCTCTCCTACTAATTAATACTCAACTCTAGCTAGACTACTTAGTAGGCTTTAGGCATTATATATTCTTAGAGGATCGGCTAGAAAAGCTCTTATTCTTTATCGGCAACTTTATTGCTAGCAATTAGTCCTTCTTTATGGCAATATACTAAATATACTTTTTATTTCTTATATACAAGGTTAAGTGTGGCGCTGCGGTGCTTAATGTCGCCGACCGCTAGAATGCTCATAGCATGACGCTTGCTATAAGAGCTATCGTCAAGCTCTTCTATCTTGTCGGCCGTAAGAAGGAAGTTGAACGCTAGATACTGGCTTTCTCCATCTCTCATAACCATCGACTCGTACGGGTTTACGGCCATTACGCAGTGATTCAGGGTAAAGACACCAAATATTACTAACATCCAGTTCGCACCTTCAACTTCACCGAACTTGATGGCAAGGATAAGTGGACGGCCTACTGGTTTATGAGAAATATCTATGGCATTTGGATGCCAGCACACTTAACGAGGATTTGCTCAGCCATCGACAAGTTGCCGTCTCACTTAGATTTTGACGTTCCGTCGCTTCCAGAAACTGGACTCTCCCAAGAGCTCGAAAGCAGCCACCATCTGTCACAGTCAGATGTTGACTCTGCAAAGGAACCCGATCCTCAGTCCAGCATCGCCGATGCGCAAGGAGCCACTCCAGATACTTCGTTTACAGAGCCTGGTGCGGCAAAAAGACCGAGGAGAAGGCATGGCCAGAAGTAGCGTGTGTCCCCGCTGGCGCTGTCGCCGCTGTGCGTGCCTTTTGGGAACTGAACCGGCAGATCGACGATACAAATAAGGATCCCGGCGATGCCTGGAGCTCTGCTGCTCAGCGTGCAGCACAGCAGCTGCGTGCTTGTGGTGCCGCTGTTGACCACAGTTCTGCTGCCGCTCCAGCTCGTGTTCCTGATCTGGCTCCCCGTGGTGAAGCTGGTGAAATGACTCTCGAGGAGCGAAAGGTTGCGGCATTGGAGGCCATCGCCGAGGCTGCTCTGCTCTGGACTGTAAGTGGATTAACTTGTAGCAATATTTCCGCTGCTAAATCGATGCGTAGCAGCTCAACAAACCGGGTGAAGAAGGGAGGGAAGAAGAAGAAGAAGAGGAAGAGGACGAGGACGAGTATAACTAAGCGTTGATATCGTCAATAAAAGAGGCGGTTAGCCCATTTGTAGCCGGCCCTTTTCCGCAATGCGGGATGAAGCTATTCTGCGCTGGTTCGGTGCGGTCCCGCTGCTGTGGACCGCCGTGTCTAAATCCAATGAGTTTTTGCGTAAAAGTACATGCCTCAATGTACTGTGGGGCGTAAGTTTGTTTGTGCAGACCCACTTCACCTGCTTAAGCGTGGCTTTTGGGGTTTTCAACAGTGACCCCTATCCCTTAGAGTGGCATAAGCCTCCACTTGGGTACCAAACAGGGGGGTCCAGCCAACCAGAGGGCAACAAATCAAAGGTACATTGATTCCTACCTATTTTAGCTGGTGCCAGAAGTCCCAACAATTGCCTAGTCTACATAAAGCTACATTACACTCTTGACAACGGTATAGTGACTGCCTGACTGTAGGGCTGTTGGGAATCCAGGAGAATGCAGAGAATCAGTTGTATGAGGAATTAGGCGGGGTTGATTCTGCCCGCGCTTGAAGTCTCCGCATGAACATCGGCTGTGGCAGAGGTCACGCGGGGCTAGCCACGGAGGTGGACGCTTATGCCACTCTAAGGGACAGGCTGCCGCAGTCTAGGACGTGCGAGTCGGTCCTAAAAGACTTGTAAGACTGAACTTTGTCGACAGCCTCTAGGCAGGAACTGAAGGGACCGGCGAGCCCAACGACCACGACGGCGAGTCCAGCAGGCTCCATGGTGACGTGGTTTGGCCATTGTGATGACGGGCTGAGCCAGAGGATTTGCCTCATTACATACGCTTCCGCAACCAAGGCTCTCGCACAGCCACGTTGTCGTGCATGTGGCTGTGTAGGTCAGGCCAACAAAGTCGATTTCCGAGGCAGTTACACTTTCCACCTCACGTTCTAGCCACCTTTAGGCGTCACTTCAAAATACATTTTCTCTCGTATTATTGTAGTCCGATGGATTATCATGCTCGGTATGGTATACACCGTGGCATACACTATGGCTGAACCATGATTGACATAGTTTTACACACTCAATTTGCCGTACGGGAGGGAGTTGTGGTCGCTGACCTCCTTGCCATCCAACGGCCAATTGAGGGCACGAAGTCCGAAACGGCGAATCGCCTTACGGACCTTGCGCGGATCCAGCCTGCTCTGCAACTGGGTCAGCTCTGATGTGCAGTCATCAACAGAGTCAACCAGTCTTCGCGACGTCGTGAGCACTTGACTATTCGGGACATCAAGAAGATGCCGACCTCCTCGGAGGGTTGTGCCTAGGTCGTATAACCGGCTTCGGAGGCCTGTGAAGTGAGGTGGGAGCCAAACCAGTCGCATGCGCACGGACGAAAAGTGTGTAATTGGGCCCATTACGCGGGGTAATTGGTACAGTAGGAAGGAGGGACAGCTGGTCAAATGTATTGCCCAAGAAGGGTTGGTAAGTCACCTGATATCCCCGCCCACCGGACCTGGCCGCTGAGATATAAAGCTGACGAATTGCTCTTCGCCGCCTCACCATCGACCCCTTTACGTTAGAATTTTCCGCCCAAGATTTACCCAACACCCTGCAGAAAGGCTTATCTCGATGGATAATAACCTACCGGATCTTCTGCGGGATTACGAATTAGTGACGCAGTTCCACGGGCGCCATACCATCCACAGGTTTGAAGACCCTGATGCGCCCCCATCGTCCCCACAACGGTGGGAATATTGGGAAAATGAGGGACGGATTGGCCGGGGCGGCCAAGGGGAAGTGTTCTTACAAAAATGTACCAGTGGCAGTCGAAGTTACACCCAGCGCGCAGTGAAGAAGATCCCACTTCCGTATGACGGTGGAAGACGACGGTACATTCGAGAGATCGAAACCATCATTAAATTCTCGCATGACAGGGTATGTACTAGTCATTGTTGAGATGCCTTGCGACAGAGCGGCCATTTAATGCGTTAACACCAAGTGAGGCTAACTTTAGATGAGTAGTACTCGAGGTACTTCGCGAAGACGCTGGGATGGTACAAATCAAGCGACTCGTTGTGGATCGCCATGGAGTATTTCCCTACGGGGGATTTGAATACATATCTTGGCGAACGCAAACGTCCGCCTTTGTCTGAAGATGACTGCTGCCAGGTCACTAGTCAAGTCTTGCAGGGCTTGGCTGTCATGCACGGAGCAGGTTTTGCTCACCGTGACATAAAGCCTCATGTGCGTGTACTCCAAGAAACTCAGGTACTGTGCAATGTAGCATTGAGCAAGGGGCTAACACCTGGCACTAGAATGTTTTGATTCAACAGTGTCCAACATCTGTACCGCACGGTCCTTGGTGGGTCAAACTTGCAGATTTCGGACTCAGCAAGAGGTTAGGAGCAGCTACTAGCGACAGCACTATGGGGATGGGCACCGAAGAATACAAGGCACCCGAGCTGTTCGACTACGGCGTTCTATCGGATATCAATTACCAGGCGGCAGATATGTGGGCCTTGGGCGTCATGACCTTCTTTCTATTGACGAAACGCCCTCTATTCCAGAGTCGACGGTCCATTGTTCTATATAATGGGCCTCCTGAAAGCCTCTTCCCCAGTGGTTCGGTAGATGATTGCCAGCTCAGCTTGGACGTACAGGCTTTCATTGGTGCTTTAGTGAGGCCAAAACCGGAGGAAAGACTAGGCTCTGAGGCAGCTAAGCGCCTTGTATGGGTTTATCCTTGGATGCCAAGGGTACCAACAATTCCAGACGCAAACAGCGAGTAAGTCCAACAACCCATAGAATGCTTTGAGCCGATGGCTTAACATGCTAGACCCTCGAGCTCACCCTCCAGAAGTCCAGTCGACGAAGAGAGGGGGATGGCAAACGTCGCTTTAGCGGAATGGACTGACCCCACAAGTCCGGGACAGAACGGAGAGACGCAAATCTTTGTAGCAGCAAAGGAGGGACACGTGGAGGTGGTCAAGCTACTTCTTGAGAATGGTGCCCATGTCGCAACTCCGGATAACGACGGGTGTACGCCAGTCTTTGCAGCAGCAAAGGAGGGATACGTGGAGATCGTTAAGCTACTTGTTGAAAATGGAGCCGATATTACAACTCCTAATGACGACGGGTTGACGCCAATCTGTGCAGCAGCAAGCCACGGACTTGTCGAGGCGGTCAAGCTACTTCTTGAGAATGGGGCCGATGTCACAACTGCGAATAAGAATGGGTGGACGCCAGTCTTTGCTGCTGCAACTACCGGATATGTGGATGTGGTCAAGCTACTTGTTGAGAATGGGGCCGATGTCACAACTACGGATAACTACGGGAGGACGCCAGTCTACGCAGCAGCAACGAAGGGACACGTGGAAATGGTCAAGGTGCTTCTTGAGGAAGGGGCCAATATCACAACTCCGACTAACTCCGGGTGGACGCCAGTTTTTGCAGCAGCAAACGAGGGACACGTGGATATGGTCAAGGTGCTTCTTGAGAAAGGGGCCGATATCACAACTTTGGGTATGTTTGGGAGGACGCTAGTCTATTCAGCTGCAGAGGGGGGACACGTGGATGTGGTCAAGCTACTTCTTGAGAATGGTGCCCATATTGCAACTCCGGATAACGACGGGTGTACGCCAGTCTTTGCAGCAGCAAAGGAGGGACACGTGGAGATCGTCAAGCTACTTGTTGAAAATGGAGCCGATGTTACAACTCCTAATGACGACGGGTTGACGCCAATCTGTGCAGCAGCAAGCCACGGACTTATCGAGGTGGTCAAGCTACTTCTTGAGAAAGGGGCCGATATCACAACTCCGACTAACTCCGGGTGTACGCCAGTCTGTGCAGCAGCAAAGAAGGGACACGTGGATGTGGTCAAGGTGCTTCATGAGAATATGGCCGACATCCCAACTTAACTCTGGCTCTGGCTCCGTGCAATAAAATCCAGATTTGTTGGAGGGATAGGTGGAATTTACTGGAGTACCACCTGGGCGAACGCGGCACATGTAGTTTGCCCAAGGGCGTTCATTTCTGTAAAAAGTGCTACTATATAGTCCTATCATCTTCATTCTTAGTGCGCCAAATGTCATATCTCTGCATGTAGTCGATATAGGTCTAGTCGCCTTTGAAATCTTTGGTTTCTTTCAGGTACAGTACAGTACGTGCACAATTGTATCCACGGAAAATCTGTTCTTGGGCAGCACTTGTGTTTTGTCCTATGCTCACTATCTGGTACCCAGCCGTACAATAGCCAGGTCTTCGGATTATGCTCCTCCCGAATAGCACGAGCCCTTAAACCCCTCTTGTAGCCTCATTTGGTCGCCTTTCAAGGGTAGCCTGCATAGATATATCTCCTGAACGCTACCTTACGATGGTTAAAAGAAAGATTCTGACTCTGACATTATTACTATCTCTTTCCCAATGTACATTGCCATGGTCTGCCGTATGAATAAACGTAGGCCAAGATGGCCGTCATGTCGTCATCCCCATCACGTCAGGAACATCAAACAACTATCTCGTTTAATCGACCTAGAATCAACTCATTGAACTGCACCCCAAGAAGGATACCGTCGGGATCAACCGCCGCCTGCCGCGTTACATCGCCCCCAAAATCCTCGTTGTCCTCATCAAGGCAGGTCAGACACGAGAGCACGACCTGGGAATACTTTTCACCCATTGCCTGCGGGAGCCTTTCTTTAGCGAGCTGCTCCATGTCTTCCTTGGCCTCAAAGATCATACGCCCGGTGTCAATGTTTCTATCTGAAGCAGTACCTCCAGGACGCATTACCCTGGCCGCAAAGTCACCGATGGGCCCGCCGGGGCTGGGCCTGTCGGATGGGTAGTCGACAAATGACTCCCAGAGACCAACTTCGAGTAGGCAGACGCCAAGGCTGTATATGTCATGCTGCATGCGATAAGAATCCTCGGGATACTCTCCCTGCCGGGTTGGGTGCCGATAGATGTCGCGATACCAGGCACCATCTCCCTGAAGGCTCGTAGCGCCACCGGCAGAGCGGAAGTGGTCAAAGCCTACGAGGAATGTGGCGCTGTGGGAGGATTCGAGGTCCTCCAGTAGCAGGACGGATTCGGGGTTGATGTTCTTATGAACAAACTTGAATGTATGCACGTAGCTGACAGACTTGGCCAGCTCCCGCGCGATGCGTACACGGCGGGTCACAGAGAGACCTGCACCACTGCGTCCTGGGTATAAAATAAGGGTTTGACGCAAGCTTTGCGGGATCCCCATGCCATTTGGAATGCGGAAGATCAAATTGAAAGAGAGGGTACGAGAAGGCTGACGGGGATCAGTGACCCGCATGACGCCCTTACAGTTGAGGAGACCAAAGGCTAGCGGATCAGCACGAGACAGTTTCTGAGCTAGGTTGCGGATGTCGTCTGTCATGGCTTCCTGCATTCCGGGTTTGCATGGGCGTGACTCGACGATATACCAGCAGTCGCCGCGGCTGGCTGCTTTGGTATTGGTGTAGGGTATGGGTCTATACTCGAAATGAGCGGAGGGGAGGAAGATGGGCTGCTGAGGGCTCTCGGTGCGGAGGGCAGTCCTTATTCCGTCGGCTAAGGACAATGGCGAGGCAGTTTGGTGCAATCCCGTGGCAAGGGCGATCCTGGGAGGGCAGTGTTCAGACGGCTGTCTCGATTGTGTTCTTCCGGAACTAGACGGCGACGCTGCAGGATTGGGCGAAAGGGGCCGTGGTGACGATGACTGGGCCCTACCGGGGCGCGGTTGCAGTGAGGCTTGGCTTTGCATCATCCCCCAGCGAAGCTGCTCGTCAATAAGGGGATTCTCAATGTGCATGATGAGAAACCACGAGGGATCGAACCGCTGCTGCCACTCCTCAAGATCCCGAATTACTGTGTCGAGGGTGGCTTTGACGAAAGCGTATTTTCCTTTCCGGACTCCCCTAGCGAATCCCAAGAAGCCTAGCCTCAGCTCCACACCATTCTTGTTCTTCTTCTCGAGGACACCCTCAAGGCTAGTGACAGCTGATGATAACTTGGTTGCGAGGATCCATAGAACACTTTCTAGAACGCGGTGATGCTCGGGGTCAATAATGGGCGTGAGAGGTTGGAGGAAGTCAACCTGGATCCGTGTCCGAGTCCAGCAGTTTTCGACAAGGGTTATCCGCTCTTCCACCTCGTTGTCAGCGGCCCTATAGTCTTTAATCTTCTCCCTGATGTATTGAACGCATCTAAGCCGATTAGTATGGCAACTCACATTAATGGTAAAGAGCATGATTTCTGAGCTACGTAAGTAGGCGCCGGCCTTACCATGGTAGGGAGCAGGGAAGGAAATGAGAGGTTTTGTCGAGGAGAAAGAGCATAGAATCGCACATACCTTGCGCAGACTTCAATGCTTGTTACGATGGTACCTGGCTCAATCATTTGGGATAATTTCAATGATCTTGACTAAGTGATGAACTTTTCGTCTTTGAGGAGATGAGGGGCTGGTGCGGTTTGGAGGATATATAGCTTCAATCTGCCTTGTTACGTATCGGCCTCACACAGTGCCGTCAGGTCCAGTGGCAGCAAATTTAAGTTGCATTTTGCAGGGCCCCAATGATGGGTGGTGTTTGCGTAGGTCGGTAAAGGATTAGCAGACAGTTTCTACCCAAAAGACATCATTTAGTGACGAACTCGGCAATTCCTTCTTATTTCGACTTGATCATCCCTCAAAATTGAGAGGGGTCATTGCAATCGGCTTCGCTAATTTGGTCAACGTTAAGGGGCTACAATAGTGGCTGTCGTATGTTTCGCCGGAACGTCAGCCATCAGCCACGAACGGCCAAAATAGCTCATTTTCCAGTGAACGTAAAGAGAGATAAGTGGAAAGTGGACTTGTACTGCACTGTATGTAGCCAGGGTTGAGGTTGTGAACCTAGCCCGGCTGTGCAGCGACCCACTACAGATTTTTCAGCCAATAAGTGACTCAGCTAACTACACAAGCATTCCCAGCAAAACGGCAAGGCATTCTTCAAAGCTGTGTGGACACACGATTTTAAGTTACTGAAGTCTAATGTGAACAAGGCAGCCTCACACATAAGTACGACCTAAGCCCGCGTATCATGATGCCCCGAGGTATCGAATCCTCATTTAGTCACAGCTCCCTCTGCATTGTGCACCCGACTTCGTGGCTGAACCGCTCAGGGAATGCCTCAAGGTACTTCGGAACGGCGTAGCAGTTTGCGTGTCAGAGAAACCGCTGACGCGACCCATCGGAGCTCCGCGGGCCAGACCCGCACACCCGACTTCGTTGTGCGCGCGCGAACCCCGACTAGCGTTGCAGATAAGTTTGCTACCATTTGACATAGATCGTTCGATTATACTTTCGCGGGGCTACGGCCCTGCGACCGAAGGCAGGTATAGGTACAATCTATACGAAAAGTCCATCTGAAGATGATGCATGTGAAGATCATTCATGTGGGGATGATGCACCTAAACCTGTTGAGGAGTCGACGGAACCTTCCGCTCCACATCACACCTACGTCTCATTGTAGAAGGGTGTGCATCCCGCGTAAAGCATTCTATTGAAGGTTCCATTTATACTTTGGCGCGTGGCTATAGGAAAAGTTTAAGAACAGACCGAATACATGGAGTGCGAAACGCATGGCTTCCGGTCCGCCTTTCTTCGGCGATCTTCTTTAGTACACCCACTCACCAGAGGTCCGCCGCCCCTCACAGCATCGGTCGGCAACACTCATGGGAAATGAAACTGTTTTCTCGATAGGACCCACTTCACTAAGTCCTCCTCTTGTAAAACAGTTAGCTTTTGGGCCTTTTCCATTGCAGCGTGGATGTTGACGGCGCCATTGCACCGGCCCCTCAATGTCGAGCGGGAGATACCACCAAGACGAGCTACGGTTGCAACAGTCGACGAATTTGCGTCCTCAATGGTTGCTTTTATAATACTGCGATCGGTATCTTGAGATATTGACGGAAATTTGGAGTCAATAGAAGACGATTTGCGGTTGTGCGAATTGAACGTTGTTGAGGATGATGATGTAATTGAGACGTTCGTGATGTGGCGGACCTTGGGGGTGGCGGACCTCCGGTGAGTGGTCTACATCTCAGCCACACCGGAATGATCCTCCTAAGGCGAGAGCTGAGTTACTTATCCTGTGATGAATAAAATGTCGAAGTGCGAGTATTAGGTTCGGGTCGAAAAAGCAAATACCACCAAATGGGTGTGGATGCGGCGTATGCATTCCACCGTAGCCAACAAAGCCAATTTCTGGCCAAGTCAAGGTCAGCCCTGTAGGTGATCTCGAGCCAGCCGAACGGCCAGAGCGGCTCCTCGCGGCAGCGAACCTGCGTAAACCTCGGTGATAAATTTAGATCTGTTACCTGGGTTTGTTCAGTATCATAAATTTTGATTCCACTAGGCATTCATATTGTTAAGTAGCAACAAACCACATTGATTTCAGAATTCTGGTTGCGTAAAAGTACTCTTTCCTATCAAGTCCCAATGACCACAACCTGTGCCTTCTCTAAGACAATCTTTGCTCCTGGGTGTTCCTCGGGTATTTTAGACAAGCCGCCGAACAGGCAGAACTGTATCTTTCCTGTAAATTCGCCGTGTCTGATTGACTCGTGGGCGAATTCCTCCACACAATCAGTCCACTCGCTCAGTAAGGCCCGATGGGGCGGCTTTTCCATAATAAATGTGTCTCGGGATTTGCGCGTCATGATGGCCAGAGAGTAAGCCTCTTCACAAAGCTTAACTAGTGCAGCCCGACCTCTCTCTTCATCTTCATGATTTGTCGTGAGGGCGGGCAGCATGAAATCCCAGATCCTCTCGAACGTTTCTTTTGGCGCGTCCGGCTCGGTCCGCATCAGCTCAACACACTTCAAAGTAGCAAGTCTCCAATCGGCCATCTCCCTTGGGTATCGTACTGCGACTGATCAATCGTTAGCGAGCTATGTGTACCTCAAGCCCAATTACGAGGGAGTGCATACTTTGTAGATTCTTCCAATCTTGTTCGATTTCAGTCAAGCGCCGCTCGAGCTTGTGGTCCTTATGCCCAAGACCAAATTGCGGCCGGCTGAGTAAATTCTCATCTAGGATGTCGAAAACCTTGCCCCTAAAGCGGTTCTCGAAGTACTGAGATGGAATGCGCTTCGAAACAAATGGCTCGAAGAAGCTTCGGGACTCGTTACTCCGGTCCCCAGCAGAAGAAATCCGCTCTCTGCTATACAGCTTCCTCACAACCATGTGAGCCAAATTCCGGACCTCCATAAACTTGGCTTGCACGTCGCCGTCTAGGATGATGCCGCTTGGAGCTTTGGTCAAAATGCCGCGCAGGTTGGCCAGTTTGTCTTGGAGTTCCTTAGCTCTGTATTGTTCTTGGAAGAGTTGGCGCTTCATGTTTTCCTGTTTGTCAGTAGCATCTTTCACCTGCGACCGCGCCTGATCAAGTTCTGACTCCTTCGTAGCCAAGCGCACTTTTAAGTCGTCTACCTCCCTCTCTAGACTAGCGCCTGGAAGAGGTGCTTGGTCGGTTGCAGGAGCGGCCGCAGGCCCAGGTCCATCCCTACTAGATAATTTGCGCGTCTTATATGACCGTAGGTCGCTCTGTTAGGATTTCGCGAATCTTAGCCATGATAGGTGATTCGGGGAGCTTACAAGGGATCCTCCAGGGAAGCCGGTTGAACTTCTCTGCTCCGGAATAGCTGCACACTCGAGTGTACCAATGATAGTTTGGCATTCCTTTTTGATGATATCCCTCACTTGTCCAAGGTGCGTCGTAAGGATCTGGTTGAGCTCCTCGACAGACTGCCGATCGCCTCTCCAATCCATCGGGTCCCCTCGACATGCTGCTTCGTTTTCCATTGTAGTCAGAGCGTATCGTGAAAAGTTAAGTGAGCCGTCTTAATGATGATGCAAAGTGAACTCCCTTAAAAGACTCCAAGACCCCGTAATGTTCCTGCACAGAGATGAGACACGGCGGCGTTGGCTGGATACCCACTCCTGTCCGTAAGCCGATATGACATGTGCTTAGAGCCACATCGGATCGGACAACATAATCACTTGGCGCGCACTGTCTCGGTTTTCTGACCTGCGGTGACGTAATATAACTTTATTTGCCGCCTCTTTTTGCATCTGATTGGTACTCGAAGCCTAGATGGGGTGTCGGTGGCGTGTCGTATCCTTGAGCAGACGGAGTGGCGTAACACCTATACCTAGAACATGTGATTCAATAAGATAATAATATCATAATCATCTATGAGCTGGCTTGGTGTGTACTTGCTCTAGCGGCGTCGTCTCAGATCATCCATATCATCATTTCATGGGCTGATTCTTGAAGTTACTTGCAGGCCAGCGAGGCTCAAAAGCTAGATGATTCAAACCAGGGTGGGTATAGCTACAAAGAATAAAGTTCCTCATACTAGAAATAATGTTAACCTAAATTTAGTCCTTTTATACAGCTAAAAGTGTGGTGACCAGACAGCGGAGGATGCCGCGCCCAGTGGCACTGAGGCTTGGTTAGAAACGCATTTTGACCGGCCACCAATCCCTTCAACTAAAAGCTAAGAATTCACCGTCTCGCCTCACTTCTGATCTTAATTCAATTCTCTCACCCTTACCAAGCTATTTCATATCTTATCTCTACAACGTGAGCAATGAGTGGCGGGCTCGTTAAAAGCATGGCGGACCTAATGGGCAAGCCAAGGGTACTGGGGGCTGAGGACCGAGTCGTCATTTCTCTGGACTTCGGAACAACCTTTTCTGGAATTGCGTATGCTTTCTGTAATCCAGCAAAGAAGCCAGTTGTTACCACCATAGTGGATTGGCCGGGTAGGATTGCCTGACATAACAACTCTGGTTTCCCCTTGGACTAGCGAATCTACGCTAACATCCTTTCTGATCTCCAGGACTTGAAGGCCGCACACAGCCGAAGACACCGACCAAAATATCATACGCTCCAGACGATGCGAAACAGTTCAAATGGGGAGGCCAGCTGGACTGGGAAGACGACTGCGTTTGCGGTGTGAAGCTGCTTCTCGATCCAGACCAACCGGAGCCTTTATACCTCCCAACAGGCAATAAGAAAAAAGAGATCAAAAGGTTACCTAAGAACCCCGTTGACGTTGCGGGCGATTTCATTGGAGCCATATACACCCACGCCATGACTAAGATCGAGTCTAAAGTCCCGAGGGAATACTTCCTTCTTTGTGAGAAGCAGTTTGTCTTAACTGTACCAGCTGTATGGTCAGATAAAGCAAAAGACAATACACTTCGGGTTGGTATCTCCTGATTCTGCAGAAGTAACGCGACCCAATAGCTGACATATTGCCAGGCGGCAAAGAAAGCGGGGATCCACCCAGTGAGTCTAATAAAGGAACCAGAAGCCGCGGCACTGTACACCATGTACAGCCAGGAAAGGGCACTAGGGGTAGGTTAGTTATGCTCTTGCTGGGTGATTCTTGAACGTTTACCTTACTAATCCAGATCGGGGATGCCTTCGTTTTGTGTGACGCAGGTGGCGGAACGGTGGATCTAATCACGTACGAGGTAGTCGCAACAAGACCGGGTTTGGAGCTAGCCGAAGTTGTTCCAGGGTCTGGTCAGTAAATCCCAAATCTAGAAATAATGGCACCTAGCTCTAATGCGGGAATAGGTGGCATGGCTGGCTCTCTTGGGCTGAACAAGAGATTTGCCGAAGCGGTCCAGGACCTTGTTGGGGAGGAGGAATGGATAAAACTGAAAAAGGGCAAAGGATGGAGAAAGGCGTACGAAGAATTTGATCAATATGTCAAGCGGCGTTTCCTCGGTGACACTGAGGAAGAGTATTTGATCAACTTCCCTCAAGCTGGTTTGGAGGATAATCCGTTCGAAGGGCTTAAGAACGATTGCTGGGCCATGACTGGGTGAGTCTCGCCATTTAACCCCGCGCTATGTATGAGACTGACTCTGGCGAAAATGAAGAGCAAGGGTGAAGCAAGTCTTCGACCCTCTTGTAAACGATATCCTTCGCCTCGTTGACGAGCAGGCCAAGAATGCCCTTATAAAGAGACAGGGTCGGGGCATCAAAGTCAGAATCACTTGCACATCTCAGGAGATCTTTTCTGACTCTTCCAGGGAATATTCCTTGTTGGCGGCTTTGGTGCTAGCCAGTATCTCAAGGAATGTATACAAAAGGCGCACCCTGATGTCCAGGTGGGCAATCTCAATGATTCTTCGCGGTGCTCAAGTTCACACTTTGCGTCAGGTTATACAGCCCGATGATGCTTGGGCCGCAATCCTCAAGTAAACGAGACGCTCTTTAGGCCCTGCCTCTGACTTCGGCTAATCCATGCATAGGGGTGCCGTACTGAGCCGATTGCCACACCAGGCAGTTGTGGTCTCGACACAGGCAACACATCACTACGGAGTAGCTGCCTTGTCCATTTACGAACCGGCTATTGACAAAGGGCGGCCAACTGAGGTTGGTCAGTATGATGGAGTGACGCGGACTATGAGGGTAAGAGAGGCTAGTTTCGAGATCCTTCCTTGAAAACAGCTGACGGAACATAGATGACCTGGTACATATACATTGGCGAAGACCTGAAGAGAGATCAGATGATGAAGTTCTCATTTTATCGGACTTTGAACGCGGACTACAACAACGATGATCTCATCTTTACGGACAAGCTAATCACATGCGTTTCGCCAATCCCGCCTAATCATCCGACTCAGGACACTAAAGAGAACTGCACCCTACAGGCGGACTTGCGGGATGTAGATAGGGCTCTCTTTAAACAGAAGACAGGCATTGGTGGCCTCACTTATTACGAGGTGCACTACGATCTTGCTGTATCGACGCAAGCTGCGAACATGAAATTTTGGTTGGAATTTCAGGGGAAGGAAGCAGGATCTGTTAACGCTGACTATAATTGAACGTCGGTGTCATTGCTAAGGTAAATTAGGTAATGGTAGGGCTTGGCAGTTAGTTTGCACCATTTTGTATTCGTCGATAGCTTATGGCCTTTCAGATGTGCTACAAAACTCACGCGAAGCAGCCAGACGATCCCTAATTGTCATCCACTGTCGCACGTAGTCTTCCCACCGATGAATCAGAGCCCTTACCAGTGGAGGTATCCGCGCCACTTGCCGCTGCTGTCGACCCAGGAGGTAGCTGTCCAAACATCACATCTCCAGATCCTGCCAAGATATAGGGGGCCCAGATTGCCGGGTGTTTCAAGTCGACGGTTGCATCACCCCGAGCATAAATCCTCAAGGTGGCGCTAAGAGCCTCCTCAGATATGGCTGGGTCTCCAGCTAACAGGGGTACAACGCAAGCCATCTCAACGGAGGATAGTGCTTACAAGCCGGATGCAGACAGTGGCCTTCAATACCTCGTATTTGTGGCTTGGCTCTCACCTAGGAGGCAGCCGATGTCTGCCTTGGCTGGTTCGCAGTGATAGTGGCGAGGAGCAGCTTCACCACCGCCTCGTGTCCGTTGGCGGCGGCTCTTTGGAGTCGACGTGGACCTTGCCCATGTCGAGGAGCATCTTGACTACCGCCTCGTGCCCATTCTCCGCCGCCCACGAAAGAGGTGTCTGGCCGTGCTCGTCTTTGGAGCCGACGTCGACACCACTCGTGTTCAGAAGGATGTCTGGCCGTGCTCGTCTTTGGAGTTGACGTCGGCCTTGCCCGTGTCGAGAAGCATCTTGACCAGCGCCTCGTGTCCGCTCTTGGCAGCCCATAAAGCAGGCGTCTGGCCGTACTTTGCTTTGGAGTCGACGTCGACCTTGCCCGTGTTGACAAGTGTCTTGACTACCGCCTCGTGCCCATTCTCGGCTGACCCTGCAAGAGGTGTGTGACCGCGCTTGTCTCTAGAGTTAACGTCGACCTTGCCCGTATCAAGAAGGATCTCAACTACCGCCTCGTGTCCCTTCTCCACGGCCCATGAAAGAGGTGTGCGGCCATACTTGTCTCTCGAGTCGACGTCGACCCCATCTGTGTCGAGAAGCGTTTTCAGCACATCATCGTGTCCGTTGGCGGCGGCCCATGAAAGAGGTGTTGAACGCCCTGAGGATAACATGTGCCGGCTAATTGAAAATCCGGTCCCGGATCGCGGTCATAACTTCGAGCCGATAGACCTTCTAAGCCGGGCCCCTGTGATAGCAGCTTTGCCCTAGCAGCCGCTGTTGCTTTTCCAGGAATTTATACCTATTTCCCTAGTAAAAAGCTGGGTCAGCTACACGAATAGCTGGGTCAGTCATCTATTGCAGCAGCACAAAGCCGGCAGCCCTCCATTAAAGCCATGGTCGCGGTTGTTGACTTGGAAGCCGACCTCCGTTGCCGAAGTCTACATATGGCCTGCGATCTTGATTTATATGCAAATTCACATAGAACCAGCGATCGAGGACTATTGGAAGGTTTCTGAACCGCAGGACTTTGAGGCAGACCACCCAGTGACTAAGTATATGAGTTATGACCGCTTTATACAACTATCACGGCATCTTCGTCTCTTCAACTTCACAACCATCGATGAGGGCCCTGATGTGACCTTTTACGGCCGGACCTACAGCCGGGTCAGAGCCTGGTCTGACCACATCAGGGTTCAAATCCATACCACGAAATCCACATATGGATCCATAATGTGGATCCATATCCATTCCATTCCATTCCACGTGGGCTTCAGCATTTCTATATCCACGCCACGGAGCCCCTTCTATATGTTCTATATGTAGAAATTATAGAAAGGAATAGAAATTTTAAATAGGGTTTGAAAATACCTGGATTTTCTTATAAAATAATATATACCCTAAGTACTTTCTATTGCCCACAATAACACAATAATATCAATTTGCTACCCCATTTTATCTATATATAAAATTTAAATAAGTCTATTCTAGGGGCTTTACTATTACTTATATTACTATCCTAAATTAAAATAGCCACCCTCTATCCTACCGAGTTAACTACACCCGTCCCAGAACGTATAGAAGAAGACAATTAACGACTCTTTTAGCTCTACAAAGGCTGGACCTTGACGGAGAGAGACGGCCAAGTACGTCAATAGGTATATAAGTTCGGCTACGATATCCAGAATGCATAGAAGCGGGAACGCCGATGGGTGTGTTACCTTTGCATCAAGCAAAAGCGGCCGAGGCTAAAGAGTTATGCCACGATGCAATGGATCGGTATGGCCGCCTAATGAAAGTAGATTCTAAAGAAATACAACGCCAGCTTGGAGTAGCTGGCTTCACAAATATTCGTAAAACAGTTATTAAAGCGTATTATAATAACTGGCCTGAAGATTCTCATAACAAAGAGGTAGATAATTGGTTTAATTTTGGATTCTCTGTTAGTCTTGCAGCTCTATTATACACAGCTATAGTCGAGACGCTAAGGATATTTAAGAAAGAAGTAGAGAGTCTTTACAATAAAGTTAAGAGTAAGATATATACGCAAAGTTATTATATATATTATATAATATAAGTCTTTATATATACAGCTTTTGGGGTTATTACTGACAGCTGATAGAGATATATTTAGACAGTAAGAAAACTGGAAATAGCTTCTAATAACTCTTCAGCTTATTTAAGCTAATCTATTTATTACTATATGTAACGGTTGTGTCTTCTGGTCTGCTGTAGATGTAGTCTAGGGTAGGTAGAGGGGTAGTTGCTGGTGGATAAACCGTAGGTTTATGTTAGCAGAGCGGTTAGGGCGTTAACTTACTGGTAAGTATTACGTCTGGTAATGGTTAAATACAGTGATGCGTAGCGAGTCAAGGTGATTGAGGTAACTAAGTTGTATTGATAGCTGAGGGGCTGCCCATACTAGATGTGCATTCCTCAGTTGACTATATACTAGGGTGCTTACCGTGTCCTGTTCCTTCTGCTCACGTTGCTTACTCTTTGGGGCGTTGTGTGAGTGGGCGTCCGTAGTTCTGCTCACTCCGGTTTAAGTGGGTCCGCTCACTCCGGCCTGAAGTATCTCCGTACTTCCGGTTCTGCCGGCCCTGACTGCTCTGGCCTCCCAAGAGGTCGCCCAGGCTGTGACAATTCTTTAAGGCGCGCTATGTTTCCTGGCTCTGCCTTGAGAGCTCTTATCTATCTTTATTTGAACTTTAGCCTTCCAGTTCTTCTATTCTTAAATCAATTCTTTAGCATTTTTAGCGTTATATTCAGGCACCTAAGTTAGCTTCCAGTTAAAGATATAGTACTTAATACTATTTTAGCAGCAGGAAGGGACGGAAAACAACACCCAACTCATTAACTTACCCTAGGGGAAATACACAGAGAGTCGTCGCACAGGCGTCTTGGCCGGTCAGCCCGAAGCTGCACCAGATTACGCGTATGAGGTCGGATCAATCTGAGGCTCATGTCTCCTGATAGGGAAGCATCTCATGAGGTAGAATATCGGGTCGGTCGCAGGAAAGTTCGCTGGCAAGGCATCAATGGGGCCTGCGGCAGCCCGATATCTGAGGGAGGTTGAAGACGGAGGTTGGACAGGGAATGTAGTAACGGCAAGAAGGCTCAAATAAATCTCTCAAAAATAAAGGCAATTAATTAATAGACTCCCTAGCAGCCTCGAGTCCTTCCGGCCTCTCTGACTTTTAGGAAGAAATCTCTGATGAAAAGGAAAAAGCTATGATTTTCCCCAGTGACGGCACTGACCTCCCCTTTTAACCCCATCCGGGTCACCCTAGAGACATCCCCGCTAGCGACCAGCTAGCCCAAGTGTCCCTAACCGCCTGTCACACTATTAATCTACTTTTCCCCGATAATCCGTCTAATATCCCATTTTTTAGAATGCTTATTAAATAGGATATCTGATGTAATGTTATTTGCTAGTGGTTTTAGAGGAATTTTAGTTAAAGGCATATTTAAATTATCCTCTAAGAAATAGTCTGGGAGATTTTCCTAATTAAAACTCACGTTAGAGTTATTTGCAGTTATCTTTTTATAATATTAAAGATCTCGGCGTGTAGTTTAATATAAGATTTAATCTTGAAATTATAATTATATATAGATATACTAAAGTAAATATTTATTATTAGTTATATAATTAAATTAGGTTTAGAAAGAGTACTAACTATATATATACTAACTTAATATAAAGCCTTGAATATTAAGTTATGCAAATATAAATAAAATTAAATATCTAGTATCTATTTTATATTTAATTTATATAGATACTTTCCCTTAGTAAGATTAGTAATATAAATTTATAATAAAATATTCTATATTAGAGTAAGAAAAAACTTCTATTTATTTTTAAATTAAAGTTATTTATTTTTAGTGCTATAGCTTTTAAAAAAACCTCTTCTAGCTATATATAAATTTATCTAGTTATATTACACCCACTTTAATATATTTTATTATATTAGCCTATTTCTGTCTTATCTAATCTAATACCTTCAGTCTAGCCCCTTTAAGTAACTATTTATAAGGTAAATATAGGTTATAATAGTCCTATATTATATTAATAGTAGCAAATTAGATACTTACCTAAGTTTAGCACTCTTAGTAAAGATAATCTTATTGCTAAGTATAATTCTATAAATAAATAGCCTACAGCCTTTTAAGTATGCTTTTATATTATATTTTAATAATATAACTTTCTAAATATAAAAAATAATAATTTAAAAGCTTTTACCTTTAAATAATTATTTAAAAATATTTAGGGGGAGACTTTCTCTAGTAATAATAAAATATATATACCTCCATCCTCGTCAGACTTATAGCCCTCTTTAATAGAGCTGTTTACATAACTATATACACTCTTAACACAACTTATAATTCCTCTAATTTTTTTTTACATCTTTTAGTTTTTTTAATTAGAAGGACCTAACTAATAACTTTATTAAGTATATTAATACTAATACAGCTAATACTAACAGTCTTACTGGCTATTATAATAATGCTATTTACCTAGATATTAATACTATTACTATTAACTTAGCTAGCAGCTATAAGTTCGTCCAGGTAACTTCTTAATAGGCCTTTACTTATAGCCTTTTTATTACCGATATTGCCTATATATCTAGTAGTATCTGTAAAATTTAGCCTGCTATATAGTTTTTTAGACCTAATTAGCCTGTCTTTAAAGAGATTGATATTATTAAGAGTATTAATATACAGACCTATAATATTATTACTCTTTATACTAACTCTAGCTATAATATTTCTAATAGGGGCACTATTAAGAATACTACTCTTATAGAAACTAACTATAATATTAGTAAGACTAGAATAGGCTGCAGTTAGATTACTACTAATAACTAGAATTATAGTAATAGCTTTAATAATAATAGTAGTAATATATATATTATAGAATAGACCCCAGACTATATCTCTATATAGTTCTTTCCCTATAACTATATTCCTATTAGTATCCAGGGCGACAATCCAGACTTATTTACTTAGAGTCTACCTATTGCCTATTTTATTAGTAGTTCTAGTTGCAATATAGATATATATTTTTAGAATAACTACCTTATTTTTAATACTATTTTCTACAGTAATTAAGCTGGCTCTACTAACATTTAAAATAATAATATAAAGTACTTAGCTATAGGCTCTACCTATAATAAATTCGTTACTGCTAACCCCACTACTTTTTTAAAGGCTTACTAACTAATTAAGTTTATTAAAGTTTTTAAGTTAACTATATCTAATTATACTACTAAATATAGCCTATTATATAGCTACTTTCTTACTTAAGTAGCTTATAGTATTTATATAGATAGTATATTTAGATAAGGTAGAAAGCAAAGTAGAGAAATAGATAGAGTACTTTATAAATACCGGGATTGGGTCTTATAGAATAGTACTTATCTCTCTAAAAGATCTTATTAACTTAAAGAGCTGCTCTTATACTCTTAAAAACCTTAAAGAGAGTTAAGATATTAAGTAATTAAATATATTTAGATTTAAATTATATATAAAAATCTGCACTAACATTTTCTTCCTATTAGCCTGATTCTACTCTATATATAATAACTAAACTTTTTAAGTCTTAGCTATATTTATTAAATATTCTTACTAATTAAAAGCCCTATATTATATTATAATTATAAGATTAACTTTACTCTACTAAGATATCTATTCTCCTCTTTACTAATAAGAACCTAGATTATATAACTAAAAGCAATTAATAGGAATATATAATAAATTAATATAGATATATAAGTCTTAGGGACGTATGGATTTTATAGCCTTTAATTTGTCAGTTATGTTTTTATTAGTATAAGTAGAATTCTACTAAAGATCCTAAAATATAGAGTACTAGGAGCTTAGCTCTTCTTAATCTTACCTAAATACCTAGCATAACGCAATTAAGCTCTCTATTAGCAATTTATCCACTACCAGTCTCTTAACTATCTACAATTAGGACCTTTATCATCCTCCAGTCTGGGTCACCTTCTAGCTCAGAGAGCAATTCAAGATATTGAACCCGAAGCCCCAGTCCTAATGACTAATTACATTCCCAAAAATAACAGTAGCAGGGCCGACAAGCCAGTACCCAGGCTAGTACCTTAAATTAACGCTAGATATAGAGCTAGTCGGCTATTCTTAGAGCGAGAAGAAACATATTATCGAACGGAAGATGCAATTTATATTTAGAGATAAAGGAGTTAATAGGAGCTGCTTAATTGCAATAAGGAGATTCTTCTCTTTATAGTAGTAAGAGGAGATATAGATGGCTGCTCTTAATGGAATTGGCCCAATTCTATATCGAAATTAATATTTTATTTTAACGCCTAAATATAACTAGTTCTAAAAGGCTGGCTTTAACTTGGTTGCTTCTATACTAATAAGATCTAAGCTTATTAAGAGTGCTGGCTTTACCACCTTTGCTAGAAGGTATTTATGGGTCTAGAAAACTTAGTCTAATTAGATATTAGAAAAAATCATATGTCTCTGAGACTTATGCATTCGTATCAATTCTTTATGCATCCCTATCAATTGCCAACTAAATATCTTGGCGTATATTCATATATACTGTACGATCAGCTGCATATAAAATGCCTTTAAAGTGTACTGTGGATATTCAACGCAGCCTGGCTAGTTGCAGTCTTTTACAGTACAATTCAAGGTGCCATCCCGGCCCTGAAATTTCCTAGAATGCAATCGACGACCCTCAACATGGCTCGATTGAACCAGCATAGCAAGCACCTACCGGATAACGTCGGAAGGTTTTCGAAGAGAGTCGATGCTGCACTACCAGGCAAGCACACTCGACAACTATACGACGGCTTGTCATGGAGAGAAGCCAGCGTGCTGGCGCAGCTCAGGACAGGCATGGCCAGACTGAATGGATACCTCTTTCGGATCACAGTAGTACCATCACAGCAATGCGCATGTGGACAAGCGACAGAGACGGTTGAGCATTTTCTCTTCCGATGCAGAAAATGGACGGCACACAGAGCTCCATCGACATATTCGGCATCACCCATGGAGGCACAGCCCTGCACTGGGCCGTAGAGCTGGGGATGACTGGACTCGCAAGAACTCTCGTCTCATGCGGGGCAGATATCCAAAACGCCTTCAAGGGAGTAAGACCGGTAGATATTGCTATTCGGAGGAACAAACCGGAGATCCTCCGCGTATTTCTTGAGGAGTTACGTCAAAGAGGCGAAACCCTCGCCCAACCGGGCCTCCTTTCTATACCCGGCCCGACTAATAAGAGCATCTCCTTTGGCATGTAGTTCGAGAATTACGTTGTCCAGGCCATAGCCTTATATCTATTTCACGAACGGCTAGTATATAGAGGTAAAGGCTAGGCTAACGCCTTGGAGTATACTTTACTTATTCTTTGCAAGTTTAACTTAGCTCCGAAAGTCCCAATATTAGCACTCCCTTAGCTCCTATAGTTAACAGGGGATAGTACTGCTATCTTAAAAATCCTTTCTAAAGAAGATTTTCTAGGAGGGGGCAGCAACCAGGTAAAATTCTAGGCTGATATTGCAGAGAAGATCATTAAAATAGCTAAGCCTACAAATATCTTATACGCCATAAAGTATGCCAAGGCATACTCTACCAACAGTTACATTCCAAATATAAAGAAGCTTCTAGACCTCTATATAGAGAGTTTTAAATATAATAGAACTGTAGTAAATATAATTGCCAGTAAGAGTATTAAGATAAATTTCCTTATATAACAATCCCAGATACCCTTAATAAGAGCAATTTTAAGCTGGAATTTTAAGATTACTTCTACTTTTATCTAGTATAAGGCCGATATTAATGCTATGTAGAAGCTAATTTATCCCAGTTAGCCTAATAAAGAGTATCCTAATATAAATATTCTCTTTAAATATCTTATAAATAACCTAGATATAGCCTTAGTGCTACTAAGATACCTTCTTAAATTATTATACTCTAAGAAGAACTTAATTTTATTATTTATTATAATACCCAATAAGAAAATAACTATATTGTACCTTACTTACCAATTAGAAAACCTCCTAATCGTGAACTATATCCTTAAGAAGTTCAACACCCCATATCACCTTGACTTTATTAATAACAGAGGTTTTATAGTATTGTATTTTATGGTTTTTTACGGCTATGCTAATATTATAAGAAAGCTATATAAAAAAAAAATACAAGTCGACATCCTTATAGGGGATAAATTTGTAAGTCCCGAAGGCCGCCGCAACACCCTAGACTACTACTATTATCTACTTAATCTAGATATTAGTAATTTACAAGACTCCTATAGTATAGTTCGAGACATTTAGAATATCTACCTAGGCTGCTTGGAAATCTTAAAAATACTAGTATACAAGCATCAGGCTGTTTATACAGTTAATTTAGAGGATAATAACAATATAATTTAGTGCATCAAGCTATATTTCTACATAGCATAGAATAATATAAGCTGTCTCCTAAAAGTTATACTAGAAGACCTCCAAAACAATCCCAAATCTAGCATGCCCTAGCAAGATATATTAGACTAGCTTCTAGCTAACACTACACTAAGAAGCTAAGCTAGTAATATAAAACTTCTCGTTAAATATAGCGCAAATATAAATTAGATGCTCCATGGAGATAAGTAAAAAACCCTCCTTTACCAGGTTGTTGCAAATAGAAATGCCAAAATAGCCTACCTACTTTTACGGGCTGGTGCTAATATAAATGCCTATAATAAGGCAAGCAAGACACCCCTCTTATATAGTATGCAATGCCAGGATTTATATATATATTAAGTGCTAAAACATTTTAATAGAATAATAACACTAAAGAGAGATTCTATAGCTTGAATTCTAGCTAAGAACATAGGCGGTAATATCAAGCGCATAATAGCATCTCTATAGGACCGGAATATTCATATAATTACTAAGTTAAGAGGGGAGCCCAGTAACAATAATACAGTACATAAGAGTAATAAAGCTAAGGGGAAGGAAAAAGAGAAATAAGATAAGAACTAAGAATAATACCCTTCCCTTTTCTAGTACTTAAATACTAAGACCCCCCTCAATACAAAACAACAGCTTCGCAACAACATCATCTACAAATACCAACGCCATCCTCCCTCCCCCGGGAATATTTACTTCATCCCACCTAAAATTATCATCCAAGCATACCATTATCACATCCCAATATATTATACCCATTCTATATACAATAATCCCCGAATAATTCAGCATATACATCTAAAGATCCTCATGCCTGTTAAAGCTCAGCAAGTCCTGCTACATAGCAATCTCAAAGAGCATCAATCCAAGCAAGTAAATATCGTACTTTAGTCGAAACTGCATATATATGCTACTACATAGATCTAGATGCTGCCACAAGCGGAGCGGAGAGTCGGGATTGTACATATTAATAGTGATTTCCCCTGGCTTTTTGCAACGCAAGATATCAAAACTAATAATAAGAGGTCGGCTGAAGTTGATAGCGCCCTAGCTGGTGCGGGATCGGAAGAGGAGAACGTTCCAGCTATAGAGGCTCTTATAGACCCAGGAGATACTTAGTAGAAATAGGATACCATCGGCCAGGGCGTGGGCTAGATGGTAGTGCTCCTCGAGGGTTAGTAGGGTGTTGCAGCTAATGCATTTAGCTATACCAAATATTTCAAAATTGCGCCGGCTTGTAGTAGGGAGAAGGGAGTAGAGCAAGATAGACTCGCGACTTGGGTCTGCTAAGTCGGAGAGAGAGTAGACTAGGCCGAATTGTATATAAGTGTAGCGGATATAGCTATAGCAACCGGGGAGTATCTTAAAGTAGAAATAGCCTGCAAGCTTAAGAAGTAATATAAGAGTAGCAATCTATTTATTAAGCAGCTAGATATCAGCGTCGGGGAGGGAATCTGGATATTGCGTCCCTTCTACTAAAATTATAGAATTATCTAATTGCAGTTTGTATAGAGTGTAAGTTTATTTCCCTTAACTAGGTACTTAAGGCCCGACTAGTATATTCATCTTAAGGACTATCTATTTTAACTCTAATAGCAATATGCCTCCCTTGAGTCTCTTAGCCTTGATAATAGCAGCGGTGTATATGGCCTGGTATAGATTAACATAACCAGCCCGTATTACCATAGCCTCTCTAATATTTCGCAATTTAATCGGCTCGGCTACAACTAACAGCATTTTAAGACTAACAAGTCGCCCAGTTATATCAACTCTATTACCACTCCAACTAAACAACAGAAAGATCAATTCTAAGCAGTTATTAAGATCCCTTAACATCTTCAGGGCCTCCTCGAGCTTCATGCTATTACTTATATCATTAGAAAGCAACCAGCCAAAATTGACCTTATAGAAGAAGTTTACAGCTCAGCTACACTCCTATCAAATAGTAATATCCCAAGATAGCATTACAGCAACTTATAGACTGGAAAAGAAGAGATTAATATTATAGAGTCCAGTTGGCGCTGGAATCAAGGCCGGCAACGGGGTAATACCTTACAAAACCTGCCCAGGACGGGTAGAGGATAACAACAACCCAGAGGTAAGATCTATAGCATACTTTCCCCTCAGCTTATTAAGTTTCTTAAGGCATCTATATACCTTAAAGAGAATTCCCAGAACTATCTCCTCTACTGTCCTATAATCCAGGGTAGCCCAGTTAGCATCGGCAGCAAGGAGGATACATCGTCGCAGCAAATTATCATAGACAACAGGCTCCCCGGACGCGGGATCTTTAGTAATAAGCCCACTTACTTGCACCCAGCTTTCAAAGCGAAAGTATTCAACTGCAATAAGAGCAGATAGGGCGCCTGAGAAACAGTCAAGCGTTAGCTAAACCACTCCATCCGCGACCACCGGAGGTCATACTCACCAGCAGTATCTGAGAAATTTCGTGACGACGATATATGGCGGTAAAGGTGAAAGACTTGGTGAAAGAGGGATGCCGAATTTGATAAGAGGTCCATACTGCCTGTCGTGTTCGCGATCGCGATACCTTCGCTTCCTCATGTATCCGCTTGGTACAAGTCGTCACGGATGAGTATCCGGCGGTAGGTTGTTGGGTGGGGCACTGGCCAGGAAGGGGAATTACAACTACAACCACCAATCCGTTTGAATGGGTCTCACGTGCTTCGTGACAAGGCAGACAGCCCTCGGCTGCAGGCAGAAAGTGAGATGGTCTTAGCCTCGTATGCAAGATGGCGTGGCGGGGCACTGCCTCCTGGTTTGGCAGCATCGTAGCCAATCGAGCTGGAGACGCAGCACTGTTTGTTGAATCCAGAAGGGGCTCAGTCTCGGGCTGAGAGGTGGAAAGCAAGGCGGATTTAATATTGCAGCTATTGTCCACACCAGCACGTCGTCCAATACATCCATGGCGGGGCAGCCGATGGAGAGTTCAGTGTTTTTTAGCCAGGCGGCCATACGACCAGCTGCGCGTGATTGGACGCCCACAGTCTGGAACCGGACCTCGACGAGCGGAACTCTGACCGGCTCTTGACGGGACTGAGGGGTGCTCTGGTATGCCAGGGAGCTTGGAATAATCGAGTGAGGGTGTCCTGACCTTCCTCCGGCTCCGTTTCCAGTGCGGCGGCCATCGAGATCTTTCAGCGTGCGGCGGATTTCATCGATCCGGACCCTGACCGGCTTTTTGCGGGCGTAAACGCGGACACGCTGCTGTGGTCGGTGCCCCACTTTGCAAGTCTGGCTTCCTTATCAGACTCAATGCAGCCGATTAAGCCCATTCGATCACCTCAGCTCAACTAAGGTAACATAGGGTTCGGACGGCAAAGTGCACAGCTGTTTTGGTGTCGCTGCAGGTTGTAAATCAGGCAGCAGCGGTCCAAGGGGATATTGATTGAGAAAATGCCGCAATTCCTTGACTTCAGCCGTCTTGGCTGCATCCGGTGAACCAATTCGGGACAACACATGGTATATTTTCTCTTTTCGCGAGAATAGAGACAACAAAGGTAATCCAATCGGCTTTACGCGACCGTCACGAGACGGGCCGGTCTTAGCAATAGTATCTAGTGAGCCGCCGACGAAGTGTGCTATGCATACAGTCGACGACCCACTACTCGCCTCATCTGACACCTGACATGCCGTGATCCCGCAATGCTGCTGAGCTGACAGGCCTCCAACAAGAATCTGCCTGACTGAGACTGACATGCATCTTCTTCTCGGCAATCACATCTTTGTCTCTCCTACGCGAGGAAGCGAGTTGCCGAGCTAGACGCACATTTCCAAGGCTTCGGTTTTGCTTAGCTATTGATTGTGAGTTTCTCGAAATGATCATCGGATGCCTGATGCTCCCGTAGACCCTTCAGTAAATGATCGGCTGCATGCATTTTGACGTATTACTAGCTACATAAAGTAAGCCTACGTGCCCCTGCAACCTTCCAGCAAGCCACCTCAGCTCAACTAAGGTAACGTGCAGTTCGGACGGCAAAGTGTATAACTGTTTTGGTATTGCTGCAGGTTTGAGTATTAGGCAGCAATAGGTTAATGTATTTACAGCAACGTTGGTTGATAAAATATTGTATCTTGCCGGTTTATCCGCGTTGGCTGCAGCCAGTAGATAAGCAATTTATGGGTCCTCGTATTGTATGAGGCAAGACAAGAAGCTCGGTTACAACCAACACCTGCAATGCAACAAGTTTTCTGCTTTTAGGGCGAATAGATAACGCAGATCATCTAGTTCTAAGCGATCTGCGCGGGGCGGGCCGATCTGCCCTACCTGCGACTTGGTGCTGGCAAGGGTGTACGGGGCAAGCGACACACTTTCAGCCACCCACCGTCAGTTACCCACTGCTGCAACCTTCCGTGTCACCTCACAACTGAGACAAGAAACCACGGCCTTTGATTCCCTATCCGGGTGCACTTGCTGCTGAGCCGTCAGTTTCTCCCCTCACTGCCCCACCACGACTTCTAATGCATCTGACCCCTCTCGCACCGGAAAGTGACCCGTCAAGCCGAATAATCGCCTTCTTGGCTTTGGGTCGCTCACCCCTACCTTTGTCTGATGATCAAGCGCTACCAAGGTCTGATACCCATTTGCCCCCACCACGACATAACCAACTTGCCTCCAACCAGGTCTGACGTGTGCCAGCGCGGTACTCGCCCAATAATTCCAAGGCCTTTTGGAGCATCACCCTTCCCTCGTTGATGTTGCTACTGTTTCCCTTCCTCGGATCGTTCGCATAATCGACTTCTCCTTCAATCGCTGTCGCTCTCGTTGTGACTCTCGTTGTCGCTCTCGTGGCATATCGACTGCTTTTGTTCGGTTCTTTCGCGGTATCCTCGAGCTTCCGCTTCATGCTTCGAAGCTTCATTGGCGTCGACACGAGGCCGCTTGGCCCCACCAAGGTCTCGGCACCTGCCGGAATGGGCATGATGAAAGCTAGCCCACTACCTCGCAACTCTTCCAATTCAGATAATAATAAAGATTTCAAGATAGATCCCGTCAATCATTCGATCAGTATCTTTCGTGTGTGTACAGTGACTTGCAGGGAATGTGCCTGGAGGAACTACGAAGTAAGTTCCGAAAGGTTCCTTAAGGGACCGCAAGGTGGCTGTGGCTGCGTCTGGTGGAGGAAGAAGGAAGCAAAAACTTACTGCCTGGGCTTGACCAGACCCTACAAAAGCACAGACCACTCTTCCTTCCGTATTGGGCCATTACATGGTGTATCACATAGTAGGTGGCCTTTGCTTTTACTGTACTGCACTAGCTTGAACTTCATGGGTCTAAGCCACACAGCCACAAGAGGCTTGAAATGACGCAAAGCAGCGAACGCAAGCTGAACAGCCATGCGACATTGTCGCCCTATCTGGCATTGATTGCTAGATCCTCTTCGCCCAAGTATTTCAGATATGTCCTTGACTCTCGCTCTCGCGGACTGCAGATAAGACACCGCTTGCAACGGGACAGGTTACTTGCTTATATATTGATAAATCTATCTTGAATATACTATAATATTTAGTTAGCAGGAGTTAATAAATAGAAATTGGTTAAGCCCTTGGGCCTGTAAAAGGGCATGAGGGATGAACAGAAATAAGTAACTTGAAAATATATGAATACTATACTCCTCGAGTTATTCAAGCCAAGTAGCAGGACTGTTGAGCTAGCAGGAAGTTGACATCATCGATATCCTCTACTCCACATATTGTGACAGGCGATTAGGAACAATTGGGCTAGCTGGTCGCTAGCAGGGATGTCTCTAGGGTGGTCTGGATCAGGTTAAAAAGGAAAGGAAGGAATCTGTACTGAGGGGCATGATCAGTTTTTAATTCTTTAGAAATCAGAGCTGGGAGTCAGAGAGTCCGGGAGGACTCAAGACAGCTTGAGTTTCTGCAAAATTCATTGCCTTCATTTTTGAGAGATTTATTTGAGCCTGTCTTGCTGTTACTACAATCCTTGTCCGACCTCTGTCTTCAACCTCCCTCTGATATCGGGCTGCTGCAGGCCCATTGATGCCTTGCCAGCGAACTTTCTTGCGACCGACCCGATATTCTATCTCATGAGATGCTTCCCTATCAGGAGACATAAACCTCTGATTGTTCCGACCTCAAACGCGTAATCTGGTGCAGCTTCGGGCTGACCGGCCAAGACGCCTGTGCGACGACTCTCTGTGCATTTTCCCTAGGGTAAGTTAATGAGTTGGGTGCTGTTTCCGTCCCTTCCTGCTGCTAAACTAAATAGCTAGAGCCTAAAAAGGCTTAGCTGTAGGAAGCTATTTTTAGCTAAAGAAGATTAGTATTTGTAAGGGGCGAGTCCTGAATTTGTCCAACAATAGGGTCCCGTGTATTGAGTATCTTAAGCTAGAGAGAAGAGAAGAAAAGCAGGAGCTGGGTCCTGGCGACCTCGCTGCGAAGACTCTGTGAGCTCGTAGCGCATCGGATATTCATTCCTCCGGGCCTGGCTCTAGCCCGGCCCACAACCAAGGCCCAGCCTCTGACAGTATTATCCTCTTTAATAGAGGCAATCTATTAGATAGACTGATAGAAAAGTCAGCTATACAGAAGACTATAATAAACTCTACTGTAACTTTTTACTGTAATATAATATATACTTCCTTTTAGTATTAGGCTAGAAAATCAGCCTTAGATCTATAACTAAGAATAAAGAGTCTAACTCTATTAATTAACTAATCTTAAAATACTAATACTAATTACTTTAATATTAGAAATCCAACTATTAAGATTATTTTTCTACTAGATGATATCTTTATCTTAGTAATCTATAGTAGTATGCTTATATGCAAGCCGAAGAGAACCTAAGTGCTGTGCTTGGCTTCTACACCTGTTAGATTGGATCATGTACAAAGCATCCGATCGGGTGGTCACGTAGTGACCTCCAGGGTCGAGACCGCCTATTGGTGCAGATACCTCAGGCCCCCACTTTTAGTCGACAGATATACACTCAAGCGATCACAATAGGGGCAACGGGGAGAACATAGACAATACACACATATCAAGCCACCTGAGTGCCACGCTAGCTTTCCGACAACACCCTATTCCTATGTCAACCCCTGCAAATAAACATACGTCCTTTGCGGTGTAGATCACGTGAGTTAGGAGCAATGATTTTTCCATTTCAAATCCATCCCCAGACGACTATCCCCCGCTTTTCTTCAACCCCGCTTGTGACGTAAGCTTGCTTGCTCGCCTGATCCAACTTCCGCGCGAGCAGCCTGCGCCGAGTGGGTACCGTAGACTGTGGTGGTGGTAATGGTCAAGAACGATGGACTACGGCAGCCATCCGTCCCGGTTGCGCAGACAGGGTGCATGGTTTGGAATCCTATCGCAATGCCATCCAATCCTTCCGGATTCCAACAGGTCCACGAGCTGGTCAAGCGAACATGCAGGAAAGGAGAGGTGGTGCCGGGAGGCACACCCAAATCATGTGGCTGTAGGTATAGGCGCTCTATTAGCGCGGCAGGTAGTCGTTAGTATTATCGTCGGGGATAGTTGCAGTATCGTGAACGTGCAGGAGCCTGTGATTATAGCGAACATTAAGGCGTAAGTTACATTAACTCGCCCGTCGACTTAGGACCGACACAGACCGACGTATGCCGCCTGACTTTAGGAAAAGGAGCAATCCCAGTACGAGCGGCCCTACTATTATAATAAAAGGCAAGTACGGGCTATACGCCGGAAAGCATTGCACAAATTACGAGAAAGCATCAAAATTCCAACAGGATGACTGCAGCCACTTTAAATAATCACGCTTTTTGTGCATGGAGTAAGTGAAGGGAGTGATGATGCATAGCGTGGGGGCCGCAGATTCCCAGCTGGCCTGCACGTAGCGGCCAATCGAACGCAAACAGAGGCTGTGACGAGGCCATTGCCTAGGCAGCTGAAGGTAAAAGCGAGAACTTCTGTCTTCGGACGAGAGATAAGACGAACGAGATGCACGGAGAATTGTTAGACAGGTCGTGAAGCACGCGTCCAAGGGATACGCGTCATGCCTCTACGGAAAGGGCATTGGCCTAACTGCGGCTCGCGCCGCGCCGTCACGGCACTCCGGTCATTGCAAACGGCCACTCTTTGGAGGGTGCTCAGTTGTTTGCTTCTCGGACAAGTGAGCCGCGCATCACTTAGGTACATGTGTCGAGGATGGTCTACTCAACTGGCACACTGGGGTTTGCGGTGGGGCGGCAAGCTAATGGCTCCTGTGTGTTGCAAGTTGAAAAAAGTGAGGCTGCACCGTTTACGTCGAGGGCAGTAAGTGGATGCCAGCGCATCACTTTGTCTGCATTCTTTGCATCATGCTCTTCAAAGTGTACAGGAGCTGCCTCCCACCCGCCCGCCGCCCACCCCCCACCCCCGCGGTAGTCCATCCTCTTGATACCGGGCTGGAGGACGAAAGCATCCTTATGTCTATTCTAATATATTTTTTCGCAGTCTTCTAGACTCTAGACTTCAATCTTAAATTGCAGTCAACCAGGGTCTGATACGTATCGTCTATTTAAACTACTATGTACATCATTATTGTTATTATCACATTCAGGCCATAAGCCATTATTAGCTACACACTTGTGGAGTGGGCATTCCCTTTTGCCTCAGCTGGTAATTCAACAGTTATTCTAGCTTTACTCTTGGTACCGTGTCTCTCGACAGGGGTGGTGTGGGTCGGGTACGCGTTTGGAGCTTTTAGCACTCAAGGAGATAGTATGGGCCTAGGAGGAGATATTCTACTGAGTTCTTGATACTTCTAAGGATTTGTCAGCCGTTCTATTCCGCCTAAATCTTGTCGTACTCAAGGCATTACCTTGACGGTAATGGACCTTGATGACCTTAATCCCCAATTACTTTTCAATAGTTTCCCATATCTTTGGAACCGCCTACCTCACCAGTCATCAGTCGCGCCCCCCTTGAGGCGCTCTTCAAGAACTGCCCGCTACCTCCAACATCAGTGACTAATACCCGCAATGTCCACTCTGCCCAGTAATCCCTATTTTTCCAGACTGACTGGCGAAGGCCAGATAAGGCTGCTGAAAGTCCATCCCGAGGCGGATGGAAGTCGAGAACTTCAATGCGAGCTCGAGACTGCCCATCTAAAAGAAAATCCCAGCTATGTCGCCGTCTCGTATACATGGGGGCCTCCGACAGCCGAAGCGGCCGACGCAGGAGTCACAGGCAGTCCAACCCACGCCATTAGGTGCGACGGGGATGTCATCCTTATCACCCGGAATCTGCATGACTTTATCCGGAGGGTGTGCCGCGACCCTGAGCTGAATTCGCGAAGGTTTTGGGTTGATTCTATCTGTATCAACCAGCAAGACTCCATAGAGAGGGCCAGCCAAGTCAGCTTCATGGCCTCTATCTACCGCTCGGCCGACATGGTTATTGCGTGGCTGGGTGAGGAGGATGTCTATACCGAAGAGTCCTTTGCGCTCACCAGGACTCTAGCGAGACTCTGCAAAAATTGTCGCAAGCAGATCATGCCTAAGAATATGGGGTCCGAAGCTTTTGCAAATATTCTAGGCCCGCTTGCTGATGATCGCGCTTGGAATTCGCTGAGACAGTTCTGGCGGCGCAGGTACTTCAAACGAGCCTGGATCATCCAAGAGGTGGCACTAGCTAAGAAGGTGATAGCCAAGTGTGGCGGCCATATCCTCGACTGGGATCACATTGTTCAAGTATCGCTTTTTTCGACCATCACTCCCTGGACACGGTTCATGAATTCGGGACTGCACGAACCAACCGACGGAAAATCCTCAAATCATGCTCTGCCATTATACCTCGATGCGAATAGCAAAGCGGACGAGTCAGGGAAATGCCGCGCTCTGCTCTACGCTCTCATTAGAGCGCGGCGGTTCCAGTGCTCGGATCCCAGGGACAAGGTGTATGCCCTCCTTGGCCTTGGAGAAGATAGCGCAAAGGAAAAGCCGCGTCTGCGACCAGTCTACGGGGACCGCTCGGTTGTCGACACCTATGTTTCCGCAGCAATTCAGATATTGGCAGATACAGACGATCTGTTGCTCCTTGCTCATGCCGAGGGGCAAGACTTCCAAAAGATTGAAGGTCTCCCGTCCTGGGTTCCGGACTGGTCCTGTGCGAGGGGTCTGGGCCTTGGACTTGTCGGGTATACAAGGTTCGCAGCCGCGGGAAGCTTACCAAGGAGTCTGAAAATTGACGAACCGAACATGTCCTTAGCCCTTCGCGGGTTGCGGCTTGACTGGGTCGTCCAAGTTGGCGAGTCCAAGGACGAGGCACTCATTCACAGGAAGCCCGCGTATTTTCCTGGCTGGATCTCCATCCTGTCCGCTCTTCCTGAGATATATCACACCGGACAGCCAAAAACCGAAGTATTCTGGAGAACTCTTATCACGGACACAGCCGCGCGCATTCCTCACCCAGCACGGCACCCTGCTGCAGAGGAATACAGATTTGCATTCCGCGATTGGCTAGCGCGCGTTGTTCTCCGCTAGATGGACGAGCCGCTATCTGAAAAGAAGAGGCATTTCTTGGAGGGGCTCAACCGCCTTGCCGCCTCAGACAAGAGAAGTCTCTTACCATCTATTGCTGACAAACTAGACACAGGCATGGCAAGGAATTTATTGTCTGATGCTTCAAATAACCTAACAGATACGGGTAGCAGTAATCCTCTAGATGCAGATGAATACGATGCCATCCTCAACCACTCTTCCCAAACCAGGCTCCTATGAACTAGCACCAACTATCTCGGTATCGCAACGACATCTGTTAGAGAGGGTGACTCGGTGTGGATTTTGTCCGGCTCCCGGGTGCCGCTCATCTTACGAGAAGCCGGCCCATACAATGAATATCGCCTCGTAGGAGGGGCATATGTTCATGGGTTCATGGGGGGGGAGGCGTTAATGACTGATGTTCCCCTTATGCATATTAAGCTCGTGTAGGAAAGCTATAACTAAATGATAGTCCTGATGTTATACGTAGTTGATGTCGCGTCTGCCTAGCGATCAATTATCTTGGAACTGTTGCACGGTTATGAGAACCAAACGGTGAAGGAGATAAGATTAGCGCTGCAACCGATAGGGAGGGTTGGTATCGGCACATAGCCGACCGCGGGCTCTTGTAGACTATGGTGCGCGACGCAAACCACCAGCCCCTATAGTAAGGATGAGCATGTGTATAAAATATGTGTATTAAGCTGCTTTTTATTATAATGAAGCAGCTTTTTATTGCAGATAACTACATATATATGAGGCTGCCTAAGGTTCATATCATACAAATAACCAAGCCAAATGAGGCCAATTTTCCCCCCGTTCCTTCGCTCTCTGACCCATCTTGGACCTCAAATGTGTCCATAACTGTCTCTTCTCCGTTGGAGGCAGGTTTGTGAGTGAACTCGCCGATAACAGCGTCAACTTCCAGACTTGATGCGCAATGGATTTCCATATATGTATCTTCGAGAGTAAAACCGTCTTCTGTTAAATCTTCCCAGCTGACCACCCTAGAATCAACCTTATTGCGATGATCAAGAGGTTGTTCATGAGGCTGCATTAGCCTCTCTAGCACCCGTTAGTTCATGTAGATGAACGCCAACTTGTCAGCGTTGGCTGGTGTAAGCCGGTTGCGTGCCTTGCTGTGGAGGAAGTTAACTGCCGAGGATGATCTCTCTAAGGGAAATGAATTGGCTATGGTTCTAAAGATTCGGACTGCAAGTGTAGCCAGCTTGCCGCCCTGGTTTCGTCAAGAAGCATCCAAGCATCTAATGGAGTCCATTCTTTTGAGTAGACTAAACCTCCTGCAGCGAACTGGCCACCCGATTTTGCTCGGAAGTGGTTAAATTCTCGAACAATATGAAGGTAGTCAGCAGGATTGACTGCTGCCTTAAAGAACTGCAGCACTTTCATCATCAGCTGTTCTTCAAGCTTAGTCCCGACCATGTCAGGCCGTAATGCAAAAATGCCTTGAGGTGCGTGCAGAGAGCACATCACGTCGGACGGAGAGGAGAAGCGCCAGTAACGACCCCGAGCAGCAAAACTATCGAGAACCAGGGAGCTCATGCAATCGAAGATGCGGCTGTCACTTTAGAGGGAAGCCATCGGACGCATTTCCCCGAGCAGCCGGGGAGGGGGGCGGGCATTGACGAAAGAGGCACAGCTGGACGAAAACAGGCGATTCAGAAACAGATGAGGCAGCACACAAAGTTCTTGAAGGCGGTCCTGAGAGCATGCCAGGCGCAGATGGAGCGAAACGATGGGACTCAAGACGAGAACTGACAGCTCAACCAAGAGGCAGGTGGCGGAGGCGATAGGAAGGATGGATGCTATCGTGGCAGTTGTCTCGGGATAGAGCAGCCCCGACCCGTTACGCACACGGCGCTCAGACTCGGATAATATGATGGCTCAGTATTACCGTACATCCCACGTTTATCTTTCTCGTTAAGCAATGAGTCCTGAGCGCATATCCGGCTGGTTGCGGCATGCAGCACTAGCTTGTTATCAGCGTCTCCCGGTCACCTGCCCAACACGACAAGAGATTCTCTCACGATGTTGTGCATCATCCTCGGCCACCCGATGCGACACGCTAAACAGTAGTTGCAATTACTCTTATGAATGTTATGTGTATGATCGCTGTAAACAAAGGTACCCCATAAAGCCCGTTTTAAGGTGGGCAATGAAGTACCTTTTTTTTTCTTTTTCGAATGCACGTCGATGGTATGGCCGAGGCCTCCGAACGAAAGCATTGCGAGCCTTAATTATTAAGTAGAACAGACACGATCTATTGGAAGCCGTCCATGTCTCGGCCCGATAATGCGGGTGATTATGACGTACCTATAGCGGACAAAGGTGAGTCTCTGAAATCAACCCGTTCGGAGGCCTCGGCCTCCGAACTAGGACGAGTCTATTTGAGGGGCAACATGTAGATTGAGGCGGGCTGGAACCCATGCGCAGCATCAATAAAGTAGATTTCAAGTCAACTTAACACAATTTCTTCAAGTATCAGATTCTCACGCCTCCTGCCTTCTGCCGACTCTCCAGTTCCGAAACACCAGGCACCAAGGCCGGTCTCACCTTACACCGCAAGTCAGTATGCCTCCATCTCCTATCCAATCGGACTTCATCGTCCCGGCCGGTCTTTTTGCTCCCGCTGCCATTCCTCCCACCAGCTCCCATTTCGACGATGCCATAAAAGCAGCCATGGCCAACATCCCTAAGTGGTATGAGGTCGGCATCAGCAAGTACAGAGAAATGTGGGAAAATGGCGAATTCCCCGTGCAGCCGGTCCGTCTCGACTGCGCCACCAACATCTCCATCCCTTCCCGTGAACCGGGGCGAGATATCATTTGCCGATTATTGAAACCACAAAACGGAACACAGACGCACCATGTCTTCATGCATATCCATGGCGGAGGCTGGTCGATGGGAAATGCTGGGGACCAGGACTCATGGCTACAGAGCATTGCTGATACAGCTCGACTGGTTATAGTCAGCGTGGGCTACCGGCTTGCCCCCGAACATCCAGGCCCCGCGGGGGATGAGGATTGCTTTGACGCTGCGGAATGGCTCATCCTCAACGCACGTGAGTGGTTTGGTGCCGAACTGGCCTTCATTGGCGGCGAAAGCGCCGGAGGGCACCTGAGCCTGGTCTCTGCTCTTCATCTTCTCTCGCACGAGAAGGCAGAGATTCGAGAGTTCAAATTGACTGGGGGTCTGATTCTACTGTTTGGATGCTACGATCTTGGCTTTACACCCTCACAGATCCACCATCGTTTGGCATCGAAGAACGGAGACGATGGGGCGAGACAGCTTGAGCTCGTCAACCTCTATCAACCCAACGTGGTTGGAGACGCCTGGAAGAATCCTCGAATATCGCCACTGTATGCGGACCTGGAAGAATACAGAAACGCGGATGGCATAAGCAGCCGATTGCCACCAGCACTATTTATTGTCGGAACGAAAGACTTTCTGCTTGACGACACCATCTTCATGTCCGCGAAATGGCAGATGGCCGGCGCCCCGGCCGTTGTCAAGATTTTCCCTGGCGCGACACATGGATTCATCGCATTCCCTCCGGACCAAGTACCGAGTGCGAAATCGGGAATGGAAAGTCTGTTTGCTTTCATCAGGTCTCGACTTGGTTAGAAACACTGCAAGAGCTTTGGTTTATTCGTTTTTTGTTACTCTGGTAGCTTTAGGTGTGCATGAAGTGGGACGGAGACGAGAAGTACTGGCAACGAAGGCGCAAAGCGATTAGGAATCAAAAAGGTCTCGCAGTCAAAGACACGGCAGTCACTTGTAGGGGAGGCCATTGGGCATTCCCCGAGCAGCAGAGGTGCACCGGAGAAGGAGGAGGGAGAAATAGGGCCAGCTGGACGAAAATGCAGGGACGTAGGACAGATGAGGCATATAAAGTTTTTAAAGGCGGTACTGAGAGTATGCCACGCGTAAATGTAGTGATAAAAAAGGCGACTCAAGAGGATAACCCACAGCTCAACTAAGAACATATCGATTCCCAGTAGCGCTGTGGTGATCACAACACGGCATGAAGCTACGGACAGCAACAAATACAAGTAAAGGAATAGTCTGGCCAGGTAAACTACCCTATAAATGACCTGAGAAACATCTAATTTAAAGTATAGGCTCGAACAGAAAGGGCCTCATAGTCTAGGCCTGAGTGTAGGGCGCATTTGTCCCGACTCCGTTTCCCACCCTCCCTTCACCACACTGTAGCATTGAGCATTATCCAGAGCCACCTTTGAATTTCTTTCCGAAAACAAGTAGTTGAACTTGATCATAAATGGACAGCACACCTGCACCGGCGACGCCACGAAGGATGTTAGCACCAGCTCCCTTGAAGAAGGAACGGTATCCCTCTGTGGCGGCGATCCGGCGGGCAGCGTCAAACGAGGAGCTGTATTTGACAGCCTGAACGAGATAATTAGCGACGGAATTGCTGGCAGTTGGTTCTGTGCTTATTTCTGCTCACCTCTCCCGACGTCATCATCATCCGGCGACGGACAGTATCGATAGGATACGACACAATGCCAGCACCAACAGTTACACCCCAGCCGAGCAAGAAGGACGCCAGGAAACTGTTTTCAAGAGCGCCCACGAGCAAAACAGGCTTGAGGGAATCGTACATGCCGAAGTAAACGCCCCGATAAGCCACGATGCCGAGAACTGACGGACCAAAGCCGCGATAGAGCCCGACCATACCGTCTGTAGCCAAAGTTTTCTTGTATACGTCGATGAGACCGGTAAATTGGCGCTCTCCAAGCCCTTTGGCAGCTTTTGCGTCGTTGGCCAGGCGGGTACGGGCGTAATCGAGAGAGTAGACGAAAACGAGGGAAGTCGCACCGGCGAACTGTGATACGACCGTCAATAATTACTTCAAGGGAATATAATAGAATATTATGTCCATGGTGAACTCACTCCACCAGAGGCCAAATTACCGGCCATCCACTTCAGGTACCCGTCGCGATCTTTTTTGAAGGCGAATAAACTCTTGTAAGTATCGCGGAAGGCAAAGTTCAAGGCCTGAGTAGGGAAGTAGCGGACAACGTTGACGCCATTGCTTCTCCAGAGAGCTGCGATGCCTTCGGCCTTGATGGTGCGGCTGAAGCAGTCGACAATGCCATCGTACTTGCGGCTGAGGCGGCCAGCTTTGATCATCTCATCCTAGAAGTTGTCAAGAGGTCAATTATGTAATCAATATCGCGATTGCGGGCGGCCGGATCCTGGATACCTGGTTCTGAAGAAGGAGTTTGATCCGTTCTATTGGAGCGGCGGCGGTTTTGGAGACGGCGGCGGACACGCCACCCACTACAAGGAAACTGGTCAGTTCATATCACCTTGAGAAAAACTGTATATCATGAGCCGTAATCTCTAGATTGGTCATTGTCTTCGAATCTGACCAAGTGAGGCAAGAGGAAGCATTGGGGACGAACTCAAGAAGTCAACCATGAAATTCTACAAAGTTTTTAGCAAGCACCTAACCAAAAAAAAAGGCAAGAAAGATATATTAACAGAATTGGAGGAGTGATGGACCAAAAAGGGAGGGGTTCAGTAATGCACTGTACTTACTGGCATGCCCATGGCAGGCTGGGTTGCACCGTCGTTGCCCATTTTGGAATTCCGACACGCCCTTTTTTCTCTCTTTCTCCAGGGGTTTAGAAAGAGAAAAAACACATCAATCTACAAGCAAGGTCGAAAGAGCAATAAAGCCCAACGGTGGTGGTGATGGAGGTGATGGTATGGACCTGCTGGAGACTTTTTAAGGACTCCCACACACTGACGAATTAGCTTGGAGCTTTCCGGGGTGGGTCTTCGTCCCGTTCGCAACCACCATCACATGGTTTCCCCGGAGGCCGAGGCCTCCGAGTCATCGAAACCTGCAACTACGGACCCGACGGAGGTGAATCGCTCCCCAAACATCCCACCGGGTACTGCCACAGACAATCGTCGCCATCGGCATTCTCGTCACAAGGCCCGAGAAAATGGAACCAAACCCTGACGCCGAGCCCCGTGGGCGCGGCCTTTCGGTAAGATCCTTGCCTTGGGACTTGAACCAAGCTTGGCTGACTATCATGTACAGTGTGACACCTGCCGAGCGAGGAAGGTAGGTGGCGTTCATTTTTTTTCTCTCCACATTTGGCTGATGTTCGTTCTAGATCAAATGTGACCGAGAGTCGCCTTGTTCCAGCTGCAGGGCAGCAAATATCATTTGCCGAACGACCAAAGGCCCTCTGCAGAAACGGCAGCGAGTTCTCATCTCGCCTCGTTAGTAAGTACAAGTCCGAGGCCTACGCCTGCATGCCCCATAATTATTGGCCAATCAATGCTGAATCTAGAAAAGCGAGGAGGAGATCGCCATTCTCAACAGTCGGTTTGCGAGGCTTGAGAAGCTGCTACAAGATGCCCTGGCCAACTCGCATTCGCCATCCCATACGGACAAGACTCTAGCTGGGCCTAGCAACCTCGGTCAGGCTCTAGGCAGCCCTTCTTTCGAGGGTGAGTCGTCCTTTGCCGCACATTCGAAGCATACAGTACTGGAAATCGAGAGGCTTGTGGGTCAGTTGCCGTACTCAAAAGATGGTGATGTTGTAGTGGCGTCTCTTCGAGAGATCGTGAACCCCGGCTCAACCAATGCCCAAGGCCCCGAGCCTACAATCCTAAGACAGGATTTCACCGGCCTTCCTCTTCCCACACGACAGCTGGTGATCAAGGCCCTGAATTATTGCAAAAGTAAGCTTTTAATCCAATCCACACACATACCAAAATATTCTAGGCGACTCATAGAACTGTCTAGACAACACGACTCGACTTTTCAGGGACTACCCTTTCATACATGTTGCCACTTTCACCGAAATGTGCCAACAGGTGTACTTTCCGACTGAGGAGTGTTCCTTGAGCGCCTTCATCATCGTAAATTCCGGTCTCTGCAATCTCTTTCGAGATTTCAGTAACGATATCATCGAGGAGTTGGGCTGGGATACCGCCGAAGTCGCCAAGAGTGTGTCGATCTGCGCAGCCAATGTCAGGAGGGCTGCCGTGGATTTGAGACTGGCTCTCGACCCTACCTTTGAAAACATCCTCGCCCTCCTACTCTCGGTTTGATCTACCACCTTTGCTGATGTGTACTGGCTAATGGAAATGCAGGCATCAACGCGAATGGATTGGTCGAATCCTTCCTTTGACTGGAAGCTGATATCTCATGCGGCCGTTCTATGTCAGGAAGCAGGCTATCACCGACTGCCGGATACTTCAACAAGCGACGAGGTCCGCCAAAAGCGCTTGGTCTTTTGGTACGTGTGGGGATTTGATGTCATGTTTTCATTCAATCTCGGCCGCAGCCCGACCTTGCCGGATCATGACATCACGACAGCACGACCCCGATGCCCAGGGGACGTTGATGCCCCATGGGGCTACGGGTTCCTCTCGTGGCTAGACTCTATCGACCTGCAACACGAAATCTATCAGCAACTGTACTCGGGACGAGCCCAAGCTCAACCTCCGGAAGTCAAGGCTCAACGCGCACGGGTACTGGCTGACAAGCTAATAGCCATGCGGCACTCTTTTTTAGCTGTGAGACCATTCTATCTCATTGATGAGACGAAAATGGGCTAACCGGGCACAGGGGAAGGATGGCAGCACACCAGGCTCTACCGGAACTGACACCACTGCTGGGGAGTCCTTCGAGCTTATGTTCTACTCCCTGCTCACACTGGTTTACCGCGTGGCACCTCTCGCAGAACAAATCCATCCCCTTCAGGTCTGCGATGACTGCACGTCGGCGGCGAGAACTGCCCTCAGGATTCAGAACAGGGCATGGGAAAGGATCGGGGATTCAAATGACGAAACTTGGAAATTATTCATCCACTGGTCAGTAAATATTGCATTGTCGCCTCCTTAATCGACTAACATAGCTAGGACACTGCTTTGCTGCCCCTTCGTGCCGTTCATAATCGTCTTCAGCAATGCCATTGCGGCTGGAGACGAAGGGGATTTGCACCTCCTGGGTCGGACTGTGGCATCTCTCCAATCCGCTGCTCAACAGTCTCCTAGTATTGCAAAGCTACATCACGTTTTTAGTACATACCATCAAGTCGGTAGAGTCTATTTCGAGGGGGCTCATAAAGCCGGGAAACAACGAGCAGTTGGAGAAGGACACGGCGGTGTACAGAGCATCATGGATGAGAATCTGACCAATATGCCATTCAATTCGACAACTGACGCCTTACTCCCAATGCCGGCTTGGGATAGACTATTGGACGAATGGAATCCTGGGCTTGGGGAGGAGAACACGATAGAGATATCGTCTTTCCTAGGTAACTACTTCTCAGGTAACTTTGAATTTCAAGACTGAAACTGGGGTGATCGGATGCAAATGGTAGACCGAGTGGGATATGAACAAAAAAGCACCAATTAAATCTAGCAGATCAAATTGAGGTATGAGGTACCCAGTCCGTCTACAAATGATGGTGAGCGAAGTACATGATGCAGGGCGACCCCTCTACTCTGTTCTATACAGTAACATGGTTCCCGAAGCCTGCAATAGCCTTTTGACAGGCCTCACGATTGCCCATTCGCTCGAACCAGCCCGCAACATTCAAGCGACCCGGTGCATTTACCCAAGGGGCAATACCGTCGAGAAAGGGCTGCGTCATAGCATACAGCAAGATATCAGCCATAGAGAACCTATCGCCACAGAGAAATTGCTTCCCCTCTAAATCATCATCAAGCAGATTCAACGCCTGATTGATCCGCACCTTCTCAATCAACTGCGCACTGGGATCAGGGATACGATGGCCCCGGTAAAAGTCGATCGTTTCTGCGCCGTTGCGAAACCAACTGGACAGAGGTTGGGCAATATCGATATCCATGCGGCGGAGCCACATGAGTGTTGTAGCTCGCTCAGTCGGCGTCGATCCAAAAAGTGAGTGGCCGCCGTTTGCATCCTCATCGAGATACTTGCAAATCGCGACGGACTCGGTGATGACTGTGCCATCATCGAGGCGAAGTGCCGGTACCTCCCCACGCTTATTGACATGAGTCCGATAGGCAAGCCGGCGTTGCTCAGTCTTGAAGAGGTCGATTGATTGGACGTCAAGTTCCAGACCACCGCGCTCCATGACGAAGATGCGTACAACCAGAGGGTTGGGGCCGGATTTATTGTCGTAAAAAAGCATTGTTCGGCTTGGTTCAGGAGACTGGATGTAAGATAATTGAGACAGCCGAGCTGAGTGAGGTAGATGTGATGTTGGGGCAGGGTATTGCGAAAATGTAGGACAGTCAGTATGATTTATAGCCATCAGTTTGAATCTGGCCAAGCCCAAAATCCTTAAAATCTCCATCGAGACGGAGATACAGTATGGAGATACAGGTTACAGCCGGAATGACTAGTGGTACATGAAACTCGGTCCTCTTACGAGTCCGAACTGAAGCATTAGTAACACGCAATGCATGGCACCACGGCGGTAGGAACGATCATAGCGTGGGCGAGGTACCAACTCCTACTGCTCAATTCACCCCATGGGAGATGTCTGCTTCAGTATGCAGCTTAGGGAGGCGCCGGACTTAATCATTATAAAGTCCGCCGATAAAGTATGGTGCGCAGGCCTTTGCGTGGCTTGCAAGCTTTGTCGGGGGCCTCGGCCTCCGTTCCACATTCCTCCCCAAATTTGCGATGCCATTATGTTAAGGGAAAGTGCAATAGCGTATGCGGGGAGTAGCTCCTCCAAAACCGGCGGCAAGAGTCATATTGTGACGACTAGTGTGGCGAAGTCGAGATGTTTTGCTTATGACACATGGAGATCATCTTGGACAATAGAGACGAGTCAGGGGAGACATCCTACACAGCACGTCAAGTAAGGGGTCATCAGATTTCAGGGGCAGCTCGATACCCCCCGTTTTCCAATCTGGGCGATCTGGCCATCTTCCGTACCGTCGTGATTTAGGGTACTCATGGTTTCTGCCGTACCCCGGTATGACGTTCTCTCGAGATCGACCTGAGTACGAACAAATCGGCCCGAAAACGCGCTGAAAGGTAAACGAATACCCCAGTTTGAAGATTACTTACTTTGTGTATATCAAGATTTCAAGTGCTACCTCTGACTGCGCCATTTTGCCAAGCCTTGAGGTCTCGTATTCAGTCATTGTCAAAGAAGCATGAACCTCGAACTTTCTATAGCCGTGTCGAGTTTCACGACTTTGAAAAACGAGTGGATACCATCACCCAAGAAGAGTATAGTAGCCTTCACTGGCATTGATTCTCAACGGTGACAACGTAGTACTGAGATGACGCGGCCTCTCAATCTACGGTCAACTGACGATTCAGGGGAACAACTCCTGACTACGACTACCGTCATGATGTGACCAAAACCGGATCTCCTCGCCACGACGTAGCAGCAAGAAAGACAACGAGACGATTTAGATTATAAAAAGGTCGCGGAATACGTCAGAACGCCTTTCTAAAGTTTCTCAAGCCTCTCACCCATCGATTCCCCGACTTCTACATCATCTACTTAATTTTGTCATGATTGGACTTTCTTCAGTATTTGCCGCGGCGGCATTGGCCATTCAGGCCATATCTGCGCAGGAAGTCTATGATTACATTGTGGTTGGAAGTGGCCCTGGTGGAGGGCCTCTGGCTTGTAACTTGGCCAGGGCCGGCTACAAGACACTTCTTCTCGAGGCGGGCGACGATCACGGAGATGACCCCATTTGGAACACCCTGGCCAACAACTATGCCGCCCTCAACAGTCCGTTAGCTCGCTGGGACTTCTTTGTCCAGCACTCAGAGAACCCTGGGCATCAGGCCCGATACGAGAGACAGACATACCGTACGACCAACGGGTCCTTTTACACTGGTCTTGACCCTCCGGCCGGCGCTGAGAGGCTTGGCATATGGTACCCGCGCGGCACTTCCTTGGGCGGCTGCTCCATGAACAATGCGGGCATCTCCACTTTGCCACCAGACGCCGACTGGGAGATTGTTGTGAACCGTACGGGGGACCAGACTTGGACGCCTGAGAATATGCGCCGGCATTTCATCAACATTGAGAGAAACGAGTGGCTTCCGCGTGGCACCCCGGGACATGGATTCGACGGATGGCTACGCATCAACTCACGGAACAACTCGTGGACACAACAGCCTAACAACGTTCTGCGCATCATGCATGGTCTAGCTAACGCTACAGACCAAGACGCAGACAGCATCCCCGGGTTGGTCGTCAGAGATGTCAACGCACTGGACCCTAATCGCGACCAGGAGCTGGGGTTCTTCGGGATGAGCTTACACATGGACACCAATGGTCGCCGTTCGGGCTCTAACACCTACATTCGTGACACCTTGAGCGATCCGGCAAACTATCCCCTCACGGTCCAGCTTAACAGCCTCGTCACCAGAGTTCTTTTCGACAAAAGCGGTCCTGTCCCAGTCGCCAACGGGGTGGAAGTCCTAAGAGGCCAGGCCGTGTACCGCGCAGACCCTCGGTGGACAAAGCAAAACCAGGGTAGGTTGACGCGTATCACGGCCAAGCGAGAAGTCATCGTATCGGGCGGTACCTTCAACATTCCTCAGATTCTCAAGCATTCCGGCGTCGGTCCTGCGGCAGAGTTGGAGCAATTCGGCATTAAGGTGGTGAAAGATCTCCCAGGAGTCGGCGAGAACATGGCTGAGAACTATGAAGCCGGTGTTCTGGGGCTCGCGAACGACGATATCAACCGTAATGCCTTTCAGACCGGCCTACTCCTCAAGACGCCTACAGAGACGAATGACCGGAACATCCATGCCTGGTGTGGCGCTTTCGCTCTCGAAGGTTTCTGGCCTGGAATGCCAAACAACTATGGTCCCAGGCAGTACATGTGCGCCATGGCGCACATGCAGCCCAGATCCCGCGCCGGCAGCGTTAGATTGAGGTCGGCAGACCCGACGGATACTCCTGAGATCAACTTCCGTTTCTGGGAGGTTGGTGGTGAAGAGGACTTGATAGAGCTGGTCGACGCCGTCAATATCATGCGGAGAGGTTTTCAGGCAGCTGGCGCTCCCGTTACGCCATGGAACGAATTGCATCCTTGCCACGGTGATGCTACCAACTGCACCGACGAGGAACAACTCGATTACTTCCGATACCAGTCTTTTGGCCACCATGCTACCTCGACCTGCGCCATTGGAGCCGCTGACGATCCCATGGCTGTCGTGGATAGCAAGTTCCGGGTTCATGGCATCAAGAACCTCAGAGTCGTTGACGCGTCGGTCTTCCCGCATGTCCCAGGCGCATTCCCCGTCTTGCCGACGTTCATCATCTCGGACAAGGCTTCGCAGGATATCAAGGCTGCTCGTGGTGCCTAAGGATTTCAACAGGTTTGTGGTTCGCAAGCATCCGAAATATGCAAGTATATGGACACAAATGGGAAGTTGTGAATTGGGCAGGTTCCAATTATCGTTGAACTACGCCTACTCTCTGTAACAGATGCGCGAAACCTCAGTTCAGAACCCATACCTTTCTCTACAGCATTGTGCTGCCAACAGTCATTTCCGGCTTTTCACATATAAATTAAGGCCCACCAGGACAAAGATCTCCTTTTGTTACTGGAGGCCATAAGTCCTGCAATTAGAGTCAATTGATCCGACTGGTGTTTTGCATAGACTGTGCGACTGTATTTTTCTCCTCATTACTTCTCGCTTTAGTTGATTATTAAATCCTTAGGGACAGCGATGCTCATCGACGTGCGGTGCGGACTGCCTCATGGTCGCCCAGCGCATGTGGCGGCGGGGTCCTGAGCAGTATAGGTTCAGCTCGGTCCGGCACACCAGTGGGTCTTCTGAATCGCCGACCCGGGGACCGCCGACCCGAGAGGATCGTTTGTGCCTGGCCTCTTACTCACAGGTGTGACAAGCCCGGAGTGACATCCGCGACGGACCAGCGCAGGAGGCGGTAGTCCCCTACCCGGAACCATATACCGGGGCAGGTGACTCACTTCAGGAATATATAATAGGGTGCTGGCTCAGTTTGAGGAAGGCTAGAGATTAATCTGATTATGATTGGACCCTACCTTCGAGCCCAGCGTTCCCCTTCAGCATATGCCTAGCATATTGCTAGCTATCTAGCAGCTTCCCTCACTCTTTCCAGATCAGCTCCTCATAACAGGAGACTGCGAAGCATCTTGTATTGCAGACTGTATCCATCTCCACATTGAGCTTACAGTCGGGCCATCACATCCACTTAAGCAAGGGGCTGTCTAAAGAGGCTACACATTTAGGTGACAAGGTTATAGAAAGTGGAGTCTTCTAGAGGCCCACTTTCTTTTATGTCAAGTGTCCCTTAAAGGTACTTCCTCAATCTATTTTCTACTTACTAACGTTTTCCACAAGTGAGTGTCCCATACAAGCGAGTGTCCCACTAGAATTTACACCTTAAATCGCGATTTTTAAATAGCTTTTAAAAAACCAAACTAAGCCTAAAATAGCTAAAAATTAAAAGATAAGCTAATTATACTAAGATATATACAGAAAGAAAATCACAGAAATCCTAATCTTTAGAAACCTTGTAAACCTTAAAGAGTGGGTTTATTTATATCTTTTTCAGTTTTTTTCAGTTTTTTAATATTAAAAAAATTATTGAATTTTTGTGAATTTTTATCTCTATATATTTTATATTAATTAGCTTATATCTAAAATCTCAGTTATTTTAGAGTAAATTGAAACTTTTAGTAACTATTAAGAAAACTGCAATTTAAGGTATAAATACCTAATGGGACACTCGCTTGTATGGGACACTCACTTGTGGAGAACGTTACCTGTAACGTATGTGATAAGCGAGTGGGCCAGATAAGTAAGTGGGCCACTTATACTGTAACGACGGTTTCCACCCTTTTATGGTCTGTTCGTAGAGAGTCGGTAGAGGCGATCATAATACGTTTATTCGTCGTCTTTGTCGTCGTTGTCATCACCGTTTTCGGCCTCGAATCTATCATCATCTATCATGCCCCATGAGATGTAATTATCTTGGCCATGGGGGCATCTGTTGTTGGTGGCATATTGAAATTCGGGCAATGCGATCCAGCTCCAATTCGCTCCCCGGCTTGTCTTGGACAACCACGGACAGTGACCTGCGACCGCGAGGACACGTACAGGGATCCGAAACTGGACTCGGTCGCTAGGCCAGGGGAAAATAATCAACCGCAGCGCGGCTACTAGGAACTACTGGCAGCACACAGGGCTACTCTGTCCCTTGTTTATGTGGGAGAAGACGCCTAGAAGTGTGTCGTGTCCGATACCGACGAGAAAAGTGTGGTTGAGAATTAAACTAAAATTGAACGGAGAGCACATATGAACACAATCATAGAAAAGCTTGTTTGGAGTTCTGTAACTAGACAAAATTCCAAGCTCTTAGTATCCCCCATTGTTACATAGATTGACCCGCGTTACCCGACATCAACCATGACTCTAGATAATGCCGTGTCATTTTATGTACAACAACGTGGAATCCTATGGCAATAACTCTTCCAAGCAGGCCAGTCATAGTATTTCCTCCGTCAACACTGGCGACGTATGAGTAATTCTTGTGAGGGCTCACAGTTGAATTGACACTATAAGTATCCATCTCATACAACCTCGGAGTCTTTGAGGCTCCTAAGCTAAGGTTGGCAGTATAATCTTATTTCAATTGTCAAGTGCATATACGAATTGTTTTGAGTTTGCTTTGACTATCGAATTTATGATATCAGGATAACGATACCATCTTTCGTCTCACGTTCTGCTCACTGTTGATAGGTAGCATACTAACTGCATGAATCCTCACCCATACTTCAGTTACAGACTCAAGACGCGAAATTTGGACTCATAGGTTATGTTAAACTTCGCCATCATTGCAAGTAGATCTCACTTCAACAAGCCTTTGCGTTTTAGGCTTCAGGAATGGGGAACCCAAGCAGTCTCATCCCATTCTCAACCAGTTGCCTAGCACAACGATACAACTCGAGGCGCGCCCGCCGAGCCCCAGGAGGGTCTTCTTCAGGCGACGAGCTTGGCCCAGCCTGGCTGGATGAGCCACCCTCTTCTTGGTCTTCGGCATCATCTTCATCAGGCTCTAGAAACTCCAGGGACTCGGCAAGTTGAGACATGTATATGAAGATGGTATGAGACTCGAGGGACTTGAATGCAGTCGCTGTGACCTCAGGGTATCGGGCCAACGCACCCAGAAGTTCGGCGGTGACATCATCTTCGAACACAGAGGGGTCTGGAGAGACCGCCTCGACGTCGTCAGTTTGAAGCTCGGAAATCTTGGAGACGATTTGCGCATAAAACTGTTGCAAATTAAGGATTGCTCCCTCATCCTCAGAGAAGATGTGGTCAGGGTCGATGGTGTAGCCATGAGATCTTTTCTTAGCGGCGACCTCTCTGGAGAGCAGTGCGCCGACAACCAACTGGGTTCCGTTGAGTTTCTCGCTAGGCATTGAGGCAGATGGGTGTTGCAAAGATTGGCTGCACTGATGGAGGATGTTGTCAAGCAGCAACGGACCGTTCATGTGTCCCTCAAGCCCTTGGATCTCACCAAAGCTAACATGATGAATCTTCTCCTCGAGGTCAGCACGTCCCATCAATCTCAGAGCAAGAGAAAGCTGTTGAAAGTGAGAGCTTTGTCGAGAAGAGACGACGTAGATCATCTTGTCAAACTCATGAGCCTTGTATCGATCGATTGCTGCACCAATATCGCGGAGCAGATATGTCGACGATCCATCGTGATTGCGGAGAACTTGCGCCGGCAAGCCCTTGCCAGCCTTTCCGGCATGTTTTGCAAAATCGATGAGCCATGAGCCGTCCTCATTCTCTTCGAGGATACCTTCGGCCTTGAGTTTGCCCTCCACTTCAGACATCGTCTCCGCTTTGACCTGAGATTCACCAGAGTACTCGTCAAAGCGGATGCCCATGCCTCCATACGACTCTTGCATATGATCGATAGTGGGCTGTCTGAACTGGGACCACAAACGTACTGCATCTTCGGTCTGTGCTTCCAAATCTCGGAAGAAAGCGTCTCTTTCGGCAGAAACTCCACGGCCCTCAATCTCCGAAGAACTGCGGACCTCATCCTTAGCCTTCCTGATTTCTTCCTGCTCGGGCTTGAACAGAGTCTTGATTTGCAAGTACACCTCAAGCATATGCTCGAGTGGCTTGCTCTCGAGAAGCTCTTCGGAGCCGAAGCGTTTGAAGCCGATGGCCAGCAAGGCAAGTTCCTTAAATGTTCGCGATGAACGCTCCAATCAGGGTGCTTCGAAGGTGAGCACCTTTGAACTCACTTCCGACATTTGGGGACGAGAACTCCACAATTACTTTCTTATGGGTACCGGAGGTGTCTTTCAAGCCTTCCGATTTATGTTCGCCATATGAAGACTTTCGGTCCTCAATATATGGAAGAAGAAGCTTTGGTAGAGCCATTGGGGAAAAATAGAACCTGATTCGCGGCCCATCAGGATAGGGGGCTGTGAAGAAAGGCGACAGTTTTAGCTACATATTCTTATTAACATTTGATTGCATCGCAGTGGTATCCAAGTGTGGTAACACACTTTCTGGCTGATATCAATGGAGTTTTCGATGGGCGGTTTTGACTTGTCCATTAGCTTGAGCTTGGGCACGATGACTTCGAGGTCCGCCATGGAAGAATCGGCGATGGAGTCGTAGGCCGACGAGAGGTCGCAATGGACGGCAGAAGCGATGAGATTGGCCAAATGCGACCGAAAAATGTCGAGTGGCTTAGCCAAAATGTCGGCCGCTGGGATTTCGTGCATTTCCGATTCCAGCCCAAAATTGGATAGCTGCGAGCTGAGCTCGCCCATGGTCATCGTGAGGCTTGTCATACCAAGGCTTGACGTGGCGAGGCAACTTTCGGGCGACTGTAACGTAATCTCTCAGCCAGCTGATCGATGCGGGCGGTTCGGTAGGATGGTGATGATGGAGGAAAGTAATTATCGCAGTCGCTCGGCCCTCTCCTCGCCAACCCTCTTTTGTGAGTGCTCGAGGGCGCAGAAGGGCCTTGGGCATGAATTGCGATCATATGACGCCACACAGAAAAACTTGACTGGCTAGGCGACCGTAGCACATTATCAAAATATACGTAGCTAGTGCGAGTTGGGTGTCAGCGTTGGTCATAATACAAGTGGCGTTGGGCCAATAAAGATGTGACAACAATTCCTGCATGATGGGACACCACCACCGTCAGCCTCACTACACGACTTGTCACGGTAATCCCGAACGGAACGCTTTCACGAAAACGTCATAATGAGCGGGCCTCTAGACCGATCCTATCTCCGTATTCGCGTCTGACAGAGTGACGGTCCAATACACCGGGAGGTCGGGTTAGAGGCCGTTCTGAAAATTCATACTGAGCCTGCATTCTGTTTGTTTCCCCCCCGCATACACGGAAATCCGACTCCCGAGTGGGTGGCAAAATCTCGGATAGCTCAGGCGTGCTTCTTTTGAAAAGGGATTGAAAGGACAGAAGCCGCCCTGATTCCCATGTCGCGCCGTCTTGGAGCCCATCCTTCTCTCCACCCAGGTGGCTGTAAACGTTGAGCATCTTCCTGCGCAGCCAAGGTAGCGGGCTGGAACAAGGTTCCATACACCAAAGAAGGGCAGAAAACCCAACGGTTAGGAGAAGAAACCATGCCCATTGTGAGCTGAATGAAAGGACCTGCGCTTGTAGGATTGCTGCTGAAGTAACAAGCGGTGATATGACTTGAATCTGTATGCAACTCGCATTAGTGTCTTAGTTCACATGTACGGGGCCCTGCCCACACGTACAAACGTTACATTGAAGGGCTGTAGGGAACTGAAAGAACCGCTTTGCACATTGATCTCGAGGTCCAACTGTAGATGATGTATTAGCATCAGTATCTTCTCACGATGCCTCTCACATTAAAGAAAGTCTTCTCCACGTCGTGAAGCGGGGAATTTGAGGTCTTGGCTGACGGAGGCCGGGGGAAGTGCGCGTATTGGAACGTTGAAAACACTTACTTTCTGCCTGAACTGGTGGCATTGACCCTTCAAGTCCAGAAAACCATTAAGAACGTCTGTGAGCTCCTTGACTTTGTTGACTATTTGCTGTTGCAATGACTGGATACCGTTGCTCCTGGGAACATTAACCCAGCCGTCCTCCTCGAAATCGTACCAGGAATTGACGATGGCACGAAGTGCGCGAATGAGCGAATCCAACAGCTTTTCGGTATTTTCGAGCCACTCGCGACTTTTTGCTATGGATTTTATAGCTTTGAGAACCGAATCTTGTGAAATAGGAGTCGTCACCACGGCTGCGCGGTGGATCTCGGCCTATGAACGAGGTCAGCTTGATTTGGTGGCTCCGGGATGAAGGATTCGAGTGGTATCTCTCACATGGTTTGATATTCTCTTTTCAATTGTGATGAATGTATTCACCCACTCTTCATGACACTGCTTGAAACGCTCGTGTAGGACCATCAGAAAGTAATCACACGGATGTGACACCTTTTCGGCTTCCACAATACCTATTGTCGATGGATCCCACTTCTCCTGGCATTCCTCATAGTAATTATCGTTGTCATCAACCTCTTCTGTGTAGTAATCGACTGTGTCTTGGTTTTCCGAGTCTACCTTGTAAAAGTATGTGTCACCAAGATAATTTGAAGTCCAGACGGACTTGTTGGGGCCATAAACGGTGAATGAATGTTGAGTTTCGTAGAGGATTTCGACAATTCGTGACTCGTTTCCTAAACCTGTTGATAGAAAAGAAAGGGTTTGATGCTTCCTCCAGGGTTTGTTGTCTCTCATCTTACGAGGGTCCTCAGGGGCGTCGTCCAGATCGACTGTACGTAGCACAAATGAAGGAATGTGATAGCTCAAGGCGAAAGTGCGGCCGCCGTTCTGCTCTCAAAAATCCTTTTAGTCAGGCGGCTTGTTCAAAATAGTGGAATGAATACTGACCCCAATGTTGAATCGGATGGAAGCCTGATTCGTTTGACCTCTAAAATAATTCCAGAAGAAGTCTCTGAGAACGAAGAGCTCGGTTTCCTTGGCATTCAAGATAAGCGCAGCGATTGATTCCAGTGTAGGATGGTGAAGATGGCTATCACACAGTTAACATCTTTCATTCAGGCATCTCGCAGACGACAAAGACTAGTCCGGGATTGACTCACAATCGCCTTATGCATGCATCGGGCTCAGTGTGGTCGCCGAAGCGCTTGCAGGTATTAGCAGTTTGCAAACCGGCAGCATCAAGACTTTACTTACTTTTCGCTTCAGGGCTTCGTCGACCTGTTGGGCTGACATGACACCATTGTAACTCCGAGGTTGGTTCGGCATGTATAATGCATGCAGTGAGAAACTTTGGCAATGCCTGCTCATTACCAAGCGTATTGAGGTTACCTACAAAGAGCAGATTGGAGATTGGATCAAGGCCGAAATCTCCTGTGCCAAGTCCTCTGCTGACTCAGCAAGCCGACTCCACAAGGAACTCCGTCCGTTTGCTTCAACCGCGCTCGTTTCTTGACCGAAGTATCAAGATTGGGAAAACATTATGAGATGAATGGGCCTGATTTTCATACGGATATCAAACAACTTCAATCCCATAGCCTCATTGATAAAGGGGGCCACAGCTGGGGTTACGAAAATGGTGCTTACTTTCTCAGCTCCTGTAACAATAAGCGACGAAGATAGTTATCAGCGCTGCATCAGTAAAGGAGAGTCCAGGGCCTGCCTCTGAAGGGAATGAAGATTGGCCTTACTAAGAGTATTAGTAAGAGGAAAGTATTTATACTATTAGAGTTTTAACTTAAATTAATATATATAAATAAGCTTAAAATTTAAAATAATTAAAAATAATTTTAATAATAAAATTACTATTTATTAATAATTTATTTATTTTTATTTTTATTTTTATTTTTATTTTTATTTTTATTTTTATTTTTATTTTTATTTTTATTTTTATTTTTATTTTTATTTTTATTTTTATTTTTATTTTTATTTTTATTTTTATTTTTACTCTTATTCTTATTCCCTCTCTGCTGTCTGATCCTCATCGCCCGTCATTCTCGTAATACTCAACATCATCCACCCCAAGAAGTTCAGGGGCTTGAGCAGCACCCGACATAGCCGCTGCGCAGATTAGCGCCCACTGAATATCAATCATCGACTTAAACCTCTCCGCCACGTCGGTATTACGCCTGACTTTAATCAGGTCCCCGGAAACAATGCGATGATCTGTTCCGATATTGTGAGCAGCAATAGCAGCAGTATGAGGACAATCGATACATCCTTCAACACCGCAAGCATCACCATAGTAGTGAGTAAGCTTGCTCACAAAGTCCCTGTTAGCATCCGGTTGCTCCTCCAGCTTGATGAACCGGCTTGCATCTGGGTTTGGACTGCGAGGCATCCATCGAAATTGGAGGGTGATTTCGGAAAGATTGTCGGAGCCGTCGACTGGTGTAATACCCATGCACTTAAAGGCAAAAAAGCCTTTTGACCACCAAAAGTGAAGCAATGGGCTTAAAGATACCATATTCCAAACTTTATCCGAAGACCCTATGCCCTGTTGAAGGACGTGAAGATGGGTATTTTCGTGGGAAACAAGGATCAGTGCCAAAGTAAGCCTACGAGCATATTGCTGTCGATAGGCAGTATTATTCCACGTGTATGGAATAATATGGCAAACGTGAGGGTTTGAAATTCCGGTAACAACACACCGCCCATGATCTTGGTTGTAGCATTTATCACGCTCGGCGCGATCACCTTGTGTTTCGCCCTGGTCGCCATCTACTTGAGTAGATTGTCTGGCAGGTGTTGAGGGCCCATTGCCCGCTGGTGTCTTTCTCTTGCTTGGAAGCGGACTCATTGTCCGAACATCAATAAAAGCCCTCTCGCCTGGTCTTAAGACTAGTTATTATCAGCGGCATGAGCTTAAATTGAAGTAAATAAGATATACTTACAGCAATCAAAGAGCTCGTTTAAATCCCGAAGTTGGAGTGCTGTTATGTTACGTGATTGACTGCGACTGACCGTCTGAAGAGATGCAAGAGGTATCATCAACAGAACTGCAGTTTGAAGCGCAGTGAAGTTCGACTCGAGAAACGGCCCTCCAGCTGGCGTCGTCGGTTTAAGCCGCTGTAGAAGTTTCTCGATGGCGAGGAGACGCTGTTCCAATTCATCCATCGGGACAAGGTCAAGAGGCTTCACATGATCGGGGCGACCGTCGAGAAGTCGGACGAGGTTGTTGATTTTGGAACCATGCTCATGCCGACCGGAATAATACTCCAAGAACCTTCGGACCTTGCCGTCAAGAAACTCGTCGTCGTCCATGACGCCGTGGTTGTGGTCGAAGTTCGGGATTCTGAAGGTTGGAAAGGAGATTCTGAAGGTTGGAAAAGGTGAGAGTATGTAGAAAAACTTTTGTTGGCGAATTTTTCCTCTTTGTGCCAGCTGTCAGCTGCCGGCCAGCATGTGACGTGCGCCGGCGGAAAACTTTGAACTCACCACAAAGGTACGTAATTTTCGATGACTTGATTCACAAAATCAGTGCCCCGAAATATTCGACAAACGAACATGCCTTATCCTACCTATCGAGGCAGGTGCACTGAGGGCACAACTGAGGGTACAGTGGAGTTGGCGCCGAGCAGTGGTTTGGCGCTATTGGCTTGGAAATCAATCACTCAAACAGACTGGCGAGCGACGTGTATTGTGCTTCAATTCAATCACTTCCTTGCTCTTTCGGTGAGTTGCCATACTGTCTCAGCAGTGAATCATGACCTATTTTTCACACAAAACGTCCATTAAAAAACCCTGATTCGGTGGGAAATAACCACTCAGCATTCGTGCCTGCGAGATTCTTCTATTCTACATTATTCTGAGGTGGAGCACCGGGTTGTCCACCCCCCGAGTCGGCAATTCACCTGCAGTTCCTCAAACCTCATTCACTACCTACGCTTCGAGCTGGTGCTTAGATCAACAGCGGCTCCTTATACATAGCATTAGTAAGACTCGGGATATGTAACCTGTTCTATCCCCCCAGCTAACGTCTGTTCCCTCGACAGCTCCTCCCGCTCCAACATCTCCAGTACGATGGCAAATCCTCACGGACCAAGTCCTCCTGGTAGCTCCGACCCAGGGACTACTTTCCTGAGATTCGCCAGTCATTTCCGATCGGCTAGAGACTTCCCCGACACTAACATGCAGCTAGATCGCAGACACAACTGTTGCAGCCGACCCCAGCCCGAACAATCGCGCGCCATGACGACCTTAGCGATCAGGAGAAGTTCCAACTAAAGGACTTGATGGAGGAGTGGATCATGAGCATGAGTCGTCCGGTTATGGACCTCAACAATGTGACCGTCCCAGATGTGCTGTTTCGCAGTCTTCTGATGAAAATCCTCGAGTTATGGAAATCGAATATCACTGGAAACCCACGACCTTCGATCCCTGAACGCACAGCAAAGGAAGCAAGCATCATGGTCGGAACGCTGCGAGAATCCCACCCACCCTCCAAAAAACGAAAACATGGACAGGGGTCCCCCGAGATTCAGACTGCGCGCCTCGCTGGAGCACCGATTTACTTGGCTCCAACCCTTCAATATGGTGAGGAAAACGTTCGCTGGATGTGGCGAGATGGCAAAGGCCAGTTGGCCAACTAGGCGTTCGTTCAACTGAACCCTGGCCTGACCAGGAAACAAGCCAAGATCAATCTCATGAACCATTACGACGCCTGCGAACGACTCCGTGTCAAGAACTTCAACTCAGAGCTGGCGATTTGTCTCGCGCGCCGGCGCATCGTCCGATTCGCCCGGCGGGAGGACAGTCAAGCGAACCCGAGGGTTCACTCGGACGACTGCGCAGCTGGATCTGTCGAGTTGGAGCTTATTCAGGATGTTGTTCACAGTATGTGGGACGATATTGAGGCGATAAAGAACGAGGTTGACAGCACTCGTTCGAATGAGACTGGATATGTGCTTCGATTGGGTGGTGGTTGTTGGTGTTTTCTTCCGTTTTACTGATTCACTTGGGCATCTGGAAACCAGGCATTCGGGTATTGGGAATGAGCATTGGGAATCGGGCTTTGGGAATTGGGTTTCTGGGCATCGGGTCATGGCCTGCTTTTGATTCGGGCGGTTTATCGCAAGCGATCACGGGGCAAACATCGGTCTAAATACTTGCGATGTAATTACTATCAACATCAACCGAGACTCTACATCTAATATTCCGATAACAACCCCTTGAGAAACCGAACAGCCGGGTTGATTAGAACCGGTGCTGGAATAAATATGCATAATCAAACATACATCTCGGCATCGCGCCGATAATCGTTCCAGATGTAGCATCTCGCTAAGGGGCATTCCCCAAAGTGCCAGAATGTACTCGTGTAGAAAGTAATCTGCCCCAGGAGCATGAGCACGCATCCTCGAAGACAGCAAAGCGGATCCGGTTTGGAGGAGAGACGTGGGTGAACTAGTATCTCGTCAGCAGGTCATAGCATTGGGTAGAAAATGCTTGAATTATGGATAAAACTGTGTTTTTCTTTACCTTGTGCCTGCAACTTGTTCACCTTGAGGGAGCAGACAGATCCCATCACCTCCCCGCAAGGGCTCTATTCCAGTGACAACTATAATTTCCATTTCCGTTGATCATTGCTTAGATTTTGCCGAAGAGATCAGTCCCTGGTCGCCTCCGGAGGTCTCTTCCGGTTCCCCCTGTTCGGAGACCAGCGGGACTTCGGATTGTCGCCCCAGCACCCCCACCCCCCCTTCGTTTAGTGATGCTTTCTCCATTCGGTCCCTCCCAGTGACGCACCGCCTACACATTCATTCTAAGAGCTGTGTAGATGTTGTGCTCACGACAGAGGTCGTAGCCCATCGGCATTCAGGGCATTTGTGGCTGGCTGAAAAACGCGATGACTAAGAACATGGAACCAAGTATTTCCGGGAGCGGCTCGGTTCCTTCACTTCCTTCGTCTCGAGGCTGCAAGGGGACTTCGTTTCCACATCCTTCCCTCTCCTGCGTGAGCTTTCTTTCATTAGTCGACTATCTGCCATGCCTCCGAACATCCTGCTGCACAACCAACCGCGCTCGTTCGATACAGTTGCCTTGGAAGAGAGCAATTTTCTGCTTTCGCTTCAACACCAAGATGCTGCTGAGAGCTTGAGGGATTCGTTGTGGAGCCAGAGGGAGCCGATCGCAGCCTTGGTCAGACACCATCTTCGCCTACAGGAAGATGACTTCTGCACGGTTCTACCAGTCGACACGTGGATTCAAGGCGGATTCAACCTCTGCATTCTCGTCATGGTGATCTCCGGCGACGTGACGAGAGAGCTGGTTTTCCGTTGTCCCATGCCTCACAAGCTTGCCGAACAACAATATCCCGGCACGGTCGACGAAAAAGTCAGTTGCGAAGTGGCTACATATGTATGGATGCAGGAGTACTCTGACAAAATCCGGATCCCAACCCTCTATGCCTTCGGCTTTGGAGACGGCAATCATGTTTGTATTCCCACTTCTTTGCTCTCCTGAATGGTGCCGATCCTAACAACTTGTTGCGACCTAGTTCACCCACGTTGCGCAACGACCGATTTACACGAGAATTTGCCATACCTCCAGGCAGTGGATGTACCGTCTCCTTCGCTATCCTTTACTCTCGAATTACACTCGCAATACGTCCGCTCCATCTGTCGATACCCCATACGTACTCTTGGAACATATTGGCCCTGACACTGGACAAATGCTTTCAAATACGTGGTCGCAGTATAAGGACGATACTGATCGACGAAATCGCTTGTTTCAGGGCATATCGCGTGTCATGCTCTCCCTTGCTCGGCTCCCACAACAACACATTGGCTCCTTTCGATTCAACGCCAGCAACGGCACAATCACACTCTCGAACCGACCTCTGACCTGCACCATGATGATTGCCGAGAACAGCGGAACGCCACGGACAGTTGAGCCTCACCAAATTTATCAGGGCACGGATACATTTGCCTCCGATATGCTCAAACTGCACGATAACCATCTGCTTCACGACCCTCACGCTGTGCGAGATGAGGACGACGCCCGAGAGCGGATGACAATCAGGACATTACTTCGAGCAGTCATGCACTCCTTCGTCTTGCCCAATCGTCGGAACGGCCCTTTTCTCCTACAGCTGACCGACTTGCATCCAAGTAACATCTTTGTGGATGACACTTGGAACGTCACTTGTTTGATCGATCTTGAGTGGATCTGCGCGCTTCCAGTGGAGATGCTGTCAGTCCCATACTGGCTCACCAACTGTAGCATCGATGCCATCATTGATGAGGAGTATGACCGCTTTGACGAGGCGCGACGGGCGTTTCTTACGATCATGGACGAGGAGAGTAAGAGCATACCGATGGAACATGATGTTCAGATCACAAGCAGCATGAGGGATGTTTGGTCTTCCAAAGGAGTGTGGTTTTGGACTTGTGTAAGGTCCCTGAATGCTTGGGTTTTCGTTTTTGAGGGCCACATCCTTCCAATCTTCTCCGCCAACAAAACGTTGGTTGTCGACCTCAACGAGGTATCGAGCTTTTGGCAACAGGGGATTGAGTCCATTGTGGAAGCCAAAGTTGATGATGAGGTGAAGTACCAGGCAAATCTTCGGGCCCTCTTTGATAGTACACCTACACCGTAAAGGAATGATAATATCAATTAATCCCTGAATCAACTCTTACGTCAACCACTAATCACTCAGTCTCACTGCTTCTTAGGTGACTTGTCCTGAAGATACTGCTGTAAAAAGTATCCACCAAGCACGACTCCAAAATACCCCACAGCATCGACGACACTCTGAACCAGCCAGCCATATTGATCGCCAAATCGTGCCAGGGGGGTTCTCTGAGCAAAGGCACGGAGCTCTCGTAGCTCGTCCCGCTCCTCTTGTGTTCTACACTTGGTTAATATGGGTAAATGTTTAAAAACGTAAAGAAGATGCTTACTGCTAAACAATGCGAGGATCGGTGCCAAGGGGGGTTGGCCCAGCCACACCATAGAGAATGTCAACCATTTGTTGACTTGGGGTCAGCGGCAGCGAGCCAGGAGCCACATTCGGGCTCGGCGCAGGGGGGGCAGTGGGAGCAGGCGGCGCGGTGGTAGACGTGGTGGAAGGCGCGGGAGCAGGCACATTATAAAGGGGGAGGCCTTGGCCGGTGGAGGAGGAGGAGGAGGTCTGGTTGCGACGGCGACGGGGTGCCATTGTTGCGAAATCTTGAATATTGGTCTGCTCAGAGTCATTTCTTAACACATGGTCATGTCTTGTTTGTGGGCCAGGCGTTGAAAAGAACTTACTCGTGGGAGGGTGGTGCAGTGTTGGTGTGAAGGAGGAAAGAAGGGAAAGAAAAAGTGAGAAGGAAAAGAATAATTTAAATATACTGGGATCAGTCAGTTGGCAGCTGTCGGCAGCTGCCAACTATTCTACCAGAGCTGCCAACTATTCTACCAGAAAGTGCTAGACGTCCCAGCCTCTCAATGCTAGTACAGTGACAGTGCGTTACAGGAGTGACGCATTTTTTCACAATGCATTTACACACAGGATCGCCGGCCCCAACTCTACCGATTGCATAGAAAGCGCAACACATCGATAATGACTCTATCCACTATCGCTCTAATAAGTTATTATCTCAGACACCCACCACATTTGTAAATAACACCATGTTCTATGCACGTAAGTAAACTACTTTCGCAGGGAACAGAAAACATACTAAGTAGACTAGGACAGCCCTTGGTTATTGTTCTGACTCCTACACCATTCATCCTGCCAACTAAGATAAGTGCTGTAACTGTTACGTAGCAGAGTGGTTGATCTCGACGCGGATCGGGCGGCTCCATTGGACTACCTAAGATAAGTCAGCTGACTGAAGCTGACTGATGAGCTGTCTGACTGATCGGCAGATTATTTAACCGAGGACTCAACGGATGACTCATCACCCACCTAACTTTAGCTGGAGAAATTCATGCTTCTTCACCATCAAACCTGACTACTTTCTACAACAAAAAGGCCCCCCACAGCGACAATGAACCGGGCGCCGTCACAATAAAGGGGCGGCCCCGTCAGCCATTGTCAACGGCTTTGGCACTCCCTGGGCGATGCTCCTTTATTTCGCTGTAATTTAATTCTATCGCGGAACCACACTAGAGAATGGTTTAAGGATGATGAATACTGCGTCGTCGAGGAAACACACCGCACAAGCATGGAAGCATCGCCAATGTGATAATGGAAAGTAAGATATATTACAAATCTTAATGCCCACGCCACATTTAAAGAAGAAAAAAAATACGATTAAAGCTTTCGCTAACAATTGTGTTGGGGATCAAGTGGAGAGGTCTGCCCCAGGAAAAGGGTTATTTTTCTAGTCTTTAAATAGCGTAGCGCAGGGCGCTCTTAGAAATTGAACAAGCAACCTTCTTCCCTCATTGCAAGCTGCACACATGGATCTCCGCGACCACGCACTCAGTTGAATTGCCGACACTTCCTACGAATTATTTTCCTTGCGATCGGGTGCACTGCAAATATTTATTATGTCTGCTTTGCTATAGGGCTCATAGCTGGAGGTCTAAGAAGCTGACTTTTGTCTGCGGGTGGGGCGGTATTGCTAGATCTACCCAACAGCAGTGCCCGGTTTTGGTTGCGAGTCTAACTCCATCCAACAAATAATAAGTTTTGCAGCAGCATGCAATTGAAAAGTTATCCCGCCTGAAGGGATAATTCCGCCAGCATTTACCTTTGCACTGGCAAGGCTCACGCGGGGCGTAGATGAATGGCTCAGTTCAGTCCGCCAAAAGACAACCCCTTGAGTGTAGTGGCATTAAGAAACTGCAGAGAGTGGTAGTCCGTAATTCGAGCAGAAAGTTGAAAGGTTTGAGCCCTCATAAACAAGGTTGTCTCCCCGGGTTTATGAAAAATCTTATGCATCCCAATGGTAGACCTGAGCCCTTGTGCAAAGTTCGACATGCACATGCATAATGCAAAAGCCAACTGTACGGGCAACCGCTGTAGCCATATGATGTCTGTAGATAGCAATCCAAATTTGTTACAGGTTCGAACAAAGGGTTATAAAAGGGATGCTTCGCTCCTACTGTAGAGATATCAGCACATTATTCGATATCCCATTTCCAACCCTCCGCGCCTTCAATACACACTCGCGACTGTCAGACGGACCGATAGGAAAAGTCAGCTTTGCATGAGACCGGATCCGTACCGGGGTTCCCTCTGAACCTAGGATCAGTACCGGGGATGTCTGTGAACCTAGATAGAGACTTTGAACCTAGATGACCCTCAACAACCTAGATCATCGGCTAGAGACGGCTTCATCAGATCAAGGGCATCAGGGTCAGTCAGATCCCTAGGCATAAATAGCTAGCTTTCTTCCTTCCTAGACCAAAAGACAAGATCATCCATCGTCCCAAGCTGTCTCAACCAATCCAACTTGTCTGATAGCGACCGCCGTTTCCATGAAGTCCTTCATCCTCCTTTCACTCGCCTGCTTGGCTGTCAGCCTACCTAGCTATGCGGGAACTCGGCAAGCAGATCTCGACCTCCCTGACAGCGTCTATGAGTCTGGTAACGAGGAAAATGGCATTCCCTTCATTCGCCGCATCAAAGCTCATCTAGCTCTAGCCGATCCTACCAGCTTGCCTGCTCCCACCGCAGCCACACCCAGTAACGCAGCCTTGCACCGGAGGGGAGCCGGAGTCTTACTCGGTCGCCCGAAACGTCTTCCGCGCCCGCGTCGAGCCCTCCAAGACACTCTCCGAGGAGCCCTCTAAGGAGCCTTATACGGAACCCCTTAAAAAGTCTCCGCTACGCCCAAGCCAGCACGTAGATATGTACTGTCTACGTCTAGCTCGGATTGTTCTTATGACCCAACATTACAAAACTATGTAAGATTTATTATCCCGGCTCGAATAGTTGCCTCCAGCTGCGTTCAAACGATAACAAATTCTAGTCCGAGCTTTCTTCTACAGAGGAACCAAGTCAGGGCGGAGGCAAAGGCGGCTGCTACCTTTAGTTAACGACACTTCGGAGGACTTACGCTGGATGACGGTGAATACAATGGGGTGTGCCTTGCCTTTGAGGTAATTGTATCATAACGTTTCTTGCTATGTGTTTGTCCCATTGAGGTAACCATCTACAATATTATAACATGATATGTTTGTGTGCCTTGCATGCACGTTCACCCATTTTGACATCGAGGTCGTGAGCGTCCTCCCTATTCCTGCTCCGTGCTGGCAGGCTCGTAGCCACCTAGGGCAGCCGGTTCAACACATATCGCGCGACATCTCAGCTCAGGTATCAACTACTAGCTCACTCCGCTCGGACCACACCGGGAGAGCCAAAATCGCAAGTCGAGCATATTCTACCGGGACTTGCCAAAAGCATTGGATGGTCTTTGGAACCGGATCTTCGATTCAATGGAGCTGCACCAGCAAGAATTTGCTCCGATCGAGTCCCGAATCCAGCTGAGAGGGCTCGGAGGTGGGGTTGACAAGCCGAATGACAATCTCCAAGGCAATGAGTGGGCTGGAGAACACAGGGCGCCTGAGCCATATGCAGTTCTGAAAGGAGAGGGCGGAAGCGCAAAGCTCGAAGGACAGGAGTGGGCTCAGTCCCTTGGAGGCCCACCAAGGTCTTCGGGGGATGAGACTAATAGCCCAACTGGCAATCTAACTGGGGACGAATGGAGCAGGGCGACGAAGGGAGAGGAATGGTCTGGAGGCCTGCAGGGGCGGGAATGGTCTGGAGGCCTGCAGGGGCAGGAATGGACTTCGCTCCGAGGCAGGGAATTGACTGCAGCATCAAAGCCGCAGAAGCGAGCGGAGAACCTCGTCGGGGACGATTGGTGCACTAAGCTGGTCGGTAGTGAATGAGCTGAGAATCCGCGCGTTTCGGAAGTGGTGGGAGATCTGAAGGGGTCTGAATGGACGGCCAAGTTTGGACAGCAGAAACCAACCGGAATATCTCGGAGAAACGACAACGGGTGGTCCTCGAAACTTGTCGGCAACGAGTGGGCCGGAGGAATGAAAGGGTCAGAATGGACGGGACATTTGAAGGGGCCTGAGGGAGTCTTAGGGCTAAAGGGCGACGAGTGGACGGCTAAGAAGATCGAGCCATCACCGGGCTGGCATGCGTCTGGCGCCGCTGGCATGGGGGCACTGATCGGTGACGAATAGAGATTCGACTGGACGGCTGGACTGAAGGGTATCGAGTGAGCGGCTAAAGCAGCCCCTGGAGAGGAAGCAGGACGGCGCCAAATAGGGCAACAGTTTACACTGGATCAACCTGACCGTTCTCCATTCAACATGGAAAACGACTGATGTGTGGGTAGAGGTTGATCAGGCAGTATGCGAAGATCAGGTCAATGGGTGAAACACAGCTAGGAGGGACCGCTGAAGTAACAATTAAATTGAAAGCATTTAGTACTTTTGTGACCATACCCCGTTGATCCTTCAAACAATCCTCTGGCTCTGATATTTCTCGTCGCTGAGGGGCGTACTAATCTAGCTTTTATCTGCCCCCTCAAGGTGAGCAAGTTGCCGGCACAAGCTGGGGGGCATACTATGTTATTTATGCCTCTGGCCAGATATGAAAGATAAATAACTAATTCCCGGCCAGATAAGCCTCGATGGCGGAGATCTGGTCTAGTACTGAGCTCCGGCTCGTGCCCCCTTGGGCAGATCTCCTCTCGACGCTCCTCTCGAAGTCGAAGACGTCAACAATATCGGCCTCGAACTGGGGCGAGATCTGCTTGAGTTCCGGCAGCTCTAGTTCGGCGATAGAGACGCCCTTCTCCTCTGCCTTGCGGACAACGGCGCCGGCTATGTGGTGCGTCTGCCGAAAGGGTACGCCTTTCATGACTAGATAGTCGGCGACGTCGGTGGCGAGTATATCGGCCGTCAGGGCGGCCTTCATCTTCTCCGAGTCGATCTGCAGCGTGCTCAGGACGCCGGCGGCGATTCGCAGGCAGTGCGAAACTGTCTTGACGCAGTCGAGGAGGGGCTCCACTGACTCCTGGAGGTCCTTGTTATACGCCGTCGGAAGGCTCTTGAGGGTGGAAAGGAAGCCCGATGCCTGTCGACAGTCAGTTAGCTCGGGGCACAGCCCTTTCATATTTCATATCTACGAGTCGGGGCCGAACAGGGATAATGACGGACCTGACCCATGACCCTACCGGCCTTGCCCCTGATCAGCTCGAGGCTGTCGGGGTTCTTCTTCTGGGGCATCAAACTACTGCCGGTGCTGTAGGCGTCGGCAACACGGACGAAACCGAACTCGGCTGTAGACTGAATAATGACGTCTTCGCTAAGGCGGCTGAGGTGCACCATCAGCAGGCTCGACCACTGCAGGATCTCGACGACGAAGTCCCGGTCCGCGACGGCCGCCAAGCTGTTGGGGTGGACGGAGGAGAAGCCGAGATCCTCGGCGAGAAAGGCGCGGTCGATGCCGAAGGGGTTGCCGGCCAGGGCGCCGACGCCGAGGGGACAGCAGTTGGTGCGGTCCCGGACGCCGCGGAGCCGCTGCAGGTCGCCCATGAGGTACGTGGCATGGGAGAGCAACCAGTGCGAGAAGCGGACGGGCTGGGCGCGCTGGAAGTGTGTGTAGCCGGGCATCAGGACATCAATGTCTGCCTTGGCGCGGGCGGCGCAAACGGCCAGAGCGGCGCGCAGTTGTTCAGAGAGGTCGTCGAGCTGGGCTCGCACCCAAAGACGCATGTCGGTAGCGATCTGCTCGTTCCGGGACCGACCTGTGTGAAGCTTGCCAGCGATGGTCGGCCCGATGAGCTCGGCGAGACGACGCTCGTTGGCCGTGTGGATGTCCTCATCAACAGCAGGTTGGACGACAAATGTGCCGTCAGCCCACTCCTTCTCGACAGCCTCAAGGCCCGTGGTGATCTCGCGGAGCTCCTCGTCGGTGAGGAGGTCGAGCTGCCGCAGTGCCTTGGCAAAGGTGATGGAGCCCCGGATATCAGCCTCGTGCAGCGCCTTATCGAAGGGGAGCGACTCGTTAAAGGTGACCATAAGGTCGTTCATGCCCTCTGTGAAGCGACCGCCCCAGAGGAGCGTTGAGGGGTTGGACGCCATAGTAGATACTAGACGCTGGCAAAGGTGTACGGATGGCCGAGTAGTTGCGTGTTGTGTGTAATATCTAGCTATGTAAGAATGCACATATGTCTGAATGAAACCTGCCCGAATAAAATGTATGTCGCTGTGGATATCACGTGACTCACATCGCTGTCTGAAACTTACCTCAGGCCCTCGCCCACTCGCTAAGCGAACAGACGGATCCCATGGTTCTATGAGTGGGCCTACTGTACAAAGGATGCGCAGTCTTTTTGTCCAACCAAGAATTACCGTAGAGACTCGACAAATTCGCCCGTAATTTTGCACACTAATGCATGCAAATCACTGCGTAGATGTTTGACAGGTCTGCCAATTTTAGAACCCACTCCCTTAGTGCCTGTAGATCCCTCATTCATACAGTAAAATGAGGGGCATCTTGCGGGCACTAGTGTGCAAAATTGCGGGGGAATTTGTTCAGGCCGCAAGGATTAGAAAGGTTAATTGCACAGTTAGTCCCGCAGGTACTCCGTACTCCATCAGCTAATGCACAGCCCAGTGGTACTGTACATGCACAATCAACCTTCCTAATACTTGTGGCCTGTTGAGTCTTTACAGTACAATACCCCTGGTGAAATTGACTGGGAATGAAAAAGGATGGGAAAGTGCGGGGTGGTGAAGACTTTCTGACTGAGGCGAGATTTATGTGCCTTGAGGATAAGAACCCCAGCTCAGACTCCACAGCAAGGTGAAACGGTGTTTGGCCGACTTCGTCAACCTCGTTGATGTTCAATGAGGCTTCTTTGACCAAAAGTTGGATAGCATTGACGTTTCCCCCGCGGATGGCATAGTGTATGTGTAACTTAGGCCTTGGCGTCTTCTCAATCCACAGTGTGAGGGCGTGCCTGTGAAACAAACGTAGAAAGTCAACCTTGCCCATCTCCACAGCTATATTAGTAGGTACCTGGTCGTCGGGGACGTCGGATCGAGCTCCAACCTCGAGCAGGAACTCGGCAACGGCGTATTGGCCGTTTTTAACAGCATGAGACAGAATAGAGTCTTTTTTTTATATAACTGCGTTGCGCTGTTATTAACAACACCCATGTCAACTTCGTGCTTGTGCAAGTTTTCCAGGAGCGACTCGTGGGCACTCATGGCGGCATAGATGCATGCGTCTGTTATGAATCTTCTCATGGCGTGAAAACGAATATTCCAACTCGCTCCCGCCGTGCTGGTCCTCGATTCGCAACCATGGGATGTGCGGTAATATCCATTGTATCGACAGTTGCTGCTGCTGTTTCTGCGTTTGGTTTACTGATCCTATACCTGCTGCGGTTTCCTCTTCTGTTGTATCTTCCGCTGCATCCGTCATTATTGATACGGCCAACGTCCGCCCGCGCCTCCTCCAATACTAATTCTTTACTTCTGTCTGCTCCCTCAAGGTGAACAAGTTGCTGGCACAAGGTCAAAAAAACTCAATTTTATCCACAATTCAAGCATTTAGGAACACAATGCTACCACGATTACCAAATATCAAGCTTTTCGCGCCTCCTCCAATACATTATGCAACATATCCGACAACGGGCCCATTCTCAATTGCACATGTCCGTCTATAATCTTGTCTCCTCGCCAATTAATCGTCTCCTCGCCCGGTGTCGTGTATCGAATCTTCATTCCGTAATGCGCGTGTATTGGTGATCCCATTCATCGGCGTTGGCTCCGCGTCCTCTTTGTCCGATATCCGGGCCATGAACCAGTCGTACCTTACGCCGCATCATTCGGAACAACCCCGTCGCCGCTTTTTCCGCTCTCTATTCTCACTCATCGACTGTGACAACCTGGCAGTCTCGTCCCGTCGCTCCCGATCCCATGACGGCTAATGCGCTGATGATGTTATCCAAACCCTGATGAGCCTAAAGGAGTGTAAGTTTAACCGCACCCTATCAAAGTTGGCTGGTTGATATGCTTGACAATATATATAAATATTACCCTGCCCTTTCTACTTGCTATTGCGGTTCTCCTCCCTTGCCCGTCTCAGGAGTTTCCGAAGTCCCACGACCTCCTTTAGGGCCGAGTCGTGCAGCGGGTTCATCCAGTCGTTGATCCTCTCTTGCAGGTGTTTCAAAAAGGCCTTCCAAGCAGCTGAAGTGCATATCCGCTTATCCGCACCTGGTGCAGGTCGAACATCATCATCCTTGTCCAGCCAATCCAAACTTACTTCATCCATGTCTCCTATAACTCCCTCCCTCCATCGCGGCTTTCCCTCCCAGTTCGAAAAGGTTTGATGAAAGAACAGTACCTTGCTGTAGTGAATGATAGCTTCCAGTCGCTCCCCAAGATCGAGATCCATCGGCAAAATGTTCATATTGAACTGCCCTTGACTGATATAGTCCTCTTGACCCGAAAGAGCGGATCGAACCAAGACTGCAACCCACTATAGCATAATATTATCCGATGGCTTTGCTCCGATCTTGTAAATTGCCGGAAGCAATAGGTCCCATATACTGGCCTCAAGCCCGCTTTGATTACAACTCATAAGCAGCGTGGCCGCTTATATCATGTCCAGAATATCATCCCCCTAGTCCTCGCTTAAATACAGCCCCATTTCCTCCAGCATGTCTTCGTCTTACAAATACGCCAGGAAACAAATAAGTCCTATCTATATCGAGTTGAGCCGTCGCCGCCTCCGCAGTTTACACTTAGCTGCCGAGGACTCATACAGCCCCGTATCCTTGCCCTCTATCCCCTCGTTAACCAACACGCGTACATCCCGTGGCCAACGCTCCGATAATGTCTCTAGCCTATCCATACCCTGCCAAAACGCTTTCTGGATGGTGCGTCGCTGCCTGAGATCTTCTCGAAATCGCCATTTCGCCGCCTCAGCACTCTCGCCAGCAGCCCCATCCCCGCCTATGCTGAGATCGCCATCATCGTCAAATCGAACAAGCTTTCGGTTGGGCGCAAGTCTTGTATCAGGCTTCGCACTGGTTGTTGCTAGGAAGCTGATCCAATTTATACGAATTCGATCCCATCGCTCGTCGTCTTCGCCGGGCACTAGGAAGTCAATGCTTCGAAGCCAGTCTTCGCATTCCTGACGTTCTGCATCGTGGATTGGCGACACATCGTGTCGTTCATCCACCTATTGTGTCCTGGCGTTTGACTCTGTGACAAGTCGCATTGCTGTCTCTATATCATCGCGTGTACGCCAACGCTGATAGATTTGGCTTTTATCGTGCGCGTCGTGCGACGAGTTTCCTTCCATGCGCCGGTGTTTTGCGGTTGGCGGATGTGGTGGTGACCCGCCGTCTCGTTTCTGTATTGCGGGCAGTGGTATGATAAAAGATGCTGATTTCAGGGTAGAATCCGGTATTGTATAAGAGCTTTCTTCTGGAAATTAAGATAGAAGGGAGAAATAAATAAGCAGGCGTTATAACTAGAGGTTATATTAGAGTGGCTAATTAGTTACTTAAAATTAAATTAGTAGTTAAATTAGGCTAGTAGTAGCTAGTATTTAACTAACTATTAATTAGGCTAATAGTAGATATTAATTAATTAATTTAACTATTAGTTAATTAATTAACATACTTAATAAGCAAGTATCTTAAAAATCCCTTAACTTATACCTTTTCTATTTAATTAATTAATTCCTAACTACCTAGTATATTATATTCTAATTATGAGGCTAGAATACTTCTTATCCTTTAGGCCCTTTAAAATAATCTAAAATTAAGTCTCTAATATACTATAATAATATATACAGTCTCTTAGAAGACTCTAGGTTACTAGTAGAAGAGTATTCTTTCTATGCAAAATACTATTACGAAATTACAAAAGCTATCTAATCTAAAGGAATAGATTCTTATTTATTTTTATTACAGCCCAGGTTGAGACCAGGCGGTCTCAAGCGGCAGAACCACAACACCCTACTTTCATTCTTCCCCAATTAACAAAGGATCACTCAGATTACTCCCGTAATCCAGCGATCCCCGACATAAGGACCAATCAAGTAAAGGATCACTTGGATCACCACCATGATCCTCACGATCCAGGCGATGGCTCACTAGGATCACCACCGCGATCCCCGTGATCCACCATAGTATATAGACACTCTTTTAGCACTTTCATAGACGGATAGTCTCACCAGCTATCAACACACTTGGTTACATTGAATCTACTATTCTACCATTACCAGACCGTGACCTACATTGCTCACTACGACGTCCTGATCCACTCGATCATACACCCCACGCCTCGGACCTACCCTATACCCTTAGGTTAGACCCGACCGTCACACCTTATGCTTATTAAATTACAATCCCTTTATTCTTCCCGCTAGTTTCTGCGTGCTGTGTTATCCACCTGACGGCTGGTGGTGTTACTGGTTTAGACGGAAAGCTCCGTCAGCTATGTGTCTAGCGTATGCGGCGCTGTATCGAATGCTAACCTGTTACAAGTATTGCTCTTCGCCTTCTCCGAGGCAATTAAAATATTTTTGGCTAGGGCTTCAATTCTATCACACCACCTGAGTTCGAAGTTTGGGGAGACCTTTCTGAAAAAATAGCGTTTGTTTCTGTGAGAGGAATACTATTAAAATCGCCGCCTTTAATAAAGGTGGAAGGCAGGCATTAAAATACACCGTTGCTCTGCGGCAAAATGCCCGACTATCAACAGCACTTTCAGGCCAGCTCAATAAAGCGTATCTTCCCGCTACACGACGAAAAGAAATTGACCAGCTACGGCCCCGCAAATCACCAGCAAAAGAGCCGTGTACTTGTTCGTGAACTTGTATAGAGCAGCCAGAGCAAGTAAGTAAAGCACTGCAGCAGGCCCGACCTGAGCAGTCATTGCAATCGCCTCTGCCATGGGTTTGTCTTTAAACCTGTCGATAGATCCCTCGACGCTAGCTTTCAAGATCTGCACCGCAATGATGGCAATCACACCAATGACCGAGCCGCAGAGGCCGTCGAAGAAACTGGCGAGGACCTTGTTCCGAACTAACTTCTCGAGCAGTTTGTGTCCCGCAATGGTAAAGAGGAAACACGGAAAGAACATGCCCAACGTAATTACTACCGCACCAGCGAAGGCATTTGCGAGCGACTTATCCACATATCCTCCCTGAAATCCGACAAAAGTTGCAAAGATTACCAGTGGCGCGGGCAGAACGTTGCCGATGGCAATGGCATCGATGAACACGCTCTGGGGGAGCCATCCGCCCATGAGGACGGCTTCGACCTGAACGAAAGGTATCGCAGTGTATGCCCCACCAAAGGACAAACTCCCCGCAACCAAGCCAAGGACGAACAAATTAATGGCGGATGGGGTCTTGGCAATACCGAGAGCGAGGGAGACCGGAGACGGCACGCCGCGGAAGACGACGTAAATGGCGTAGCCGACATACTGGAGTATGAAGAGGGCCCCGGCAGGGATCCATAGGCGGCGGGCAACGAAGGCGTAAATGACGCCATAGAGGCCTAAAGAAATAAAACTAAAAAGGCGTAGTAAGATCAGCAATGCGGTCCTTTGCGAGTTTGTGGGACGCCTTAAGAACCGAGGACAATCCGTCACGCCACGGAACAATTCGACGACAGTGATTTGATTGGACAGAAGGCGGGGTGAAAGGGGAATGCAGGAGGAACCAACATGTTGATATGAAGTGCGCCATTTATAGCAGTGCATACGGCCGCCATGATGAGAAAAGGGTCGACTTTTTGACTGTCATGCTTCCTTACTGAGTGGTCTGCAATCTTATGCGTTGCCCGAAGAATCTGCAACCCCGTCAGCGCCCTGATCCCATTTAGACAAGTCCACGCTCAGGTGCCCCACCATTGCCGCTACAATGGGCTGCAGCGCTCTAAAGGAGGCATTGAAGTACGTGTTTTCGAAGCCAGCGAGTGAATAGAGATAGCTTGCGAGAAGCATAAGAAGGAAGCCGGGAAGCATGAAGGCAACTCCAGCGAGAATGCCACCTATACGGCCTGCAGACAGACAGCCAAAGAACATACATAACTCGGCAGCCTCGGGCCCTGGCAAGATCTGGTATACGGAGAAGACGCGCTGGAATCGGGGGAGGGAGATCCACTTGTCTTGAAGAACTAGGCGATCCTTGATCAATGCGATCTGGGCAACGGGGCCTCCCCACGCGAACAGGCCGAAGTTGTAGAAGAAGAACCAGAATAACTTCAGATAGGACAGCCGCGGGATATTGGAGTTGTCCTCAAGACCTAGTTCATCGTTGATGGATGTGGAAGTTGGGGGTGTTGGAGCCATGCTCGGCGGATTCATGGAAGCCGACTTTTCGACATCATCGGGGTTGGATACTGCCTCAATTAGGTGGCTTGATCCTTGATTCGCCATAGCAGCAGTCGTTATGCTTCGTAGGTCTGGAGTTGAGTGCTTATCTGTCAAGCCTGCTATGTCTAGGTGTTCACCAAGAACGATCATCCCATCACTGACTTCCATATATATCTGTTTTGGGGTCTTGGGGAGTGGACGGACAGGCCGACTCTGATTGGCTCATCCAGCCTCCTTTGCCTAGCCATGTTTAGTCTAGATGGTGCAAGTACTCCGGGACCAATGAAAACTCGCGAATAACGCCAGTCGATGGACGGACAAGCGGCGCATGATTGGTCCGCCCTTCCGCTGCTGCATCTTTGGAGCCATGACCCCAGCCCGTCAGATTCGAGCGATGTTGAACATAGTCAGGATCACTCACCTGGATGGAGGGGTGCAGCAGTCGGCCCTGGTTTCTACCCAATCTGATTTGGAGAGTGTGGTCCGGAGCTAAGCTGACGCACACAAGCAGGATACTAGCAGTGACTCCACGATCCGCGACCTCGGCGCCGTGCCTTTTGAACGTCCGGAACCCCCCGAGCGTAATGCCGCTTCAGAGAAGGCCTTTTGCAGAAAATGTCTCGTGGCGGATATCTCAATCCAAGTCCACCCATTCCGGGTTAAATACTTCATCCTACCATCCCATCCAGAACTTGCCAAATGACCTTCTTCTTGACAGCGCACCCTCCCTGGCCATTCGACGTGCACCCATTCTCTAAAGCCTTTGCAGCGTCGTCGATCTTCTCCTCAGATGTCGCGAAACGCATCAGCATCTCGTAAGCCTTAGCACATTCAACTCCCTCCGCATCGCCGCCAGCAGCGGGAACGAGCTCATCCGCAGCTGGAAGAACGGAAATCTGGGTCAGGTCCGCACCAGGGTTCTCTGCGAGGCGCGATAGAAGCTTGCAGGGTGGCTTTGACCTCGCCGCAAGCAAGGGATCCCCGTACGGAGAGGACGCTGACCGACAGACCTCCCCTAATCGAGATTGTGAGTCAATGCCGGTGGGCGGCATCGGGGACTGCAGGTCTTGGCTTGATCGCGACAGAGTGTCGCCCCCTTTGTCCCTAATGTTCAAAGATATATCGGTTGCGTGGATGAGCTCTGGAATGTCGGGCATCTGCGTGGTAGAGGCTTTACAGGTGGTCTTGCGACCAGAGCCACTGCTACCGCTCGCGACTTCCACATTCTTTCTATTAGAGGCGTAGTCCCTCGCCCTTTGCTCACAAGTCCGCCGCCGAGCACAGCACTCGTCACTCTCTATACTTCCGCTTTCGCCTTGCTTTACCCAGGCGTCAACATCTTCGGGACTGAATCCAGCAAGGTTGAGGAGCTCCCGGAGCCTAGCATTTTCCTGCACAACCTGCTGAGCTGCAAGTTGCACCTCCTTCGTAGCTTGTACACCACGCTCTCGCGCCTCTTTCAGCCTTCGTTCGAGATCGACCACGTATTCCTTGCGGCGGGCGCGATAGCGGCGCTTGTTCTCCGTAAGTCGTAACGTGCGCGAGGCGGTCTGATCCAAGGGGTATTAGCATGATGGACCCAGGCAGAGTATGCTACCGGGTCGGCTGGTAATACACGCTTCTCCGGTGACAGATTTAGACAATATGCCAAAATACAGTTAAGGAGAGACTTACCGCCTCAGTTTGATTTTGAGGCATCACGGTTCCGTGGTTCTCACTGATGTCGAGAGCTTTAGGGAGGGGGCAAGAAAGAGCGGGGGATTGAGGCGGGTTATCGGTTGGTCCATGGAGGCGCTTGGATCCGTCTACTTTCCGCTAGTCAAGTTGGTCAGGTAGCTTCCTGGAAAACTAAACTAAGTACCACGCCCTATGACATCAATCACCGGTTTTCGCAAAGGCTTGTGAAAGCTTGTGAAAATCTCATTACAAGGCTCTCGCTATCAATGCTATACAAATACACCTTGAAAGCCGCCCTACCCATATTCGTTCCTCAAGGCTCTTTTACGCAAACCGTGACGGTTTGCCTCTCCTGTTCGGCTCGGAATCCGTGGCCATGTTATTCTATCTTGGGTAATCGATAGTCATGAAGAGCGGACCAATGTTTACTACCCGAGGAAGACTTAGATTGAAGAAGATTTTGATTGATGCTTAAAAATAAAGATATGAGGTCACGAACGCAGTTAAACTGCAATGCCACCGAACGCGGGGTCTGAGCTGTAAGCTAGCGCCTGTGCGCAGCGTGCCTCATTCCTTCACAGTCCCTCACAAGACAACACAAGGCAAGTGCCTTGCTTTGCCTTGCTTCTCAGGCTCGTTCCGAAAGGCATTGGCGGACCCCGTAGGGGGCCGGTCTCCTGTCTTCCGTGCCCTCTTCCGCGCCCACCTTGGTAAGCTCGGGCCACCAAACGGTCCGTGCGAGCTGCCTTCACCGATCGCCGCGCCACAGTTTTTGAGCCACACTCAGCCCTACTCCCTACTCCAGTTCACCGTTTCCTTGAAAAAATTGTGTCTTTCCTCCGGTTGGGATTACCATCCCAATCTGTGATGTGTTGAGCCCGACGCTCTGCTGCAATTGCATTGTTGACCTGTTCTCATTTTACATTATCTGCTCTCTTCCCTTAGGGTGGGTAACAGGTCCATTGCTTGGTCTATAGTTATGGACATGTTGACTGCCAAGCCCGGCGTTTGGAATTTAGGTGCATTGACGGCAATCTAATGGTCAAGGGGCAAATTTTTTTGGGATCTTAGAGTACGGCGATTAAAAGGATTGATATTGATGTTCGAGTGGGTTGCACACAGTGCTCTAAGTTGTAAAGGGTGTAATTTGCACTGTCCAGGTAATTTGTGAAGCGAGTACTACCAATTTGAGTGGGCGGACGGAACTCTCTTCAGCGTGATTGACTGGATGGCGGGCACGAGTGCAAGAATAGGTTTGGGTATGGGTGCGGCTAGAGCACTATGAGAGATTTTTAGAGGCAACGAATGTGTTGATAAAGAGCAAGCGTCCTTAGCTTATATTATAGGTCTGGGCAAAGTAAGAGGGGCATCCAGCTTTAATACTAAAGTAAGAGTAAGAGCGAGAGTGGAAGTAAGATTGCTATAATATTTAACTGTAATAATTAAAAAGGTTATTTATTATTAAATAATCTACTTTAGCTACTTAACTTTACTAGCTAAGAATTCTAGAGTTAAGGTTAATTAGCTTAATAAGTTTAGTTATATATAGTATTAAATTTCTACTATAGTATTTATATATATTTAAGTATTTTTTAGGTATCTTTTTATATCTTTTTAATATTACTTATACTTACTTATTTCTAACTTTTATTATAAAGTAGAATTTATTAAGAAATAATAGTATTCCTACTATATATAAAAATATTTTATACTACCTTCTATTCTAGTATTAACTCTTTTTATTTTAATTTCTTTATAGCTAAAAAGGTTATTCTTATTATAAATAGTAATTTTAATATAGAACTTTATATAGTCTATATATTTATAACTTCTAAAGCTATTAAAATTGCTATTCTTAGATATATTATATTTAATTTTAAGTAGATAAAGTAAAAAGTAGAGGTAGCTTATACTAGTATAATAATTTATATATTAATTATTAATATTAATAATAAAATTATAGTTAGTAAAGTATTTAAGGGTATCTTAGAAGTTTTAAGTAAAATTAATATACTTATTAGTAATATAAGTTACTTATTTAATATTAAGCTAATTATAAAAGTAGATATTAAGAAATAATTTTAGGAAATAATTATTAATATTAAAAAAACCCTAATTCTTTTAAAAGCTTTTTTTAAATATATCTCTAAAAATCTAACTTTTATATATATATTAACTAGTAGTTATTATATTTCTTTTATACTTATAAATAATATATATATAATAAGTAAAATAGCAGCTACTAGAATAATAAAATATTTTACTTTTAAAAACCTATAAATTTAAATCTATATTATCCACCTAGATATTATCTAAATAAATATATATAAAAAAAGCTCTAAAAGTAGCCTAGATTTCCTATTTAATAATAATAAATTACCTAATTATCTACTACTTCTATAAAATAATAATTCTAAATTATACTAATATATAATATAATTAAACTACTAGCTTCTTTTACAGTCTAGATTATCAGCCTTAAAGCTAAGTTTTTAAGAAGCAAATTTATCTAGTTAAACTGGGACGTCAAGGAGTTAAAGGCCATAAAAGAGCAGCTCCTTTCCTCGCAGGACCTCACACTTGGTCTCCAGGGGTGGCCTTAGGTGCGATCCGATCCATCCCAATGACATCTTACATATCAATTACTATTTACGTTTTACACCCCAGAATGACCTCCATCCTGAGAAGAAGTTATGAAACACGTCCCGAGAGGGCGAGGAGGCCCCTCTCCGCACGGCTCTTTGGTTACGAATACTACTTGGTGCTTAGGTGATGAGCTAGGGCTGTGGTGGTAGCAAATGATGCTCTACTTGCTTGTCTCCTGGACCATTCCCGGCCTCATTCGACAACTAACAAGACTTGTGATGGCGTTACGTGAGATAAAGGCTCCTGGCTCTAATGTCATCAAGGTCCGACCGCGACGGCGTTTATCAGCCGCGTGACCCTGGGAAATGGGCGCCATGATGTTATCGCCTGTATCGGTCCCTGTCTATATTGCTTTTTTGATACTATTTGGGCCAGCTCTACCGACTTCAGCTGGACCTCTTGCTTACAAGATGTGATCCCACGCCGAACGCCGCGCCTTGGTATGTCATTCGTCAGGCTGGGTACTACTGATCTGGATATCCTCCTGGTGAGTATATATGCTACAGGCGGAGAGGTCTCTATCTTGAAGCGTCTCTGGCCGCGCTTTGTGAAGTTGCCAGCTGCAGAAAGCTTCTGCTCCGCCGACCCGAAGTTTAGTTCGTCGCGAACGAGGTGAGGACTAGTGGGTGAAATACATAAAGAAACATACATCAATCGAAAAGATTGACAAAGTTAAGGGACTCCGGCCTGACGCTTGGCCGTAGTCCACGCCTCGACAGCACTGGCTTGTATTGCAGGGCTGAGGTCGTCGAAGCTTGCGACGCCTATTAAGTCGCAATATTCTGCTAAGAAGTTGACCCTCAGTTTATTTTTATTAGTCTTAGGAGGGACTGATGGCCTGATACCAAGAGATTTCGCGCGTTGCTCCTCCACTCTATCAGGCTCTCCGGTAGAAATAAGGATCTGTTGGTGGTGGTGCACAGTATGTTCTTGTACCGAGATCTCTTGTTTGTCTGCATCTCATCGCCTCTCTGCATTTGCTAACTAAATCTGACAACTCGACGTGGTAGTTGCTGTGTTTTCTAATGCCTTTAAGTATAGTACGGATGAAAGATAGCTATTTATCCCTAGGGATCCGGCTGATCCGGGAGCCCGTGGACCGACGATGCCGTTGGAAGCCGACGATCTAGGTTGTTGGGGACTATCTAGGTTGTTGAGGTTGATCTAGGTTTGAAGTCTCTATCTAGGTTTGATCGGAACCACGGTACGGATCCGGGCCTATGCAGAGCTGAGTTTTCCTATCAGACCTATTCGTCTGACATTAAGGAAAGTTCAAGAACGCGACATCAAAAAACCTGTTTCCCTCAGAGTGGTAGCTTGAGATATAGCTGTCTCCCCAAGGCTGCATCCATGTGTCTGCAAGTTCATCAGAAAATATTATCTGGTTTCATGTAATATTAACCCACCGTATGTCGTAGCTGGCTTCGACTGACAAAGCCAAATAATAGTATTGTTCAGACCATCCCTCATGCCGTTGCTGGGAAACTCTGAGAGTATGGCAGAATACTCTTCCTTGGTGATACCGAGAATGGGGCCCTGGAAATCGGATAAAATTCCGTTGCCTGTAGTTATAACCTCGAGTTCTTTGTAGTTATAGATACTAGGTTGGGTATGAAGAGCAATAGCGTCCCAAACAAGCTGTACTCTTTGCTTATCCCAGTTTCTACCATATTTGTTACTCTGGATGAATTCCCTGGCGGCAATTGCACCATCCACCTCGAATCTCTTATCATGGCTCACAAATGGCGAGCCGGGAGTTTGGTCCCAGCCCAAGTCGTGCAGAAGAGCAGCCACAGCATGCACCTCCAAGTCGACAGTGTTGCGAAGGGTCTCGTTGTGTTCGATGACAATTGCACCAAACAGCCAACTCCGCATGATATGCTTGTAATTAAAGCCACTGCTGTGCTTGAGGGCGTAGTCATGGGCATCGCGCACGATTGGAGTATCGACAACTTTGACACCAGCAATCGTTCGTCGAGGCACAGTATGACGGTAAGAAAGGCCTTTTTTTGCGGTGGTTGAAGCCTGAGCTGGCCCAAATGACAGAGCCAGCAGAAGCAAGAGAAGTTGTGCTATCTCACGGTACGCCATTGTAAAAAGAAATTTTGGGAGTTGGACAATATCTTTAAAGAGGTGGAAGTATGATGCTGGATTATTTTGGGCAGACTCCTAAGTACTGGCCTGGACAGAAATCTAACTTATATATCATAATTGTCGATTTGTAAAGCACCGGGGTGACACTCATTTCATGGGTAAGCATCCCGCTTTCTCAGCCGTTCAACCGAAAATGATTATTTTCATCTTGTTCAGTAATCATCAACTACAGATCAACGGGACAAAATTCTTCCACATGGACTTAAATTCCGAATGTGGTCGGATATAAAGACACTTAGTCCAAGTTGCTTACCAACATGAGATGGAAAAAAGACATCAGGTGTCACTTGATGCGGAGAAAAGGAAGAGTTATTTCACACTTGCATAACCTGTTGGACTAGAATTTCCGTCCCTTTCCTTTCATAATTCCATTTGTCACATTTGTTGGATTGTGACCCTGTATGACAAAACCTTCGATAAATTGATATCCTGACCTTAGTCAGGAAGGGAGGCGAGATATGACGTAAATACCCCTCGTCACCCGGAAGCACCAGAGTTCAATACAATCATCAATCTTTTGCCTCAAGAACATTTCTATAGCAGACTATCGATGTGATCGAATTGCCGTGAAGGATCCATCAATATTCATAGCGATATCACTTAACTACTCATTGTCTTTGTATTTCCCAGCTACGGCAAGTGGAATTAAAGTGATACTTCTCGTCGGATCCGAACAGGGACGGTCAATCGGCATATTATTTGGGCCGTTTGTTCCCTATTATATCATAACTTTGGGTCAACAAACGGAAGAACGGAATCCTAATGCCCTGATCGGCTCGACGGCAAAACATACTTTTCTCGACAAAGTTAGTGGATCCTGTCCCCTAAAAGGCAAAAGACAAGCCTTCCTCTTCGTGGCCCCGCAGCGGGGGAACTTGTCACCCCGCATCCATACAAGATCCGACACCTCTCGGATATATTTGGCAGCGATATGCTATTGACCATCCTCATTCGCCACTAATCAATAGTCCGAGGATGAGCCTGATAGCCGTTTACCCGGCAAGTTAATTGTAATGCCCGGGCGTCGACGGATATACCCCAAGTCCTTCCTCGCATCCCACTGGGTTCCTCGCATCCCACTGGGGAAGAGGGAATAGAATAGTTCGTAAGCCTCGGACAATTATGTAAACGAGAGAAATAAAAAAAAAATATGGTCAGTACAGAAATGTGGAGAAGCTAATGACAGCCCGGTTAAGAAATACCTGGACCGAGTAATGAGCACCTTCAGCATTCTATATATAACGGTAGCATGCCATCTCATCTGACAGAGTGACTGATATCCAACCACTCAACTCTTTAACCTTCCATCTTGCGGCTTCCATCTTAAATTCTTTTTCATCACTATCGCCCACTATGGACAGTCAACGCGGAGACTTAATACTTCCAGACATACCGGAGTTAGGTCTTATCGTACCATCCGCCGCTCTAGCTGCCAATACCTCCTCTTTTGTCAAGAAGCACTGCGACGCAATGATCTACAATCATGTAGCTCGCTCGGCCTATTGGGCTTTGATCATAGCCCGAAAACTTCCACAATTTGCGAATGCAGACCTGAGTCTTGTCTTCATCAGCTGTATGCTCCACGACATGGGATGGGCCGCGGCTAAGGAGCTCCTAGCCCAAGACAAACGCTTTGAAGTCGATGGTGCAAACATCGCCAAGGGATTCCTAAAGGATCATACCGGATCGGAGTATCATGACAATGAGGCTACGGAAGCATGGGACCCAGCAAGAATCCAACGAGCTTGGGATGCAATTGCATTCCACACGACACCGTCTATTGCACAGCACGCCGCAGCTGAGGTAGCTCTTACGAACTTGGGTGTCACAGCCGATTTCTTGGGTCCTAATCTTGACCTTGGCCTCGGACCAAACCTGATTTCGAGAGAAGAGTATCGCGCGGTGACAAAACTATTTCCGCGCAATGGATTTACATATGAAGGCCTGAAGCAGGTAATGTGTGGAATATGCAGGACCAAGCCAAATACTACGTACGACAATTTTGTGGGCGAGTTTGGAGTTCGGTTTGGCATTGATGGCGAAGGATCTGGCAAAGATGAATTTGCTGAGGAGGTAGAGAAGTCGCGTTTTGTCAACTTTTCCAAGTTTGCGTTAGATGCTCTTGAAGTTCTTGACAAGGAAATTTCAGGAGATGATAAATAGTCACCTGGAAAGTGCACATTTACAATGAGCAGCTCCCTAGCTATCAACAGACTTAGTTACATAAGACTACGTCTTGCACATTATCAGACCAGTGAACTATATTGCTCAACATCTACGCCGATTCATTCGATCATAATACGCGACCCACTTACCCTAGACTCACCTCTAGTATATGTGCCCGACTCGTTACACGGACGCAACACTTCGCAGCTATTAGTAGCATACGCCGAACTACTTGCCAGTGTGTGGTGGTCTGGGTGTAAACGAGCTAAAACCAACAACCACACTGAAATTGGTACTGGTTGTGTGTATGGTAGTGGTGTCTGCGATGGGCGGATTAGCGGGTCTTAGAAATAATTACAGATTTATCTATATTGTAAGCTTTCTGGGCCTGGAAATCCCATGCCTTTCGTGTCATCCATGACGACAACTGGAATCTGGCTCGATAGACTAGACGACAGTCAGCATTTCCAAACGATCAAGAATAAGGAACCTGACCTATACAAATTTGTCGGCGTACTTTCTCCTTCCCCAAAGACATCCAGAATGTAATCACAATACATCCACACGCGTTCCAGATGTTGGGGCAGCAACAGCTTCTCATCCTTCCGCGCCACCAGCACGGTGCCGACATAGGACTGCCACGCCGACGGCGCAAACCCGGACTCTGAATCGATGTTGAGATACGTAGCAATCTGATTGTCGAGGTCGGCCCGGTTTGTGGACTGAGTGCCGATACGGTGCAAGACCAGCGGGATCTCGATGAGTCCTGGGACGGGAGGTACGTGATTGGAGAAGATGGGATGATCTGCCTTTATTATTATCGCAGACTAAGGCGCGAATTTGATTCTCTTAATATCGCACCGGATGATAATGGCTTGGATGGATCCTAGTGTACTGCTTATAACTGGCGCCGTTGTAGCTGGTATACCTGATTGTGGGGCTGCTGGAATAGGAGCTTGGGGCGTAGGGACTAAGGGAGGCGAAATTTCTAGTTCTAAATCCGTGTCTATATTATCCCATTTCGAGTAATCAATAATCATAGAGAATCACCTAATGATACTCCCTGAGGAAGATTCAAGTTGAATAAATTAGATATCAAAGGTAAAGAAATAAGATACGAAACAGCGTTAAACTACAATACTGTCGAACGCGGGGTCTGAGCAGCAAGCCAACACCTGTGCGCAGCGTCTCAAACCGCAAAAGGCAAAAAAATGGTCACACGCAGACGCCACCAGCCCCTGTAGTCACCCGCCAAAAGTCTCCCAATCGCCGTAAAGCCAGTGCCAGGAGCCTTACTTATCAACCTCTCAACTCGTTCCGAAAAGGCATTGGCGGGCCCCGTAGGGGACCGGTCTCCTGTATGCTTCTTTAACTGGTTGGACATCCCTGGAGTGACTAAACTGGAGGCTTACGACAGTTAACGGGATACCTGTACCTTTGCCAGACCGTTTCTCGCTTCAATGATTGCGGAAAGGAACCTAATACTAGTACGACTAGACTAGTACGAAAAAAATATGAGACCAGTACAAATAGCACCAGGACAACATGACTAGTAGATAGAGCGTACTAGTATAAGCCCAATGAGCGACTGGGATGAATAGTGTACTAGTATATGTAAATCGGAGGACCAGTATGAACTGTACCAGTATAACCTGTCCCAGTCTTTGCAACAGGAGACCGGTCCCTACGGGCCCGCCAAGGCCTTTCGGAACGAGTCTTTGGGTCGCGGCTCTTCGATTGCGGCTCCTCGAATGATACCCCACGGATGGTCCACGTACTAGATACGTAGCAGGCCCTGATTAGTGCCGCCAAAACATTACCGCGCTGTGACTTCATATCTGCATCATGCCCGTTGTTCATAGACCGACTGGCCGCAACAACCAAAAAGAGATGCCGTTGACTTTGTCATGGTCCCTTTTCACCCTCCCAATCCACCATTTGGAACTAGTTAATTCAGAGACTCGAGAACAGAAGCTGTTAGCACAGAAGCTGTTAGCATTCCTTAAATCTACAGTCCCAGTCAATCTCGTCCCCATACCGCCATGTCCATCGCCACCACGTCCGATGCTTTACCGCCTTAGCGCAGTCGCAGAATCGTCACAGCCAGGCCCTCTGAAGGTATCGCTGTGGCTGGGTCCCGCCTATCTCAGTTGCCGCTTCTGCGGAGGCTGTGTTGCTATCCAGTAAAAGAAAATCCAAGGGTGCCATACAGACTGAGGCAGCTGGACTGAGGGTGACGGTCAGTTGTGACACTTGGCCGATGAGGAACTTAAGGCCACGGCAACGGGAGGCTCCAAGGATAGGCCGGAGAAGAGGATGGGCATCTGCTTCCTGGTCTGGCCTCCCTAGCCCATGTTGGCCACGGCTCCCTTGTCGATAAGAAGCCTTGCCACTGCCTCGTGGTCCTCCCATGAGGCCCATAAGAGCGGCAACCATCCGTATTTGTCGCTGGCGTTAACGTCTGCTTCCTTGTCGATTAGAAGCCTTGCCACCGCCTCGTGGCCCTTCTCTGAGGCCTCTAAGAGCGGCAACCATCCGTCTTTATCGCTGGCGTTGACGCCTGCTCCGCTATTAACCATTATCCTAGGTAATGTATAGAGGCAATTATTTATTAAAGATATTAAGGAGTTCCTTAATCTGTAAATTTAATAATAGTACTCTATACAATCTATACTTTATTAATAAGACTATTTATTATATAGTCCTCTTAGGACTAGAAAGTCTAGTTTAAGCTTATCTATATTTAGTCGCTTTAGTCTAGATATTTACGCTATTAGTATATCGACTGTTAGCAACTAAGCACTTAAGGACCTATTCGCTAAGCTCTCTCTACAATGTATTATCTTACTAAAGGATATTAATGCTACTGGTGTGGCATATTTTCGTAATGCTGGTGGTGAGAATCCCTATGAAAGGGGAAAACTCGCTGATATAAAGGCAGTGACGCTATCAGGGCTGCTCAATGCTGTCAACAGTGTGACATCCCTTAGCTGTTGTTCGCTCGACTGCCGACTAAGCCCCAGTCCACAAGGCTTGACCCCGAAATAAATGACGACCTTCCCATATATCTTGACATATTTCCGTTGGGGCTTATATCGGCTACTGACCTAGCCCCGCGGCTCTAAGTAAGTCACCTTCTAGACTCTCCAAGAAGCCTGGCGCCTTTGCCCTAACACCTAGAACCTTGTGTGTGCGGTCTGCTTTCGATCGAGAGTTGGCCGCGAAGACCAGGCGCGAGGCACCAGGTAGAGGTACGTCAACGAGCTTCTTGTCGAGTTCATCTAGTGTGATCCTTTTTGGTTCATCGGTCAAAACCAGCCCTCTAGTCTTGAGGATCTTGCCCGTAGCACGGGCGATCTCAATCTGGGAAACCTCGTCGTTGGGCACAAAATAGTAGCCCTATAGAGTATATCGTTAGGGACATGTAGGATAAGACACAGAGCCAATCAAACAAGTGCAATGGAGTCTTGCTGGAAATGGCTGATGAAAGTTGTACTCACGTCACGGTTCCATTCAGCACCTTGCCCGCCAGCCGCCGCAGCCTCCACAAGCTTCAGAAATACCTGGGCAACGTCTTCGACATGGGCTCGAGAGTAAACATTAGAGCCCGAGTTGACGTAAAAGGGGGCCCCCGCCTTTACGGTTTCTTGATAGAAGACGGGCACATAGAAGCTGCTTCTATTACCCGGCCCGGTGCCTTTCCCGTGGATGTTCGGGGGGCAGACCACAGCAGTCTTGAGACAGTTGCCATGCTGGGTCCACGCATTCTGAATCAGAGACTCCGTAGGACGATGTATAGTTTCGTGTGGGAGGGACCAGATCGTGTCGATATCATCGATGTCGGACCACACTTTGCTAGTGAGATCGCCGAGGGCGTTGGTGTCCGCGATCATCCCTGTGCCACCAAGATGGATGTAGTATGCTGGTAAGAAAGCGTTAGCCCGTGCAATGACGCCGGTGAGTAGTGCTTGCACGGCAGGGACGTGGTCTGAGTTTCCATGGTCTTATTCCTAATTGTTAGCTGTGTTTCTAATACAGAGATTTATTTATCAAGCGAGAACGTACGGACGACAATATCAGCTTCGGAGGCGGCCCGTGTCAGCACGCTGGTTTCGTCAAAAGTTCCCCTGATAATCTTGACGTTCGGATATTTCTCGGAGAAACCCGCAGGTATCTCCCGGAGGAGCACCGTAGTCTCGTACTTTGGGTGAGCTGTCACAAGGGCGTGAAATACGGTGCCGCCTACATATCCGGTCGCTCCAGTGCTATTTAACGGTTAGTAACGCGTAGTCTTATACATAGGTTCTCGATGGAGTGTACACAAAGAGCTTGGGCGTCATTTTGAGACGTGTTGCAACAAACGAGCTTCGACTCGTTGAAATTTGCTCGATTGAGCTTCTAGCGGATAAATTGCGTAGCCTCTATTGTTCGTGTTGGAGGAAACATGCGCTTTAATATAGGTCATGCTAAAGGAGTGCGACCGCATTTGCAATTTCCCCAAATTTGTTATAACGTATCCCTATCCTTCTTGATTAATAATTCATCCCTCAGACCCAGCTAACATATTACAAATCCTGCGGAGTTTCTACTGGGAGCGGCCATTCGACTGTCTTGCGGAGTTGCTACTGGGAGCGGCCATTCGACGGTCTTGCGGAGTTATGCAGTCCATGGAGAGCGGCAGATTCTGATAGCCCCTCAACTCCGTCTTGCCTGTGAAGCTCTCCGTGGCATTCACACAACAGGTGGTCGGAGTTGAAACCCGAACTCACCAGTTCTCCAAAGCGTTTTCCCTCCCTGAGGCCATTGCTTAGGTCCATACTGGCCATAAGTCTTTCTGGGACATCAACCACTCGATACTAGAAAGTCTCCATCCAAGTGGATTAATACACTGCTTCCTCTAAGACCAACGTAATCGTAGACTACCATACCAGCCACTTCAACTGCCATGAGACCGGGGCGCCATCTCCAACGTTGAATGAGCGGCCATGGGCTTTTTCCGGATGTAACGAGGTGGGGCATGTTGGACAATTTCGGATCCGTCCGGTCACTGCCTACCAACAAAGTAGAGGTGGTCCACATCGTCGATACTGGGGACAGTCCCCAGCTTCTGGCGAGTCAGCTGCTTGTTGCTGACAACCCCAAATGAGTTTCTAATGGGGATAATGTCTCATGTTCGCTTTCGCTATCGCTATCGCTTTCGCTTTTGCTGGTGGAGTTGTGATTGCGGAGTTGTGGATACCCAGCTAGATATACGACACAAGTCCGCAACCTTAACCGTTCACTCAACGTCTCGGGTCAAAACTCCGCTTAGAGCTCAAGCTGTGAAGAAATATAAATAGGACCCTAGCTACTGCCCAATCTTTACTCTTCGCAACTATTCACAACCTCTTATTGCGCGCTACCCTGGACTTCATCTCGAGTGCGGAAATCTCCTCCCCCTCACTATTTCGTGCCATCCCTTAGATACAATCCAACATGTCAATTGAAGACCTTGGGGGCAGGCAAGTCCTGGCCTCGGTTAGGGAGACTATCAATGCGCCACAAAACGAAATCTGGCCGTTTCTCTCAGCTATCGGGGCGGAGAGAATTTTGATCCCTGGGTGTACCCAATCATCAGTACTTGAAGGTTATGGGGAAGGCGCCTTGCGACGAGTCTATTTTGGTGACATCTTTTTCGACGAGCGGATCTTGGAGTGTGATCCAAAGACGTACAAGATGAAGTATGAAGTCCTTGAACCCAACTCGAGCCCCGGGAGGGGCGTCGTTGCAGCTGTACAGCTTCACTTCTCTGGACCGAAGGAGACAATAGTGACATGGGTATCAGGTGCCGAAGTGGTCCCGCCGGAACATGAAACCAGCCTCAAGGAACAGGCCGTGGGCTTCTGTCACGGTCAAATTGCATCTCTCCGACGACTAAGCCAAGCCACAACACCGCCAATGTAATTAGTTGGTGGGGATCTTGAACGGAGGGTGTAGCAATCAAGTCGGCTGGGGATATTATCATAGTAGCTGCCGCAATTGCAAGCATTGTAGCGATAGTCAAGAACTCTACTGCAAAGCACAACAGCTATACAGCTTCGGCGAATTCAACCAGGGCTCGTTTACAACCCATGCTACTTAGGACGAGCACTTCCTCTTTCCCATCCCGGAGAACATGTCATCCGCCGAGGCAGCTCCCTTAATATACACTGGTACAGCCATCTACTCCGCCCTACGCAGCGCGGGAGTCCAATAGTATCACCAAGTAGGCGTTCTCGGCCTCGAAGGACTGGGCCACCTCGCTGTTCAGTTCGCCGCTAAGATGGGATGCTACGTTACTGTTTATTCGCACTCACCTGCCAAAGAAGAAGCAGCACAAAGCCTGGGAGCGTCAGATTTCCAAGTCATAGGGGGGAATTCTCTTCTGATTCGCGTCGTTAACTATCTTCTCCTTACTGGTGCTTAACAGCCAGACTGGTCTGTAATTCTGTCGCTGGTCCGTCGAGGTGGTGTGGTTAGCGCGATAACTGTTAATTCGTCAGAGCTACGATGCTTATATGCAGATATCTTGATGAACGCTATCCGGATCGAAGGGAGTCTCCCGGCCACACTACGCGTCCAACGTGAGATGCTCAATTTTTCGGCGCTCCATAACATAAAGCCGATTATCGAGATTTTCTCATTTAGTGAAGAAGGCATTAATGAGGCTATGGAGAAGCTTCGTCAGGGTAATATGAGATACCGAGGTGTCTTAGCATGGCCGTAAAGATCTAGTCGACCGCCAACGGTAAACCGCTTCGGGAGTGGTTTATGTTGCCAGATGCATCAGGGTGTCGTTCTGAGCGATGGTGATGTTAGGGAGTATGGTAATAATCGAACAAGGTGTCTGGGGTAACTAAAGCTGTAATTGATAGTTAAGGAGTGTTTGTTGTGGCGTATAGGCTGTGGCTAAGAGGTGGCGGTTTGGTTGTGGTGAAGATAAGGTGGCGCGAGTTGTGGTGCAGCCGCCGTGGCGAAGCTAGGTGGCGCGGAGCTGTGGCGCGGAGCTGTGGTGAAGCTGCCGAGCACGGACCTTTAGGTGCCCCGAGTTTATAAAGGAGGGCGCAGAAGAAAGAACCTTTTATTCCGAAAGGTATGGGACTTGCTGGCAAGAGAAATCTGCTCGGACGATCTGGACCGGGTCGCCAACAGGAGACCGGTCCCCAACGGGGCCCGCCAATGCCTTTTCGGAACGATTGAGAGCTTGAGAAGTAAGGAGCTTGAGAAGTAAGGCGCTTGCCTTGTGAAGTTTCGTGGATATGAGCGAGGTCGGGGGGAGCTTTGCAGTTTGACGACGAGGGAGAGGGCTCCGATAAATGCGAATTTGACTCCGTGCGGATCGATGGGTTGTACATTCCCGTTGTCGACGAGAGACAGTGCTGACTGCAGGTATCTGCTCAATGTTGTGGCGTGCTCTATCGGTAGTCTGTGTGCCAGGTTTGGTCCCGGGGCCACGGGGTCGTCATGATGCCTACGACGCACTGGGCGATGCGACGGACACTGGGCTAACCAATTAACCCCTTTGGAGTGTGTTGCGGCGCTTAGCTCTTGTTTCAAAAATTTCCTTCTCGCTGGTGATGTTTTTCTGGGTTTGCTACGGTACTCGTGAGGATCTGTCAGATACGGTGACTAGCCGCGAGACAGTCGTACGGTCTCATGCAGGGGTCTAATGCAAAAGAATGACGATAATGATGTATCCTGTGAATCAGGAAATAGTCAATTGGGATCAGCTAGGGAGCTCCTTCCGCTGTATCCTCTCTGTCTTCTGTGTTCCATCTGATCAGCCGGTCGGGCGAGGGATTTCCTAGTTACAGAAGAGGCTACCTATAATTAGAACCCCAGACTTTTCTTTGCCTACCTAGTGCCGGTCTTTACCCACTGTGTTACGGCTTGGTTCACCGAACAGCGATAGAGGCCATATAGTGCAGTAATGTGTCCGGATGATTGCCACCACAGCGATCATTGACCAATCTTTCCCCCCCTGGTATAGCGGACCTAGCACAACCGTTACACACTGTGGCATCACTTATATTCATACTGCCGAAAGTGACTTAAGAATGCTAAAATGAGGCTATATCTTTAATAGTTGTGTCTCAGCGAATCACCGCATTCACGCGGTAAGCTGATCGACTGGATAGGTGAAAACATCTTACTCACATCCCATCTTACACGGTGCTAATATATTTAACAAAGATTAATTCCATATATTTATTGTGAGCTGTCAGCAATATGACCCTGGGTGATATGGTTCTCCTAGAATATACTGGTCTGTAAGACCACATTGATGTAGCTTCAAAAGCCTCTCATCGTGTCTAACCAACAGCTCAAACACTGTCCTTTTCGTTGGAATGCTTATAATCATGGTGTGCTGTGTCCGTCTTGTCGTCACTGCCCCCAATAACGCCATGGGTAGCAGTACCTTGGCGTTGAAGGAAGGTCGTGCTCGGCCTCCAACCGGCGCTCTTACGAGCTGACGAAACCTCATTGTACAACTCATCGACTTCCTCCAGAGACAGTGTCTTGGTCTCGTAGATGAAGAAGTAGACGAAGGCAATGGCCAAGAAGCAGAATCTGGACCAGATGAAGAAGATCTTTGACTGAAGGTTGGCGTTACCCGGGCCCCAGTTAACAAGATATGGCGTGGCATAGGCGATGGCCCAGTTGAGGAGCCACTGGAAGGAGTAAGTCAGCGTCATTAAAACACACTTCAGTGAAATGCCTACTTACGTTTGTGGCGATATTGATACTGAGACTCTTGGCACGGATCTTTAGGGGGAAGATCTCACCTGACACGACCCAAGTCAGGGGGCCCCAGGTTGAGGCAAAGAAGAAGATGTAGATACAGACGAAGGCAATGCCGGCCTTCTGCGCGTTAATATTATGGACAATGATGTTACCAGCGCTATCTTGGCTAGTCGTGAAGGTGCCCAGCATTGCCACTAGGAACTGGCTCGCGCACATGCCCACAGCTCCCCACAGCAGCAAGGGGCGACGTCCTAATTTATCGACTGCCCAGATGCCGGGAAGAGTAGACACGACATTTATAGACGAAGTGATCATCTGAATAGTAAAGGCATTATTGATTCCGGAGTTCTTAAAGTATCTAAAGGACGCCAAGTTAATAGGAGGTCAGGAACCAGCTCCTCAGGGCCAAAACTTACTGAGTTCCGTAATAAAAGATGAAATTTATGCCGCTCAATTGCTGCATGGCCTGGACGCCACACCCAGTTAACTGACGCTTAAGCATAGGGCCCCGGAAGCAGTCGAGATAGCTGCTTTTTCCTAGGCTTAGCTCGAACTCGTGATTCGCCAGAATCTCCCCAAGCTCGTTCTGGATAGCAGGAGACTCGGCGGGAAGCCTTCGGAGACGGCTTAAAGAGCGAGCTGCCTTGTTCAGGCAGCAGCAGGTTAATATTAATAAAGCCTGTATATTTAAATATAATATTACTCTAAGAGTTACTTAGTTTATTATTAGTAGCTCTAGTATTTAGTAGTATCTTAAAGTAGAGGTATAGCTTGTTAACTATATTATAATAGCTTAAGATATTACTATTAGAAGAGTAGAATAGGCCGGTAAAGTAATCTTATTAGGGCTAACTAGAAAATAGATATTCTATCTATAGGTGTGTATCTGCAGTATAACTGCTATACTGAATATAATTCTTAAGTTAAGCGGGCAGTATATACTATTCAGACTATTTCTTATTAATGCTTATTAAGATAGGAATTAGATATTAATAAATAGATAATTTAGGGAATTATTAATAAGCAAGTATTAGGTAGGTGCCTCGGTTAGTAATATTTAAGATAAATTATTAGCGGGGTAATAATCCACTCTTGCCCCGCAATATCTAGAAGCCTTTATCCACGCCTTAAGTAAATATTTGCCCCGTCAGTTTTATAGAGTAAGCCTCTATTTCGTCCTTCTATGCCTAGGATACAGCCTCTATCAAGTCTTACTTAATTTAGCCTGACGGAGGTGACTCTGCGAAATAGCTATAGCACCATAATACAATATCGGAATAGTTATTATAGTTGGGACTAGCCGCAGGAATACCCAGCTAAGCATCTTAAGAGGCGATTTAAGGGCTAGGATTCGTCGCTCTCTGCTCCCTGAGCTAGCTTACTCCGACTGCCTATAGTCGACCATTCACCCCCCGACCTCTTTGTCCCTAAGGATAAGAAATTTCTACTTTCTCAACCCCGGGCACATTAGCTATTATCCGAAGTTGATCAAGGAATAGGACAAGGAGCGAAATGTAGCGGCAGGCTAGAAGCTAGCTTATCTCAAGGGGTAGATACTGGTGGATAAGCTTTGTGATGGATCCGTTACGGTCAATTCAATCGATGGATAAGGATCAATGCAGTGATGATGATGTTGATGATGTTCATCTCGTCATCCGGATCAGCCGGAAGAGGGGTTTTCATACCCCCCCTTCTGACTAAGGTCAGGATATCAATCTATCCGAGGTTTCGCCATACAGGGTCATCATTCAACAGGATCCATATGTGGATCCATATGTGGATTCCGTGGCATGGATTTCAACCCTGCGCCCGTATAACCAGATCGTGTCCAAGTTCCGCGGCCTATTAGACGCTTTTCCAAATATCCATATACCAGAAGAGGAAGAGTCAGAAATAATCAGCCAGGAGGTGAATTACGTTATTACACGCCGGATTAATCAGCTATGCCTCTCACCCCAAATTAAGAGCCACCTAGAGAAAAGACTATAGAAGACTACTTACTATACTTATCTCTAGGTATATTTTATATTTAATTACTTAGAGAAAAAATATTTTAAAAAGATAGTAAAGATAATTAAGTTTACTATTAAAATACTTTTAGGAAGTATTAATAAAATATATAAATAAATTCTTAATAAATTAAAAGAATATATAATAGCTTAAAAGATCTTAAATATTATTTTAGCTATAAATTAGCTATTAATAATCTTAGAAATAAATATTATTATAAATATAAATTATATATTATAATATATTTATAATTTTAATTTAAAAAATAAATTAAAATTTAAATTAAAATTTAAATTTTAATATAGATTATTTATTTTAATTTATTAAGATAGTATTTTTTTTTATTAAATAATTTATAAATTTTTTCTTATAAATTTATTATTACTTATAATTATTTTATTAAAGTTATATTAATATTATTTTATTATTATTTAAGATATATATATAATTTTTATAAAGTTTTATATATTTTATTTAAATTTTTTTAACTTTAATATTAATTTTCTAATAAATATAAATAGAAAAACTAGCTATTTTATTAATAGCTATATTTTCTTAGATTACTTAGTTAAAACTTAAGATACTTACTTCTATAAAGTTAATATTATTAATACTACTACTATTATATCTTTTACTCTAAGAATTTATAATCTAGATTTAAATAGCTACTTAGTATAATTTAAAATTTATTAAAAAACTATACATATAAGCACTACCAAGTATTTTACTACAGATCTCATACTAGCGTCGTACTATAGCCATCGTGTCATTATCAAGCTACTTCTCGGAAAGGGCGCCGAGATCGAGGCGAAAGACAGTATGGTCGGACTCCGCTATCGTGGGCCGCCCGGAATGAGCACGCGGCCATCGTTAAGCTACTGCTCGAGAAGGGCGCCGAGTGTGAGGACGAAGATGGTCGGACGCCGCTATTATGGGCCGTCCGGAATAGGCACGAGGCCATCGTCAAGCTGCTGCTCGAGAAGGGCGCCGACGTCGAGTGCAAGGACGAACGTGGTCGGACGCCGCTATGGTGGGCCACCCGGTATGGGCACGAGGCCATTGTCAAGCTGCTTCAACGAAAATCTCGATAACTACAAGACCATACTCTTCCTCCCTTCCCTACCTTATCTAAGCATATAATAAGTTCTGGTAATTCATCCTACCTATATATTGATAATTTTTTCTTTCTTATTGTCGTTATATTCGTCTTGCAAGTTGTTGACCTTGTCGTCGGCACCGAGTTTTGCAGCATCAGAATTTAGCGGTCAAATTGAACCGCTTTCGTTTTTGCGGTCACCATATTTGGAGAATACGTCTGCTTCCCGCGTCAAGGTCGTGTACTGGTGATCAAGTTATCTTAGAGCGGAGGCAGGCATAATTACCTCTTTGGTTACAAGCGGCCCTTTTCCGGTTCTCAGTAGCGACCTACGTAGTTGGTTATGTTTGATTTGGAAGCAGGAAGCCGGGCTAGCAACTACTTCCTACCTTAGCCAGCCAGCCCTGTATTCACTGAGCTTCTAATGTGCTATAGGAAAAGGCAATTGATATACGGGCCCAACCATTTTAATACACGGGCGCTCCTTACACCGGCTGTATGGGCGGCCGTCAGCCCCACCTAGACGTCCCGTTAGCACCCAAAGGCGGTGAGCGCGCCTATGCACGCACAAGGTCACTTACATCGCTCAGCAAGACGACTCCTTCTACCGCCAATCTGATAACATTCTCATCATAATTTCAATTGCCTTGGAAAAAGCCAGCGTTATTTTTTTCTCTTAGCGATGTCCTTCGAGTAATATATCAATGACTGGGGATTGTCTAATGATATACATTGGCTAAGAGGGCCGCGAGCTTGAAGTAATTACTGTGGCCGACTCACCGTCTTCAACAACCAACTCTGACAACAATATTACAAAGCATTCCCACATGGCAGATTCGTCAAAGACGACCACCGCAAGCTCCACTAAACGGTAGCTTTGCCGTCGCTGGTGGGCCGTACTACTTCGACCAACTCGGTAGTGCTCGAAAAGCCTTTCGGCTGAAAGTGTTGTTGCGAAGTCGGTATGTCATCGGTGCTGGTGATGTGGTCTGCTGGGTAATTGACCCTGCTCATTCTTATGCGAGATGCTGATGGTCGGTTTCCAACACTGGTCGAATGCGTACCGGACGACCCAACAATCCCTGGGAACAATCGGAGGAGCAGAAGCCGGAGGTTCGGCATACAAACGCAGTAGATTGCGACATTGAGTTCGATAATGGACCAATAGCAGGTAGAATACGCATCCCCTATAGCGATAGTGAGGAGCAGCATCAGGCAAGAATGGGGGATATGTAGCTTACACGTGGGGTTGATGGTATGGCCATATGCCACAAGAGCATGAAGTCGGAGGATGCAGACAACCGTGACACTTAAACACCATAGTTAGTTTTGCGCATAAGCACAGAGGAAGACAAACCCTACAAAGCACCCACGCCGAACATCAGGGCAGCGGCAAGCTTTCTTTTCCAATGTATATGCAGATGTGCGATCTGCGACAGCGGAATCACCAGCATCCAGAGGTCAATGGCAATGCTAATGGCAGCGCCGGCCCATGCCATGGCGTTGATGTTGTTGCATTGGCCGTCGTGTAGCCCATCCCAACGTTGCCAGGAATAACTGATCGGGCGGCATTGCGTTAGGGTTACGATATTAAAGACTGCAAGACTGACCGTGTTAAGAACAAGAGTCGCCCATATAAGTCTTCGAACAGTGGTTCCTGGGAATATTCGAAGGTAGAAGAGAAGGATGCAGATCTTGACAGAGAAGACTGTGGTGGTGTATAAAAGTGAACCCGCAAAAAGGAACTTGAGACAGTGTTGGCAAAATCTCTGTTAGGAATGGGCTGTGCCTTACGCGTAGGAAAGCCGTAATCTGGTCAGCACTGACAGTCCAAGCATCCTTTCCCAATCCATTGGGTGAAACTAATAGCATTTTCATTATTAATAAATCCTTCAATAAGGACCACACGCAACTTACGACCAAAAACGCAAACTGCCGAGTTCGCTACGTCAACCATCTGCGAGAGCCGTAAGCAACAGTACGAATACATTGGATAAGGAGCGTCTAACAAGGCTGAATATAATGAGATAGTCGTCAGCGTAGAGGCCCGAGCCACACTGCAGCCTCTCAATCAACCTCAAGCCAACTATGACGGAGGCAACGATGGTCAAGGTCGTAGTCAAGATATTGAAGTTCACATGCTTATCTCGGAAAGGTGCATTGCAAGCATTCGAGGTTGCATTGATGGTGGCTACGGAGGACCTGTTAGGTCATGCGGCGAAGTTGCCGGGGCTGTAACTCACCGAATATGTCCTCCGGGAGGCATGATTGTTGAAGACAGGCGAGGATATGCTCACGGAGGGGTTCATCTGTGCATAGGCATTGCGGATCAACTGAGCAGGCAGAGTTTGATTTCGCCTCTTCAAAACACTCTCGCTACGGAGGCCGTCAGCACTTGCGCAGATCTGGAGGGATATGTGGCATTGTGTATTTACTGCGCAGTCAGGAACAGTTGGGACCTTCAGGGTCTCGTTGCACCGTATCGGGCAAACAAAGAATAGACAAACCAACAAAGCCAACAGCGCATTCATCTTGATACGCGGGCGGGGTTTGTTGTTGGGATGGAGCATGTGCAAGTTGCATCGCAGCCCTTTTAATGGATCCCGAGTTCCCCAGTTCAAGAGCTAACCCCTGCATACCGAGCTTGGACTCTGGGGTAATCACCGCAGGGGGTTCTGTGCATTAGCGCCTCGAATAGACTGGGGGTAAAACCTGCAGGCAGATCAGGAGACTCATCAAACTTGCACTAATACTTGGGCCAGTGGAAACTCCAACGGCGATAGGAAGGTGACAGCACACTGTGGCTGTGGGTGGGTGTGCCAGTGGCAGGCAAAGTGTCATCAGCTCAACGCCACTGGGTAGGGAGGCTTGGGGGGGTTCCAAGAGGTCAACAATGCGCCCCTTTTTGCCTCATCGCCGTCACAACACGCTTTTCGATCCATGGTGACACATAATTACAGGGTGACTTGAGGATAGTGACCCCGAGGGTGGGCCTTAAAACTCAAGCAGCACGATCGCGTGTGTCTCGTTTCAATTGGCTCGTTACATGTTTTTCCCCTTCGCGTCCGCAGAACCGATTGCCACATCGTGTATCCGTGGAGTGTTGGACGCGATTGCGAGTAGTGGAGGGGCTGACACGGAACGCATTGTTTAACCCCCTTGTACATCACGTCAACGATATCTTCCAAAGCAGTCCGCCGAGGGCAGTGGAGATTCTGATCAACCTCGGCTGTCACATGGATGAGGGGACAATTGTATGGCGCTAGTAGCGTGTCAATGCCCCAGACCTGACTTTAGCGGGAATGATCTAACTAATAAAGGTGACCGACCTTCCCCCTTCCCCTCTCACTCCCTGAGATTTCTCATAATTTTCGAACCACTTCGGGAAGCTGAGACATGGCCGGAGAAGATGGCTTTGATCCGCTAGTCTAGTCTGGTGAGGCTGAACCTAGATGCTTCTCTTTTCGTCCTTGTTTCGCCGCCACCGCCACCGCCACTAGTGCCTCAAGTATTTGGCCTTTGGCATTTCAGGTCGCCGATGACATTTATATCCCCAGGAAGCATGTCCCATTTGCCATTCTTCAGACAACGGGGCACAGACAACCGACACCTCGGCTGCTTGGTGTGACACTGTGAGCCACCCCAGAAGCAACCTCAGGACACCATCCATATCCTCTTCACCCGCCGCTAGAAACAGAAGGGTGTGTGCCCTAGGTTGTTCTGCGCGTTGAGCAATTTGCCATCTGCCAATGGAATGAGATGGTGCAGGTCAGAAAGGTTTCTTGTTCAGCACGGCCACATGGAACACTGACTCGTGCCTCAGCCCTCGTCCTGTCAGCGCTGCACCAGACTCGTAGAACAGCTTTGCCATGGAGAATCCAAAAGGCACTGGAGACGCAATCGCCGTTATTCCTCTGTATCGGACGTTGGGCTTCGTTTTTGTTTTTGTTCCCAATTTGCGATGAGCTGCGCCAATTCGTCGCGCCACACCTTCGAAACAAGGCAATTCGGACCGGACTGTTTAGCAAGCAGGATCTTCTTCACCTTCGAGGGATCTGCTCCATTTTCAAGCAGAAATTCAAGAGATCCACTTTTTCCTTAGTTGACTTGGGGTTCAGCTCATCGATCTGACGACCGCAGAAGTTGGCATTCCTGAAACCCACCTCGAACAATGCCATTTCAAGAAGAGACATGGTCTTGCGGCCGCCAGGTTGAAGTGTAGTTGGATCAGCCAATACCTTTGCCTCCACACGTAGGGTGTCAGTGGGAATTGAGCAACGAGGCCGACGAAAGTCCTTAGCCGACAAATATTAGCCGCATGTGCGCGGTCGATTGTACCATACTCCCGAGCCATGAGTGTGCTCCAATGCGGAAGAGCGCTGCTTCCAGATACCTCCCTATATATAACTAGTTTTCCGTCGGCGACCTTGCCTGGGAGAGCCGTATCAGCTCACAATCAATTCTGTCTAGAATATCCACGAAGAGAGCCGCATTCGAATCGTGATACTTGACTCTGGATGCATGCCGAAATGCAACATGCAAAATCATCAAGTTAAAAGGCGCCTGCTGCAATTTTGCCTCCAACCCTAGCTCAGATTAGGTTCATGCTTCGGATCGCGGGCATCCAATTGATACAGTGGCAAGGCCACGGTGGTGAGATGGTTGTCGCTGCAGAGAGCCTCACCGGCCGCACCGATCTCGGCGAGCAGGCTATAGCTGCAGTCAAGGCAGAGTGAGACTCTCTAGGTGACGGCATCGAGCCACCAATAGTATTTCTTACCCCTTTTTCTTCTGCATCTTTTCGGATCTCGGATCCCTGCTGGCGGCTCAGTAGCCTCGCTACGCCTTGTAAGAGAAACAAGGAGTAAAGATAGCCTCTTTCTCACCCATGAATAGCACGAAGTTGGTTGTGAGTCCTAAGATTTGCCTTGGAAAGTTCTGGGGTTTGGACTGGGTGTTCAAATACAGTCGTATAGCTGCGGACTGATCGCCAGGCAAGCCGCGTAGCCTCCTGCAGAGTATCCTCAGCCGCCTTGCGGCTCCTGGCCCTGAGCGGCCGGTCCGCGACCTCCTCAACAAGGAAGAGGAGGAGCTTGTCTTCTGTAACGGTATCTGCATCCTGATACTGCTTGCGCTCACAGAAGTCCCTGAACTCCTTCTGCTTCGGCTCATATACGGCCACTGTATTTCTCGGCCTTGCGTCTTGAATCATCGAGAGGATATGCTATGCATTAGCACGTAGCTCAGCGTTATTGCGCGCGTTAAGCTCGACGCGACCGTGGTGCCTGGTGCCGGCTGCAGCGGCCCCTGCAACAGCCCCAGTCGCAGTAGCTGTTGCAGTGCTGGTCCTGACGGTTATTGAGTCGGCCACAGCCGCTGCCTTTCTCTTCCCAGCCCGTTTCCTCGTCATAGTCGGATATCAATCAAAGAGGCGACAGCTAATCCGATCTATCGCATATAAAGTCTTCAGAGAGTAAGCCGGCCTAGACGGGCCTGGGGTCTGTAGAGATATTATATTAATTTTCAGGGCCAGCCCGGCCTTCCAGCGCCAGATCAGCAGCACCGGGGCAGCTGGGGGGGCTCCGGAGGCGCTGGAGGGCGCTGGAGGCGCCCTGGAGCTTCCTGAAGTTATAGGGGCCGATCAGCGAGGGGGCATGGATATTCGCGTATATCCACGGCGATCCGGGGTGGCCAGCGCGGGGTCCGCATGTGGATATACCGGGATACCATTGGCCGGGCGCCGCAGGCGGCGGGGGTCCTGGGTCAGCCGGTCGGCGCCACGCCTCGCCGCGGCGCCGCTGTGGGATCAGCGACGGCTCAGCGGCGCCGTGGATACCAGGTGATTACGATCAAAAGGTGCATCCAACAGCCTTCGGCTGAGGCTACCCCATGCACCCCATCGCCGCTCCAATGTGCATGGGGTGACGTAGTATTTTAGAGGGTCTTGAGGTCAGTCTTATAGATGAAGATGACCTCGGATGACCTCGGACGGCCGAGAGGCTCCGGATGGTCCGGAGTCTTTGGCTTCAGCTAGCTATTGATGAAATCAAGGAAAAGCTAGGCCTATGATGAGGCCTCTGACGAGGCCGGTGACGAGGCAGGTGGCGATGGACGCCTATGATGAAGGAAGGAATAGCTAGGAAAACCTTCACTGTTGCAATAGCCGTAGAAATCCGATATCCCGATATCCTGATATATGTGACACTATTGAAGTCCTATGACCGCGGGATGTCCCTATACCGCCGACGATGGATTTACAAAATGCCACCACGTTTACCACTCGGTCATGAAGTGGTGCAAGGGAGGCCACACATACTCATCGACGTCCTCGTATGCATCGATCTCTGCAGTTCCCTCATCGTATTCGTTAAAACTCAACAGCGAATCGTCATCTGAAAAGATGCGGTCGATGCACTCGTATCGAATTTCCTCCCAAGTCTTTCCCGGCATATCTCGGCGAATATCGTTTTCAATGAATCGCGAGTCTTTCTTTTGTTCGTAATCAACTTCAGCCCCCCTCTTGATGATAAACATAATCTCTTTGCCTCTTTCGCCATCCGCCACCAATCCCGCATCCTCTGTTATGCCAAAGGCCTCTCGTGTTTCTGTGTGCTCGGGCATTTTCTGTTCAAATCGCTCGCGTGTGTTCGCATTCATGGCTGAACCGGGACAGCCCGATACGGTCGAGCGGTAAATGGCGACTGAAGGCCTCGAAAGAGCGCCGTCCCTATCCTCCAAGACACGTTGCCAGTGTGCTGGCTGAGGCTTCCGCCAGTACATGTACTCCTCAACTTCATCGTCAGAATGAAGCAGCCCAAGTCTCGCAAACCCCAGCACTTCCGAGCTATGGCTGATGTAACGAAGTTCCTTCCACCCACAGCTTTCGCTTATGAGCCCATTTAAAGTATCGTAGCTAACTTGGATTGGGAGGGGGCCAAGTACTGTGAGTGTATCGAGGCGAAGGCATGGGAGAAGTCTGAGCGTGGAAGCTAGACGATAGTAGACATCATCATCGTCGTAGGAGAGCATAAGAGGATCGCCCGGGACGCGCAAATGACGCATCTTAGATAGGATTCCAGGAGGTAAAGCTGTCAAAATGTCGAGCATCGTCTTGGACTCTTCGAAGCTGAAAATAACCTGGCCGATCCAAGTATCTCCAATCTCCATTTTTGCCCGGCGACAAGTTTGAAGAATGGCGAAAGCGCTTGGAGCGCGTTTGATCCTGATGCGATCAATTCGGTCGACCGCTCTCTGACCGTAGGCAAGTCTGGTAGAAAAGAAGACATGTGAGTATATCTTATCGCGAAGTTCTTGAGGGAGGTGTTGAAAGAGCCTGCTCTTGTTCTGTGGATCAGCTACGAAGGCTGGTTGGTTTGTTGTTTTTGGTCTGCGCCTGGAATTCTTCTTCTTCCGCATCTTTGCCATGACGACTTGAGATTATTCGTGCCATCAGAATTGCGAAGTTGCGAGGGTCTCGTCCCTGTATATGGTCCTGGCACACCCTACCGTGTGTTATTGGTTGGGCATGTGGAGCAGGCAAACCATATTTGCGCCTCAGGCATTAAATTTTCGTTGCCAAAGTCAGATCCTGAGGGTGAGAGAAAGGGTCTTAGCACCGCATGATGAGGAGTTTGGAATAATCATTTTCAATAAAGTGCACCAAGAGGAAGATCACGAGGTAAACACTTCATTGGGAGATTTGCGTGTCCTGTGAATTTCTTTACCAGCTAATGTTTAACCCCAAGCTGCCTACACCCGATGGGCTTTCTCACCCAGCGACCCGAGTTAAAACCTCTCGGTTAACCCACGGCTAAACCAAACTAAGGCAACAGCTCCATCGGCGGGTCTTGTTCTCTCGTGACATCACCTGGGCACTGAGGAATTCGGCACAAGGCGGGGTCGTGAACCCATGAAGCGACATTTCCGTAGCGGAGGAATAATCAACTGGACGGATATACCTTGCTCATTGCTCTCTCGAGTGGTCGAGATACATGGCGACGGAATGTGATGTGGTCGGACAGGAACGATTGGTTATTTAAGAACACCTCCGAACGCCCTTGGTTGAGGGCCTTGATCCAGCGGAGGGATACCATGGCCGCAGCGGCGTCTGCAAACGAGCTCCCAAGCGACGACATATCAATACCAAAATCATCCTCAAGATTCGCCAACAGCCAGAGTCTACCCCCCCAAGACCAGTGATGTCTCGAGACCATCGAACCCTACCCCTAAACCTGGTTCGTCGCTGATCAAACTCGTTGGGACTGGAGATGGATCTGGGCGTCTCTGGAGACGAGCTGTCGTCGTCCGTTTACGGCGCATGCTGTGGCAAAGACTCGTAGCTGGTGCGACGTGGTTCCCTGAAGTGGATGAAGGAGAAGACCTGCTTAGTGACGACCAGCGTCTTATCAGCAATATTAACGTTCATGATCGAATAGCCCAGATCTTCAAAAGCCAGATAAAATTCTGTCTATTCACTACGAGAAGCCCCCCGCATTCGCGTGGCGGTACTGGGAAAACCCTTGGGAAAACCAGTGCTGGGGGTTGAGTGGCTCGTGTTCCGATCTGAAACCAGTGGAACCGAATACCTCCTAACCGCGATCTCCGAATCCTGCACCCAACTCCTGGAAGACCAAGAAAACCTCGTGTTCAGGCTTACCATCGCTCCGAGTGGCTCAAATAAAGATGGCTGATCGCCATTTCCTGATCAAAGATGCTCCATGTTCCTCATCCTGCGTTTATGCTTGACAACCAGGCCACTTCTTCTAACTCTCGGAGCTATCTCGTCAGACCTGCTCCAATAGTATCACAACTTGATGGCGTCGAGAACGGCACGAGCGGGAATGCGATGCAAGAAAATATACTCGAATTCGGAGTTGTTCCAGGCTCTCTTGGGAATCCAACACTCTAGAGTCTCTGCGAGCCTACGAACGTTTTCGATACTCTACTCTGCGACCTGCTCTGCCGACATCGATGATAATGATGGAGACATTCTTCCTACCTCGTCTCTTTCTTCGCCATGCCTCTTCGTATGCGGCTTGGTAGTCATCGTACGTCGAAATGAAAGGTGTCTTCGTTCGGTTCGACCAATGAATATGGTTGCGAAAGTGTCTTGTCAGTTGTGCACGCTTGTTGGTTTGTCTCGCACCAAAGTCCACCTGGGATTTCACGTCTCCTGCTACCACGCCTTTGTCTGCCGAGGTTCGAGCCTGAGAACATTCATCCTCGACACGATACTTGTATCTGCCCGTCATCATGTTCCTAAAATCGCGGTTTGAATAAAATAGTTTCGAAAATAAATACAGAGATGGTAATGTACAAGGTATAAGAAGATCGAGAGTGAGGTAGACGCGACGCGTCGTCGCGAAGCATGTGCAAAGGTCACGTGCTCTTCTGACTCATCCACGGATACTTACCGGGAGCCCATAGGCTCGCGGTACCCGCGAATTTAAAATTTCGCGGGTACTGCGAAAATGACTAAGTACTGTTGCCGTAGCGATTTTTAACTACTGACCTGGCGGCGTGCGCTACGATGCGGTTACGCTCTTCCTTCTTCGGTTATCCTTTTCTATACTATAACTCAGATATTTCTAGCATTGTATGTAGAGAATATAAGTTTTCCCGAAGACTATCTCCCTTTAGAATGGAGCTATAAGTTATAAGATATTCTTTTTAGGTTTATTAATATATAGGCGGCTTTAAGGGGCTATATCTTTACTACTAGGAAGTCTATTAGAGGGAAGAGTAGCAGGTAATTAGTTATATATATTTATAATTAATTTTATTATTCTTTTAATATATTAATAGAGTATTAGTAGAAAATAGCTACTTAAGAAATTAGCTATAAGTTCTTATTATTAGCTAAAGAATTTCTAAATAAAAATATATAAATTATTTAATATTATTTAAATAAGTAATTCTTTAAGTATAATTATATATTAAGTTAGTATCCCTTTACTTATTTAATATATTATAAGCTAGAAGAAGAAATTATAGTAGATTTATTATACTTATTTTATATTAGTATAGCTTCTAGAGATATCTAAATATATATATAATAGAATTATAATTTCTTAGTAATTTAATAGGATATTTATAATAGTATTATAGCTACTAGAAGAGAAATTTATAAAGAGTAAAGTTTTATTTATATATTTATTAGCTAGCTTAATAAAAAAGGCTTTTAGAGTTAAATATAATTTAGTAAAGATAGCTAAATTACTACTATCTTATTTACTTATCTAGACTTTTTAATATATCTTTAAGCCTATTTAAATATACTCTTACTAGACTATATATATAAGATAAATAAGTATAATATACTACTACTTAATATAATTAGAATTAATATCTACTAGCAATCTTTCTATATAATATTTATATTCCTTAATAGAAAAACTAAAAATGATTTTCTATAGATATTAAATTAATTAAGGTTACTATATAAATACTATAATACTAAACTGCCCTCTATTATTTTAATAAATTACTATATTACTTATATAAATACTATTAAGATCTCCTTTTCTATATCTTACTTACTACTCTACTACTAGTATATAAATAAAATAATCCTCTATTACTACTAGCTAGCTTTTATTCTCTAAAACTAACTAAACTCTACTAATTTAATAAGAAATAATACCTTAGAGACTAGCAGCTAGTTTAAATTCTACTAATTTTAATACTTAATTATAAGAGTACTAAATAAGAAAGCATTTAAAAACTAAGTTTTATAATTTAAGAAAAAGTACTTATTAAACTACCTTAAGTAGGTTAGATATATTAAGACTTTCTAGCTTAAATAGTATAAAAAAAAGCTTATAAAAGTCTAGGTTAATTAGTATATTTATTTTAGTAATATAGCTATATTCCAAGTTAAGGGCATATATACACTAATAAAATCCTATCTTAGAAAGTCTATATTAAATCTCTTTAAAGCTTAAAGAGCAATAAAATATATATTACTTAATTAGTTATTAAAATTAAAATTAAATTAAGCCTAATAGTAAATTTATATTTCTATTAAACTTTTAGGGCTACTATATACTACAGTATATAGCTGGGTATTATATAAAGCCCTAAAAAAAATAGAAAAGTAATAGAAGTTACTAAATAGAAAAGATCCTCCCCTGCTATTAACTTATATAAGCTTTTTTACTAGATTCTATAAACTGCCCTACCTCTATATTCTAAAATCCTTATAAGAGCAAAGCTAAGTTCTTTTACTTAAATACTTCTATTAATATTAATACCTACAATATAAAAAAGCTTTATAATTACTTTTAAAGCCTTGCTAATAAATTAAGTTGATATTTATATACTTTAATATCCCTAAATAGAATACTTAAAAAAACCTAGTATATTTAAAAGTATTAAGATAGTATATAAGGCGCTGCCTATATATAGCAGATACTATATAATTAGCTATACTAAAATAGCAAGAGCCTGCTTAATAAGATTTAAAGAGTTACTTTAATAAGAAGCTCTAGCTCTAGGACTTTTATAGTTAGTTAAAGTATTAGATACTAAACCCAAGCTACTCTAAATCTAACTTTTAGTAGATATATCTAAGGAAGAATTAGTATTAGTACTGGAAGATAGTTTACTAGCTGCAGTTCTTAGTAATTAGCTAGAGACTATAACTAGAGTCTTATAAAACTCACCTAGTAATACCTTATAGCAGCTAGAATCCCCTATTTATAAACTATCTTCTTTACCTAGCCTGCTATTACTATTGCTACTAAAATATAATTTATCACAGGCTATATATAAAAGATATATTACTATAAAAAATATATAATATATAATATAGCCAGCTAGTAATATTAAAATAAACTAATAATATTATAGGATAATAAGACTCCTACTTAGATATAATAAGTAAAGCTATAAGTAGTATCTAGACTATAAATAGATATCTAAGTACTATATTATATTAATAGGATTAAAAGAATAGATAAAAAAAGAGATAATAGTATATTTAAACTAGACTAAGGCTAAGAATAAGCAAATTAAAGCCTAGATCACTAAAAAAATAAAAAATAATTCTTTAGCTAATAGAAAAAGAGATATTAAAGATATTTAAAAAAAAATAGAAATAAATAGTAGAAAATAAAAAGCTTTATACTTAGCTAGCTATAATATAAAAGACTATATTATTATTAAAAGTTATAGATATTAAATAATTAATTAAATAGCAAAGCCCTTAAATATTCTACAGCTATTATATCTATATATAATTTAAGTAGCTTTTATATAAATTAAGCAACTTAAACCTTTATATCTTAATAATTATAGGCAAAAGATAGCTATCAGCTCCGTTAAATATATAAGTTGGTAAATTTTATTTCACCCCAGGAGATAGTACCGATAGCCTATTTTATATTACTAATTCTGCAAATAGTATTGTACTTAGTTATTTTCGCGGTACCCGCGAAATTTTAAATTCACGGGTACCGCGAGCCTATGGGCTCCCATACTTACCAATAGTAGTATTAGCTTGCAGAGTAGCAAGTCACTCTGTCTCGGAAAAGGCAAAGGGCCAACCTTTGGGCCCGGACTTTAAATAACCTGGCTTTTCAGCCCTGAGTTTGAATGAATGGTTCTCAGGTTTCTGTCTACCTTGAGCGGATAACTCTGGCCACTGATTTACTCGTGCGAGGAAGGTATTTGTTCTGAAACGGAGTGCTCCCACCATCAGCGATATGCCCGTATATTCGTCATTGCTACGCAGAAAATTGTCTCCCAATTTCCCAATTCACGCTCTGACTTCACACAGAGCTACGCTTCGCTTTCCATCGCACACATGTTGGCATCCGACGACCCTGATGACTCCGATGACTCAGTGGTCTATCTAGGCAGCAAACGTCGTGGGTCTCCTGCACCTGCTCGTCTTACGACTGCGACCGCTGCCCAAATCGATGCTCCTCCCGAAACGAATACGGCTTCAAATCTAGACAACAGCGACAGCCGCCACCACCAGCAACCGAGAACGAGAGCGAGACCTGGTGGCAAAATGATCTATCCACGCGCAATTTGGCATGGGCCTACTGCTGCGACCGCCGATCGAACGAAGGATCCCAATCGCCGAGCAAATACAACCTCACGACGACATGTATCGGACAGAAACGGCCACGGCCACCGAGGACCGAGAACGAGACCGGGGCCAAGATTATCCTCCGAAGCGACTGTTCCCTTCGAGATCAGAAACAAATATTTTAAGTTAGGTTGGGTAAAGAATTGGAACAAGTCGAACCCCCCGCCTGGCGTTTATGGGATCTTTGATAGAGCGGGCCGCCTCCACCTCTTTAGGGGGCATGAAGGACCCGAGTCTTCAATGGAGCGTCCTACATCTGTGCCCATTGATCACGGCAATGTTGAGTACGACTCGCCCTTCAAGGACATGTTGCATACAGAAGTTCGAAAAAAGGCGATACAACGTTTGATCAGGCGATACGGACCACATTTGAGACCCGGCGAAATATGAGAAGGTTGTTATGTTGAGACGGCATGAGCCTGAGATGCCGATAGGTTAGAATAATGGATAGTACTGGATTCTCATGGCGAATCGCACTACTCTCTTACCCCGGCAGGGTTAAGAGAAGTTGATGGCAAAATGGATCGCCTAAGCCGATCTTATACAGGAGGTGATCAGCCAACAACAACCAAATGCACCCCCAGCACCCTTGGCCATCAACGTGTTCGGGTGTCTCATGAATGACATTGGACACTCCTCCAGGATAGACATGGCCATAATCGTGACCCTCAATATGCAAGGGTTCTTCGATGCAACCATTCAGGAATGCATTATGATGCGTATATTACAGCAAAGCTGACCAGTCAATCTGGCCGAGTTCGTGAGCTCCTCCATGGAGTGACGCACCCTCAAATCTAGCATTTGGTAGGGCAAAGGTGCACGGTGCGCTTGACAAAGATCTACTCAATGGCAATCGGAACACACATTCTTACGTTGTCGATGGACCTTTCTAGAGGTGCGAGCGGCGATTCAATTCGCCATGGACACAAGGAGACGTGATGCTACCCAGACTTGACAAAGTACTAATTCTCCACACGTAGCGACCAACCTTGGTGATAATAACACCAAACAGCCTCAAGTTAACAGGCTATGCTTCAGCTAAACAACTTGGGAGGCGAGGCCAATAAGTGTGAGAGAAATGTGGGGCTTTTATTAAATTTTAGTGGGGGGATGAGAAGTAACGTGTATGATAAGCGAGTGAGG